CGAACGCCGTGGGTCAAGTTGCCAACGGTGAGTGCCCTTTATTCCATGAAACGATTGGGAGCACAGACTGACGAATGAAACAATTCCTTCGGCAACAGATTTCTACGATGCGTCAGCGCTGCTTTATCGGGCATTGTTCACCATTCAATATCTCCCCCCGCAGCACATTGTGGGCATGGAGGTGTTTGTTCGAGCCATGGCCCCCGTTCAGCACAACCCTCAGGTGGTGTTTCACACGACGCTGCTGGCGATACAATCCACGGTGCAGGCACTGCTCTCGGCGCTGGCACGGCCGACAAACCTGATTGGGCAAATTACGGCAGCCAAGAGAGAGGCGGACAGGAACGACAGCTCCGCGATGCGACCCTCGAGATGGCCTCTGGGCTTGCTCGACGACTCCAGGCAGCGACACCAGGAAGAAAAGGAAAAGCGGGCGCGCCAATCACGAGAGCAGGCGTCGTACCTCTCCAGGGAGCTCCGCTACACGCAGCAGACGGTAGCAAGCGAATTGGCTGGATGGCAGGAGCTGCACGACCAGATGGGACTCCGGGCCATTCGCGAGTATGCCCGAGGCATGGTGGTGCAAGAAAGGGTACGGCTCGAGGGCATGATGCGAGCGTTGAGAATTGTACGGATGGGGAACTACCAGCAGGGGGGGATCGCCGCCATGTCTCAGCGACGACCCCCATCGCCCCCAACAGACCGGAAACAAGAAACAGAAGACGGGGATGGGGTGCCACGACAAAACGAAACAAACTGAGTGGAGCGATCGAGTGACGAAGAACAGACGAACTTTTGCTCACATGCCAGCGTGTCACGGAGGCGACAAAGCGACAAGGGGGACGACGCGTCACAGACCAGGCGTTTGCAAAAGGACGCGACAGCGCACAAACCGTTGGCCAAGGGCCTGCATAGTTGGCCTCGACTAAAAAAGAGAGGGGCTTAGAAAGAGAGGAGAGCAGAGAAAAGGAAGGCGAATGGGATGGCCTGGCACTTTTTCTGCATGATGCATCTTGATGGATACCTTTACGACTAAAATCTGGATTTTGGTTGGGCAACCCGGCGTTGGGGAGGGGAGAACGACGATAAAAGATGTGCTACAAGGACAGTGTTTCTCTATTTTCCTATATTAAACATCATGATAGAAAAGACAGCGATGCTTTTTGGATTTCGTCTGATGCTTCCTTTTGAAGAAGCGCGAAGTAGATGGTGACGATGGGGATGGAACCATGAATATGGGAGGGGGAAGCTACCTACCCTATCCTACAAAGGACGCAACGTGGGAACATGCTGGCTTGGGCCAAAAACGTGGTGAATGCCCGAAGCGCACACGAGTTGGCATCAGCAAGTGGAATGTCTTCAACAAGGTCCACCTGCAACGTGTGCTTGATGCACGGCAGATATATTAAAATTTTCGGACGGTGAAAGAGGTTGAAGTCGGTTTGATACCCGACGAAGTTGTCGAGCAACGACCTGAAACACAAAGGAAAAGTCTGCATCTCCGGGAGAGAGAAAGACGCATCTAAGCGAAGATTGTGCATACGATAGCGTGGCGGTGGATGCAAGCCTAAGGGCCATCTTACTGGGTAATGCAGGACGAGAAGAGTCATACTCTGGAGTTGATACCTTACATTTTGCAGATGCAGATGCAGGCTCTATGGGGATAGTAACATACATATCACGGGGTTTTGGGCGAATGCTGGCATGACGTTGGGCTTGTTTCGAAACGAAAGGCGGGGATTCTTGCAGTGCGTGTTCATGAATTTGAAACCTTACTATCTATAATGCTAGTAAAAGCTGTGCTGCGTTGTTAACTTGCCAGGTGATGAGTGCCTGACGATGACTCGTAAACTTGACAACACACAAACGTCGAAGTTTAGGTACGTACCTAGATGCCCATGTGGGGGCGTGTCGATTCTGCCGTAAGTGGGTCTTGAACGTGGGGCATGCAATAGCGATTCGAGAAGAGGAAGGAATTGGTGAGCCAATCAGAGCGCGAAGACGGCATGCGAGAAGCCGATTGGTCGAGCCTAAAATAGAGAACGGCCTATGAAAGTACGTACCACGGTAACGCGGCCGCGGGTTCGGGGAAGGATAGAGCGGGTTTGAGGCGCGTCTGTTGAAGAAGAGACGAGATGGTGCGTGTAGGTTTGCACGTTATTTGATAGGGAGGATGCTGCAGGCTGCTACTATGGAGTTGTACCAATATGGTGTTGCTGGTGGTGCATCATGTTGGTGCGAGGATGAGGATGGAGATTGATATTGTCTGGAACAATGTATGGGGAAGCACGAAAGGTACGGTAAGCTGCCGGACGATGAGGGAGGACAAACTCTGTGCGACAAGGCGCGAGCGCGCAATGCGGTTTTGTAAGATGATTGGGCGGATCAGGTAGGAGTCTTTTACGCGCCTGGATTTCTGAGCGACAAGAATGAGGCGAAGCAATGATGGCTTGCATCAATTGACGATCGTCGTGATTTTCATTGCGAACTGGAGGTAGGTATGTAGTAATACATGTAGACGAGATGTGTAATCCAGGTGAAGCAAGGTGTCCAGCGGGAAAATCGTCAAAGCAAATCTGCGCAGCCGCCGGTGTGGGAACGTTGATCGGGAGACGGTGAGATTGAGCTCGACGGATCCCGAATCGGGTGGTGCGACGAAGCAGGACGCTCGGATCACGGGCTGGGACGGGAGACACCTGTTCTTTTATGTGCCCGCCTTGGTTCTGCGTGTAAGACAGCATGTAATAAAGCAAGGGCAAGGTAAAAATGTACGGAGTACGTACTACAAGGGCGGCGGGTTAAGCGCTCGGCGGCTTGCGGAGGCGTCCGTCCCGCTCTAAGCGCCCGGAAAGAGCCAGAGCCAGAGAAAGCTGCGTCTATTTGCGGCTGTTGTCCATGTCTCATCCACGGTCTCAGCTGGAAGGACAAGTGCAATTTCAATTTCGATAACTAATACTAAGCAAAAATAGACGGGATCAGCTCGGTACTTTGGTACTACCACTATTACGGCCTCGTCTTGAGGTTAGCATTACGGAGTGCCTGTTGGCAGTTTTCATTGGCAGGTACCTGTTATTGCCTGGTTGAATGCATGCAATACAGCGTACTTACCAGACAGGTATGCAGTAGGTAGTAACGCAAATGCAGCAGTTTTAAATTGAATGAAATGAAATCTGGGGTCCAAACACTCGTGAATGGGCGGCAAAAGGAGGCAAATGTCGCCGTGTGAGTGGAGGAGCCTGGTTGCTTGGCGCGGCGGCCGTTTGCGAGCACGAGATGCCCTTCAAGGCCTTGCACTTATCAGCAGACTCAAGACACGCGATGCAGGAGACACTCGTCTGATCAGACAAACTTCGAGAGTTGAGATGTCAATCAATCCAGCACGCGGTGCCAAGATCCAACGAGATCCGCGAGATCTGGCTGCTGCGCGCGCGTCCAACAACCAACGAACGTCAAGCCCTGGGAGACACGTCCGAGACACACGAAAAAGACAATGAGTCATGGATGCCGCTGCACAGCTGGCCAATCAGAGTGGCGGCGCCTGCAGCAGAGCCCGCTGAGCCCCAGGAAATCGACCCTGGTTGCTGGCGCCAGTCCCTCTACGCTCTAGTGTCTTTTTCCAAGCCCTACCTATTTCGCTCGCCTACTGTACACAATTGGGGGGAAGGGCGTGGCTGCATGGATTCCATTTCAATGGACTTCAACACCTCCATCCACTGACAGGCCGCAGCGGCGCCGTCTGCCGGCAAAGCAGGCTGGGACGCGGTCCTGGTCGCATTTGCTCGTCTTCCGTCTCTCGATTCTCTGGCTCTTGCAGTCCTCGATTCCCAATTCGACCATGGCAGACGCGGAGCTTGGCGGGGGCGGCAACCAGGGCGGGATGGCCAGGCTGTGCCTCTGGGCCGCATTGCATGCACTGGTGCGGATGATGGAGCCGTGAGAACCAGGAGAGAAGCCATATCGACGCCTTATTAATTGTCGTCACTACTAGCAGCGCCGTGCTGTACAACGAGTCGATGCTAGTCTTTTCCGTCGAAATGCGCGTTCGTCGATGACTCTTTCGACCCCGGACACGTCGTGTCGCGTTTCATGCCTCTTCTTCTGGCTTCAACGATGCCCCAGCTTGTGCCCAAGCAGACGACGCGTGTGTGGGATGCTGGCGTGGCATGGCCAAGGGCTAAGCCTCTGGCCTCGCTGATCCATGAGCCGCGGCAGAACACGGCAGAGCAGACTGACCGGGACAGTTGCAGCAGCCGCGTCTGGTCTCGCTCTCGGTCTGTCTGCTCCTCTGCTCATGGGACGTGGACATGGGGCTTCACTCTCACCACGCAAATTCGGCTGCTCCACACGCCCATCCCACGCCCCTCTTACACGCCTCTGCCCGCATCTCGCACGCCCCCCCAGACGGCCGTGAACCCGGCGGCCATCATCAGGACCCTTCAAACCCCCAAGGCCGGCTCTAAGGATAAGAAGTCGGCCTCGTCCCTTGGTTTCCAATCATTCCCGCTTCACTTCCTTGTTCATCTCCTCTCCATAACCCCTTCCGCTTCCCTCTTGCTTTTCTTTTCTTGCTTTTGCATCTCGTTTTGTCTGGGAGTCTTGTCTGCCATCGAACCGACGCCTTCTCTTGCTCTTTCGGATAGTCACTTAGAACGCATCCCTGCTCGCTGGTCGAACACGCTCCAACCGCTTGGAGATTTTCCTTTGATATACGCCTTTCATATACACAAAAGCCTACAGAAAACACATTTCAACTGTCCACAGTCGGAGCTGGTCTCCTTCATCGCCTAATACGGTTAATTACTCAACTTCGATCACCTTCACCTACACCATAACAACCGCCATCATGTCAGCGTGAGTATCCCTCCCATTTCCATGAGACTCTACACCTATGCTGACACGCTACTAGTCTGGCAGCCGACGTCGCCTTCGACTTCACCTTCCCCTCCCCCTCTCCCTCTCTCGAGGATCCCACAACGCCTCCCATGGAGAGCATGCCTCTCATGGAAGCCTACAGCCTCGACCACTTCCCGTCAAGTCTCTTGGAGCTGCCCTTCAACTCGCACAGCCGCCATGCTCGGTCTACATCCAAGGCCTCGTCCATCTTCTCGACAGTCTCCTCGGCCTCGGCTGCCGTCTCCGCAGTGGACTCAATAACAGACTCGGTGTGCTCTCGCTTCACCACGCCTCCGCGCGCCAGCCCGCCGGTCCGCCAGCATGGCCCCTTGCTGCTGCCCAAGATCCGCTCTCAAGACCAAGACATGAGCCGGTCTCACATGGTGCCCGCCTCGCACTCTCGCTCCAACTCCATCCGCTCTGCCAGGGCCAGGCTTGCTCACCAGCAGTCCACGCCGCCACCGCCTGCCTCCAAGCCCATCCACACCAGCCACTCGCGCAGCTTCACCAACCCGGAGACCCTCGCCAACATGGCCTTTGCTCACATCTCGCCATTTGCGACGCCTCCCCCACAGCCGCTTGATGAGACGCCGGCCTTCCCCTCGACGCTGCTTGGCTCGCCGGCGAGCTTTGCTCAAGACAGCCTGCCGCCGTCTCGCCGCACCAGCTGCACCATTGACCCTGCCACCATTGACAAGTACGGCTATCCCACCTATCGACAGATGCCCTTTGTGCCCGCAGCTCCCGCCGCTTCACAGCAGTCAGACTACATGTTTCCGTCTTACCTCCCCCGTGCTCCGTCGCCGCTGAGTCTGGCCGCCGCCGCCGCAACTGAGGCGACGCCGTCCACGACTCTCATGGAGCACCTGACATGTCCCAACCCTGCCGCGTCTCTGGTCCGCACCATCTCTTTTCCCCTGAGAGACCCTACCATCAAGCACTTCTGGTGGGACGTCCGCAGCGTCTCCTCATGGTCGAGCTTCAATGCCTCCGCCATCCTCTCCCTCCCAGGCGCATCCGCCCTGCTCAACGCCCCGGTGCCCGCTCCCCTGCTCCAGACCCCGGCCTTCTCCTCTCGCCACCCCGAGACCGAGGCCGCCCTGCACAGCATCTATGCATCGTACTATCTCCCCAAGCTCAACTCCGCCCTGGCCATGTCCTCCAACCGGCCCCTGCAGCTCTCCGTCCCGGCCAAGACGGCCTCGGGCGTCAATGACCTCATCTTCGTCGCCAACGCCGTCGGCGAGTCATCCACCGCGGCCGCCATCTTCGGCGGCAAGCCCACTGCCCGGGTCGTCGGTCTGGTCCGCAGCTTCGACCGCTTCAACACGGGCATGCGCGTCGAGGGCAACATCAAGCGCGTCGACTACCTGCGCGGCCTCGCCGCCCTGCACTATGCCATGCGCGAGCACGGCTGCCGCTACGGCTTCATCCTCACCGAGATCGAGCTCGTCCTTGTCCGCGCCGGCACGGAGTCGACCCCTTTCTTCGGCGACCTGGAGATTACCTCTGTCCAGCTCAACGCCGCCGCCTCTTCCGACGACTTCGAGGACGTCCCCCTGACGGCCTGCCTCGCCCTCTGGGGCCTCTGCCAGATCGCCGGCGACCACACGCCCGCCGGCCACGCCCACTGGAAGGCCGAGATTGGCGCCCCCGCCGACGGCACCCGGCGCAAGGCCAAGGCCCGCGACACCTGGATCCCGAAGCCCCAGCTGGCGGAGAAGCGCGAGGCCAAGCGTAGCCGCGGCTGGGTCTGGCCCGAAGATCCCATCGGCAGGAAGGAAATGGGCAAGCGCGGCGTAAAGTATGGTGGCTTGTAATGGATGGGAGTTTGCGGTAGAGAAAAACTGCTCGGCTGGTTCCGGGCCTTTGTTTTCTCTCGCAGTAGTAATTCTTCTTATAATTTCCTGCCTGTTTTTTTCTTCTTCGTGTTTCACTTTTCTTTTGTGGCTTTCATGATTGAAATGACCTTGATATACCTGCTGTTATATAGCTAATACCTCACTCTTTGGATTTTTCCTTTTGAATACCATCTGTTTCCTTTCGAATACAATCCGTTTCTATTACTCTTTGCAGAACGTCGTGTAGTGTCTTTGACATGTGCAGCTACCTTAGGATACAAAACATGACCATGGTGCATGCCATATCTTAAAGCTACCGTAACAACTTCGTCATCACTGGCGAGTGGATCACGCCTCAGTAGTTGTACGAGCAGTCACGGAGAAAGAGCTCGAGTTTGTGATGGTATTTTACTTTTCAATCCCGGCTACCCTAACTACAGACCCCTATAAATGCAGTCTAACCCTTGGCAGCACCGGCCTTGATGAGCAAAATGTCACCATCCTCCACCACGTAGTCCTTGCCCTTGGTCATGATCTTGCCCTTGGCCTTGACCTCGGCTTCGTCACCGAGCTCCTTGAGCGTCGAGAAGTTGTAGACAATGGCCTGGATAAACGTCTTCTCGAAATCGGTGTGGATGACACCGGCGGCCTGGGGCGCCTTGGTGCCCTGGCGGATGGTCCACTGGCGAACCTCGTCGGTTCCCGTTGTGAAGAAGCTGCCCAGCTGGAGGGCCTTGCGCATCTGGATAATGAGCTTGGGCAGGGCGGACTCGGCGCCCACCCTCTTCTGCTCCTCCTTGGCCTCCTCCTCGGTCTCGAACCGGGTCAGGCGCTCCTCGAAGGAGACGGAGATGGGGATGATGGGGTCGCCCTCGGCGTGCTCCTTGATCCACTCGGCAACCTTGGGCAGATACTTGTTCTTCTTGCGGATGTAGTCCTTTTCGGACAGGTTGACAAGATAGACAACGGGCTTGGCCGTCAGCAGGAATAGAGGGTTGATGACCTCAATCTGGAAAACTGTCAGCAGGTTGCCACATCGAAAGCTGCAGTAAATGTAAATTCGAAGGAATTGTAGGCAAAAAGTTCAGAATAGTTTTCTTCTCACTATGTCAAAAGACATTCGACGAGCTGGGTTTAAATTGTTCAGGCCGTCAAGGCCCTTTGTCATCACGTAATTGCGGGAAGGGGAGGGATGAGTAAATCAGGGACATAAGAAAGAAAAAAGTTGGCTTACCTCCTTGGGAGTCCAGTTGCCCTTGCGGACTTCCTTTCCGTCCTGAAGCCAGGCCAGGATCTTCTCAATAATCTCCTGCTCAATCTTAGCCTTCTTCAGCTCAAGACTCTGGCCGCCCATGCGGGTCTTCTTCTTCTGGTTCTCCAGAGCCTTCTCCACAAACTCAATATCCTTGAGTCGCAGCTCCTCGCTGATGATGTCCAGATCACGGGTGGGGTTGACATCGCCCTCGACGTGGATAATCTCAGCATCGTCGAAGCATCGGACAACCTGGAAGATGGCGTCGACGGCTCGGATGTGGGACAGGAAGGAGTTTCCAAGACCAGCTCCTGTGGAAGATCCGCGGGTGAGACCGGCAATATCGTAGACGGTCAAGTTGGCGGGGACTTGTGACTTGGGCTTGTACTTCTCGACCAGCCAGTCGAACCGCTCATCGGGGACAATGACGCGAGCTTCTTCGGGCTCGATGGTGGCATAGGGAAAGTTCTTCAGGCTGTCAGCACCCCGGACGAAGAAGGACGAGGCGGGGGGCTTCATACAGCTGGGTTGCCAAGATTGCACTTTGTGATGGCCTGGAAGAGGGTGGATTTGCCGACGTTGGCGAGGCCGACCTGAAGAGGAGACGAATTGTCAGGAACTGAGGCACTTGCATAGCAGAGAGAGTGGTTGCTCACAATGCCGCTCTTCAAGTTGTTGCCAGGCCGTCCCAGAGGGATCTTTTCCTCGACAACCGCCTTCTTGGGAGGCATCTTTCTTGATTTTGCGTAGTGACGGGAGGGAATAAAAGGAATAAGCAGTCGTGAGGGCGGAACAAGTCCAAGGGCTGCAGACCTTGCTGCGCGCGATGGAGAAACGAAGAGAAGAGAAGCCAAGCAAGATGCAGGCGACGCGATGGGGAGCGCCAATGCGGCCGTCTGGCTACTTGTAGCCCGAGGTGACGGAGACAAGAAGAAGATGGAAGCGGGAGAAGCTTCTCTGAAGAGCAAAGGGACGCAGATGGAAGCTGGCCCTTTTTTGCCTTCTTTTTTTCTTTTTTTTTTCTTCTCTGGCGAGAGGAGGGGTGATGGTGAGAATGAAATTTGAGCCTCGACCCCACACTGGATGGGATTTAGCTGGAGCTCTAGTCGGAGTCGGAGCTAGATTTTCCCGTGGCTTAGTCAGTGGCATGCGTCATACATAAGGTAGGCCAAGATGGTAGACAAGGTAGGGCTCCTCAGACAAGCAGAATCCTGGTCTCCATGGAGCTCGGCATTGGCCGGAACTGCCTGGGCTGAACTGTACTGTAAGAGCTCAGCTGTTAGGTTCCAGTGAGACGAGCGGCACTGTTTGCCGCCACGGAAGCCTGTATTGACGCCTGTTTGGGGCGTAGCTACAGGCGTCTCCAGCGCTGTCAGGCCGCTGGGCGGACGTAATCAATCCCGCCCCGGTCATCAACCACACATTCAATCTCACTCGCCTCGAGGCGATCGTCACAAGATCGGGCTACTACAGCACCTACATAAGCGACTCTGACACCCGCCTTCCTCGCCTTGTCCCATCCAGCTCGTCCTCTTGGTTTCGATCCTGTCACTGTCTCTGTCGTTCTGCCTCGTTGGGTTTTCTTCTACTCTACTTTGTCTGCTTCGGACCTCCCCGCATTGTCTTACGGCTCTATGCCCGGCAGAGACAAAGGCCGCCTGCGTTTCCAACTCCGCAATCGCAATCGCAATCGCAGTCGCAATGCCTTCGCAACAGCAACAGCATCATTCCGGCCAGCGCCAGAGCAGACACAGATCAACGCTGTCGCTGCAAAAGACGGAGATCAAAATCCACGTCTATGACCTTCTCCCGGTAAGAGTTCCTCTGGTTTGAGCTTGTCGCAATAGCGCTGGTCGTACCGCAGCTGTTCCGTCGCTCCATGCGCCACCGAGTGCTCGACTGATTGCTAACTTCTGCTCGTCCTCGACAGCCCGGAAGAGTCGCTTCCGTGCTGTGGACTTTAGGGGCCTCGCTGCTTCACTCAGGAGTAGTCATCAACGGTCGAGAATACGCGTACGGCGGGCATGATAAGCGCGGAGTCACCGGAGTGTACTGGACTAAGCCCAGGACCGAGCCCCCAGGCGGCACCTTCAAGTGCGAAATCCTGCATGGCTTTACGCTGGCCACGTCGGAGGAGATAGATGCGGCCCTGCGAGACGCCTCGGAAGAGTTCCTCGGTACTTCGTACAATCTGCTCACGAAGAACTGCAACCACTTCACATCGTATCTGTGTAAGAAGCTGACGGGCGATGCCGGCCCCGGGTGGCTGAACCGAGCCGCGAGCATCGGAGTCGCGCTGCCGTGCGTCGTGCCGAGGGATTGGATCGAGCCCCCGGAATACGTGAGCGCCGACGGCGAGCTGGTCGACGATGACGACGACGACGAGCATGCGGACGAACAATCACGTATGCTCGGGCAGCACAGGCCGCATCTTCTTTCGGAGCGTGACAACGAATGGAGCAGCGACGACGAGCGCCGAAGAGGAGGAAGCGGTAAAGGAAAGCAGATTCTTCGGGACACGTCGGGCAGACAGCTTCCAGCCGCGGAGAGGGCTATCCGGCCTTGATGGCAGCCAAGCCCCGATTGCGTATTGCATTGTCTTCATTTTGTCTTTACTCCAGGTGGACAACTCGACTGGCGTTTATGGCTTGATTGTTTTCTTCTTTTATTTCATGTTTGCAGGCTACGGGTCGGCACGATACCATTATTTCATCACGAGGGTTAAGGAGTTACACGTCACAAGCTTGATATCGTCAGAGTTTGCGCTTGTAGCCTTGTTTGGGTGGTTTGTTTGCTTGTTTCTTTTCCTTTCTTCCGTCCTCCTTGTTCTTTTTGGTATAGGTGTACAAGATATGGTACATTCGGCTCTATGATCATCACACATTGCTGATGCAGCAGCCGAGCATCTACAACCGCCTCGGCTTCTCGCTCCTTGTTCCTGCAAATTTGATCCTTGTTGAGTCCGCGACCCGCACAATCTTGTCTCGCAGCACCTTGCCCTCGGGGCTCATGAGCACCTTGACGGCCGCCTCTCTGCCCTGGCCGAAGCCTCGCAGAACCAGCTCGAGGCGGCTGATCTTCATTGGCCATCCCGTGTGAATCAGTCGCTCCAAAACGTACTTTGTCAGAGAGTAGGCCGAGTCGAAGGTGCCGCGCCGTGATTTCCTAAAGCCAATGTTGCCGCAGGACATGGAGATGATGGGCTCCCGGTTGGGCTTTGTGCAGGTGATGTGGGTGTTGTGCTTGTGCGAGAAGACGTGGAAGTGGTACGGCTCCAGCTCGTCGTCCTTCTTCTGCGCCGCCTGCGAGGGACCGCCGGACAGCACGCTGGTGTCGATGTTGGACTTGCTGAGGGCCTGGAAGACCATGCTCTGGGAGAGGCTGGCCATGGAGTTTGGCTGCGCGGATCGGCTGCCGGCCGGCGGCTGGGTCGCGAACAGGCTGTTGAGCAGCGATTCCGTCCGAGGCTTCGGCGGCACCGTCTTGGCCGGCTGTGGTTTTCCATCCTTTGCGTCGTCTCGTCGTGCGCTCGTCTGCGACAGCGGCCGGATGCCCTGCACGCCGCTCCGTGAGGCAATGGACTGCGAGATCCGGGCCAGCGGCCGAGCCGCAAAGCAGCTCCTCAATGATCCGCTCATCCTGCGTGCGTATGCGTGTTGCCGCCTCTGTATGTGTTGACCTGCGAATCTGGGACCCTTCTGTCGTCGACCTGAAATTTCCTGCACCATCCAACTGTAAATCGGAGTGGCCGCGGCCGAAGTGGCGGCAAAGTGCGATTGAGCCGGCATTCTCCCGGCTGTCCGCCTGCCTTTCCGCCGCCAGCCGACATCGCCAAAAATCCAAAAATTTCCATTCCGCACATGAGCCACATCCTCGCCCGCCTCATCTCTTCCCTCCCCCCCACGCCGCGCTGCCCAAGTGCTGCAGCCGCTTGCAGACCCCCTTTATCCCTTTTCCTTTTGGCTTGTTGATTGTTCTCTACCCAAGATGAACTCTCTTGCCCGCAGCGCCGCCAATTCGCAGAATGGCCTCTCGAGGGCCTCTCTTCGCCTTGCCCCCGCCTGCAGCCCGTGTCCCGCCGCATACACTCGGTTAGCTTCTCAGTTTGCGCAGAAGCCCATCCGCAATGCTGCGAGCGTCGAACGTGCAGCGCTTCCATCTGCGCTGTCGACGCCGCTGCGATCGACTTTTCTGCCTGCCGATTTGCGAGTCGCTTCCGCTGCGTCACAGTCCCGCTTCCTGCATGTAAGCGGCCGGAGACTGCAGGAGGACAAGGTCAAGACCGAGGCCAAGGCTGAGGCCAAGACTAAAGTCGAAGAGGAGCCGGCCAAGGATTCCGAGGAGAAGGCCGATGGAAAGGAGGAGGCCAAGGAAGAAAACGGAGACGAGGGCAAGGAAAAGAAGGAGGATCTTCCCCCTCCCCCGCCGCATGGTGACAAGACCCCTTGGCAGGTGTTCATGGAGACGATGAACACTGAGCTTCAAAAGTCCCAGGAATGGAACGAGTCGACCAAGCAGATTGCTGCGTCCGCAACCCAGCTTGCCGAGAGCGAATCCGTTCGACGAGCTCGCGAGGCTTACGAAAAGTCCACCGGAGCCATCTCACAAACTACATCCAAGGTAGCCAAGACCACCGCTACAGCCATTGGAAAGGGCGCGGCCTGGACCTGGGACACATCGGTCATGAAGGGTGTGCGAAAGGCTGCCAACGTCACTGGCGAAGCCGTCGACAAGGCCACCAAGCCCATTCGAGAGACCGAAGCCTTCAAGAACGTCAAGAATGTCATCGATGATGGCAGCTCATCCCGGTACGGTGGCTGGGTTGATAAGGAGGAGCGTAAGAGGAGGAGGGAGCAGCTGGCAAAGGAGCGTGGTGAAGACGAGGTCCTCCAGGAAGATCCCAAGTAAGTCGGCTCTGCTGTCGCGCCTATCGTCGAAGTTGGATAACTAATTGTCTCATAATAGCGCCGGAACCAACATTACCCTGCACAAGGACGCAGCTTGGAAAGAAGCCTGGAGGGATTTCCGAGACAGCAACAAGTTTGTCCAGAATGTCTTCAGCTTGAAGGGCAAGTACGAAGAATCAGAGAACCCCCTCATTTCGACGGCGCGCAGCATCACCGACACGATTGGCGGCTTCTTCGCCGAGAACGAGACGGCCATGGTCATCAAGAAGTTCCGCTCCATGGACCCCAGCTTCCGGACCGAGCCCTTCCTGACGGAGTTGCGCGAGTACATCCTCCCCGAGGTGCTGGACGCCTACGTCAAGGGAGACACCGAGGTGCTGAAGCAGTGGCTCTCGGCCGCGCAGTTCTCCGTCTACGAGGCTCTCACGAAGCAGTACCTCCAGGCTGGCATGAAGTCGGACGGCCGCATCCTGGACATCCGGAACGTGGACATTCTCAAGGCCCGTATGCTGGATCCTGGCGAGATTCCCGTCTTCATCATCACATGCCGAACCCAGGAGGTGCACGTTTACCGCAATGCCAAGACGAACGAGCTGGCCGCCGGCATGGAAGACCGGGTGCAGCAGGTGACGTATGCCATTGGCATCACCAGGGTGCCCGAGGACGTCAACAACCCGGAGACGAGGGGCTGGCGTCTGATTGAGATGCAGAAGAGCGGACGAGACTGGGTCTAAGCAGCAAAAGAAAAAGAAAAGAAAGAAACACAACGAAAAGAAAGCATGGCTTGTGCTCGTTTTCTGTATGATTCACGGCGTCTGGGAGCATGGGAGTGGGCACCTTGGCAGGGAGCCTTGTCGATCTGTATTCAATCTGTATTATATGTCAAAAAATTCATGTGGAAGATGTATATCCAAGGACACAAAACGAGAAGGGGAAAAAAGGGAAAAGGGACACAGGGGCATGAGCGAGGGACATGCCGGGATGAATGAACACACCGCTCTACTGTGCGTCTAGGCGAGGCGCCTTTTGTTATATGTACGATGATGATGCGAGGAGGGGAGAGGCTGGGACATGGATATAGACGCATAGACATAATCATCCAATGGACATACGGCTACTGAAGCAATTGGTGTTTATTCAAAATTCCTGCTTGGATCTCCCCGTTCTTGTGCTAAGCATAGAGCGCCGCCTATAATATGAATACCTTATAAAGCGGCTCCTCGCCGTTCCCTCACTCATTCCCAGCAGCCGCCGCCTTCTCCTCCCTCAACCGAGCCCGCACATCCATCAAAGCCTTCCCCAGCAGATTCAGCCCCCAAGCCTCCCTATTATTCTCATCCGCATCCGCAGCCTTCAATCCAATCCCCCAAACGCTATCAAACGGACTCGCCTCAACAAGTTCCCTATCGTCCGTACTTAACAGCGTCTCCCTCAACGATCCTCCCACAAGCGGTATACTTCCCGACGACGAGCCACGACAGAAGCCGACTTCCTTGACGGCGTTTGTGAATTTCAGGTAGTTTCCCCGCCGAACAATCTCTTCGCGCTTCGCGTTCCAGGTGCTTTCGGAGAAGTTTGCGACTTTGCGGCCGAGGGACTTTACTTTTCGGGGGGTTTGGCCTTTGGAGAGGATTTTATGTGCCGAGGGCTGGTCTTTGAAGAGGAGAGCTTTTTGGTACATCATGTAGCTGTTGAACAGGTCAGCTGCACATGCTCGTGTATGTGAGGATAGTTGGCCTGGGGGCAGATAAATTAACTTACTGCTCTGCCGTTTCGTAGATGATGTTTGGGTCTTTGTCGTCGCGAAAGGGACAGTAGTACCACTGGGAGAGGTAGCCCGTCTGGGGATCAGTCTCCCTCCAGAAGTAGATTGGTTCCGATATCTCTGATGACTCTGCCATTGTGAAGCAATGGTAAAGTGTCTGAGCTTGAAAGTTGTTTTCTGAGGCGAAAGACGCTGTTTAGCTGGTCAACATGTGATGAGAGATTAGTACCCAGTATCGTTCGACTTGGAAGACGAGTATCGAGGCTCTTGTCCGTTTATTTATGCCCTGTTTCTGCCCATCCACTCCCGAATCGTTCTTTCTTTCCAGAGGCTTGACTTATCGAGAACTGCATTCCATTGGAGAGTTTGGGCTTGTTGTGTGACTACGTCCTTCCAGAGTCAGCCGCACTGAGTCACCGGCGAGAAAATGGCTTCGCCTATCAAATGTTGGCGCTCGCGTGCACGTTGTGGCGCATTCACGAGGACGAGAAGAGAATGGGTACATTTAGTAGGGAAAGATGAACGGCGGTTGTTACTCTGCTGTTACTCACTTTGGCGGTGTGAATGAATACTCATGTATGCGGTGTGAAAGAACGAATGATGATTTTCGACTTCCATGATAGTTGGGTCAGTGAATCATTGACGCCAACCTGACTTGCTCATGATAGCACCGGCAATCTACCAAGACAACCCACTGACAAACCAATCCTCTCTCAAAGTCATTCAGTTGAGCACCGGCTCGCGAAGCATCAGATACGCCGTCGCCGGCTCCGTGCCGCCCCATTTCGACAGGTCGACAACGATCCGGCCCACCTCCTTGAAGCCGTACTTTTCATACAGCGGGCGGCCCTCCTCGGAAGCCTCGAGGTACGAGACGAGGCCCAGCCTGTCGGCCTCGGCGGTGCCCCATTTGAGAAGCATGCCGCCGGCGCCCCGTCTTTGGTGGTCGGGGTCGGTATGAAGGAGTTTGAGGTCTGCGGAAATGCCTGTCAGATGCATACAGCCTTGCTTTCAGGAGGATGATATATATGAAGACGCCCACTTACAAACATGAGACTTGCCCTCGAACCGATCCCACCACCTGCGATCCATCTCCCCGAAAAAGGCTTCACACGCCTCCGGGTTGGTGCCAGGCAGCCCCCACCACCTCTGGGCGCGACTCGGTTTCACGTCGCCCGAGTAGACGTACCACTGCGAAAACGCAATCATGCTCTCCTCGCCCTTGGCCTCCAAGTCTGCGTCGACGACCTTGACCCACGTGCAGGCTGGATCCTCCCTCTTGCGGGCCAGCATCTGGGCGGCGCGGGTCTCGGGGCTGAGGCCGCCTCCGGGGAAGAGGATGGGGGTGGTCGGGTTGGGACCGTAGGCTCGTCTTTCGATGGCCATGGAGCGAGGGAGGTCTTCTTCTGTTGCTGGGACGACTATGAGAGGCATGATGGCTGTTACTATGGGAGTTACTGGAAATGGATGGCTGTTACTGGCATGGAGACTACAACAACCAACGACACGGACTGGGGGAACAGTCTTATATGCAGGTCAGGCAGGGATCACATCGTAACTCGTATCGAACAAAAGTCCATTTGATCGAATAGTTTTCGGACTTTATTCTTGGGTTCGGCGAACCAGATGTGGGAAGAAGAGGGGTCTTGTAAATCGCTTTCATTTGGTAAGAGTGCAGAAGGATTTAATAGTGCTGGAACTTGGCCTATTCAGATCGTCTGCTAGGATCAACGGCGTGCCGAACAGGGTTAATGACTTGTTTGAACGGGCAAGAAGGCAAGAAAATGAGGAATACCGGTGATGTGATCTGTGGAGTTTCTGGTGCTTTAAGTAACTCGTAAAGTATGAAGGGAGAGTTGGTTGGTTGGTTTAAGCCGAAGCCCGCGGTGAGAGCCGAGAGCCGAAGGGCCTTTGTCTGTCAGTTGACGGTTCTCGTTTACATCGAGGTGCAGCTGGGCGGGCAGGAGATACTATCTCCGCCCGAGCTGCCATATCGAGGATCTGCGATGCATTCGAGTTGCTCAATTCAGCGACGCAAGGTCTGTTCGTTGATCTTTCTTTGGAATATTCTTTCCATTCACTTTGTCTTATATGGGGATGGGATGGGATAATACCTAGTGGTAGGACAACGATTATAGGATGTGGTTCAGCCGTATCTGTGATGACGACCACTTATATGCCGCTGATGCTTTTACAAAAGCACTGAACCAACAGACCGTTCTCCGAATTCAGTCAAACATGCAATGCCATCGGAAAATCTCCCATCTGCATCTCCCTCATGAGACACTATCGTTGTAATTGTTATACTAGTAAGCGCAATCTGGGGTTGACTAGGAGCAATCTCAACCCGTTCTAAACGTTGTCCGTCTCAAACGGAGCATGTGACCGTTACTGTAACGGAACGCATTCCGCCACGCAGCGAAAACGGAACAAGCGCCGCGGCCCGAATTTTCCCTTCTAGCCAATTCCAGTCTCCAGCCAGGCCAAAGCCAAAGCCAGCGCAAACCGACTTTTTTTTTCCCTTCCTCACCACCAACAAGGCTGACGATCGCACCAGCATCACCTCGACGGTTGTCCTTCCGCCTCGCCTCGCCTCAACTCGACTCTCTCCCTCAGCCTCGTCCCTCCTGCAGCCATGGATCACGGACGCGATCCCTGTCCCTACGTCATTCTCAATGACTTTGGCGGTGCCTTTGCCATGGGCGTACGTGATAAAGCCTCTTCCGCTTGCTCCCCCCCCACCTTGAAATCACCACAATGCTGTCATCGACGCAAAGATCGCGGAATATCCACAACGAACTGAATTCCCGCTGACTCTTGGACTGCGCACAGGCTATCGGCGGCACCATCTGGCACGGCATCAAGGGCTTCCGAAACTCTCCCTACGGCGAGCGTCGCATCGGCGCCATCACCGCCGTCAAGATGCGGGCGCCCGTCCTGGGCGGCAACTTTGGCGTCTGGGGCGGTCTCTTCTCGACGTTTGACTGCGCCGTCAAGGGCATCCGGAAGAAGGAGGATCCCTACAACGCCATCATGTGAGCATTGATCCCCGTCGCCCGCCTGAGAATGGGGCATGGATCATATCTTTTGTTCCTGGGTGGAACACGTCAGTTCTGACTTCTTTTGCAGTGCGGGCTTCTTCACCGGCGGCTCCCTCGCCTTCCGTGGCGGTGTCAAGGCCGCCCGAAACAACGCCATCGGCTGCGCCGTTTTGCTGGCCGTCATCGAGGGCGTTGGTATCGCCTTTGGCAAGATGATGGCTGGGTCAACCAAGCTGGAGATGCCCCAGCCGCCGCCCAACTCGGAAGTCCAGGCCATGTGAGCGAAAGAAGACGAACAAAAAGGATGACCGAAACGAACGAAAACCCGAATCGACACCAAACCTCTCTCAACTCTGCCTTTTTTTTTTAATCCTCTTGACTTTACCACTTTACTGGTCTTGGCGTTTACGAATCTTGACGCACGACTGATTTATTCCTCTCTTTGTGGACTCTGTGGCGCCAGAGGCTGTGCGAAGATAGAGGATTTACTCAAACCCGAACAAGGAGAAGGAGAAAATTGAGGGGAAATCCAAACTCTAAAAAAAAACGACCAATATCTATGGATATCTGCAAACCGCATCGCACTGGCGTTTTTCGTGGCTTATAGATATGGGAGGGGGGAAACCAAGAAGGAATGCAGGTTCGCGGAAAGAAGCGGGAGATGACAATCTCACGGGCTACTGGGCCTCAAAAGAAATGGTATTTGTGAGCCATTTCACATGTACGAATATATGAGAAGAAAGGGTCGGCGATGGACGAAACACGCCGCCTGTGTATAGCTGTATTCTTGGAAACAAGGCCGGTGGGACGGTGTAATCCCATGAACGAGAATGAAAGAACTGGACAATGCTGTCCTTGCATCTCAATGGTTGGCTTTCTAACATCTAGACCTCTATGTGACAGAGTGCACACATCATTTCAAACTCACAAGTCTCACAGCTCATCCGCAGATCCATTCGACCAGATACTCATAACCGGCCTCCCCTCGTCATCGATCCAAGCACGATACATCCCGCCGCAATTATACCCCATCAACACCTCCGACCGCGCTCCCACCACCCGCCCATCCTCATCCCGCTCAAGCACGCACTCGAGGCCAATCATGCCCCCCTCGCCCTCGCCCGTGCGTCCCCAGCGATCCCCCGCGCTCTGCTGCAGCTGGCCCCCCGGACCGGCGACCCGGGCCAGCGCGAGACGTGCCGGGGAGGGTTTGTAGCGCGCGATGGCGGCGACGGTACGGACGGCGTTGACGCGCAGGAAGGAGTCGCCGTTTCCGGTGCCGGAGAAGCCCACGGAGCGAGTCGTCGTCGTCGTCGTCGTCGTCGGCGTCGGGGGCGCAAATGAGGGAGAATACATCCACGGCGTGGGGAAGCAGTCTGCCAACAACCCCTTCAGCGGACCAGCAAAGCTGATGCCCGGCTCCGCCTTGAGGAGAGCGTCCGCTTCAACGTCCTCCTCCTCATCCCATTCCTCCGCCCAGAAACCAGCCCCGACGACGGGCGTGTCGCCGATGCGGCCCGTCAGCTTGTTCGTCATGCCGCCCGTGCTCGTGGCCGCGCATATGACGCCCTCCGCGTCCAGGGCGACGGCTCCGCACGTGCCCTGGGGGAGGTATTCGTCCGCGTGCCACGTTGCTGACGACGACGACGACGAGAGGCCCGACGACTTTTCGCGCTCGAGGGCGCGGACGTGTTCGTCCCAGCGCTGTTGGGTGAAGAAGTAGCTTGGGTCGACGAGGGGGAGGTTGTACTTTGCGGCGAGCTTTTCGGCTGTTGGGCCGTGGAGCTGGGTGTGGCCTTGTGCGGAGGGGACGTCCAGCTCTACGTCTTTTCCATTCTGCTTGAATTCTTCATCATCATCATCATCATCATCATCCAGTAAAGAAGTAGAGGCACCAGCTGATGCTGAAGAGGATGACGAAGAAGAAGAGGGCACAGACCCCGCCGGCGCAAGATCATCTTCCCCGTGCTCGAGCATCTTCTTGGCCAGCAGGATGGGGTTGCGCACCCGCCGGAGGCCCATGACGCCGACGCCGCGCTTCTTGAGGCCGCGGGAGACCATGACGGAGGCCTCGAGCTCGTTGACGCCGTCGCGGGTGAAGACTGCGCCGTGGCCGCTGTTGAAGAGGGGGTTGTCTTCGAGGAGGACGACGGCGTGGGTTGCGATTTCGAGGGCCGAGGGGTGTGCTGTTTGCTTCTTCTCTTCGGTGTACATGTATGGTGATGCTGTTGAGGGGGTAGGTGTGGAGGAGTTCATGAAGGCTTGGGTCTTGATGACCTGGGTTTATGTCTTAGTATAGCAGCACGAAGCGATGAGGGGCATATTGGGTTGGAGTTGGGATGAGGGATGGGTTTCACTGGGTATATAGAGAGATGAATTGACTTACAATTGACAAGAGAGCGGACCGGTAAGCAGCGTACTTTTCAGCAGGGAAATTGCTTCGTAGGATATTGCCCGCGCCGCCGTGGATAATCAAGCGAGGCTGGATGCTCACCCCGTCCTCCGAAACACGCTGTTTTCTGTACTCCATGATGACCAACTCAAACAGATCTTGCAGCTCTGAGTAGTTTAGGACGAAGAGGGCGTTTTATGAGTTGGAAGGATGACGATGGACCGTTGTTTGTATGTATATCAGATGTCGATGGTTGAGGGTTGAGATAAGGCGGAGTTGCGCGACTGATAAACCCGCGTTGGGCGGGAGACCTGCCTGTTTGGGAGTTTCTTACTCATCCATTGTCCAATTTGGGATAATTTGCAGGTTGTCCAGAATCAGACAAGATTTTGAATGTTGGAGCTTATTCAAGCTATCTCCGCGGATCTCGTACAAGTGAATCAATCATTCATCATTGAGTTTTGGATTCATTATTCCAACGCCTTCCATTTGCATGTTGAGGAGACTTTTTATCAGAAAAGAGGCTATAGAACATTGTTATACTTGCCGTAAATGTATGGCTGAGTGATCCTGTCCCATGTCAAACAAAAGACAACCCAGTAGTAAGACAATAATTAAATGTCAACAACACCAACGTCCGCCAATGTAGGCCATATATCTGCTGGCCGTTGTGCTTCCGTGGTATATCCTTTGTAAACTCCCGTTGCTCCCAGAATCAATCCAAGGGGTTCATCAGTGTCCCCGATTACGCTTTTCCCCGTGTATCAGTAATTACAAATCCTTTATCCTAATGACTATTTCCCTTTTCCTTATTTTATGGGTCATGGCGGCTTATTATATGTCTTGGTCGTGACGTTCATGGTGCAGTTACTGGGAGGCCTGCGGCAATCTTGACAGCCTTGATAACATCCTTTGGTCGCACGCCGGGAACTCTTCCAAGACAGACCGATCGACTACCAAGTTCTACCAAACGTCAGCAGCTGGAAACAAACCAAGATATGAAAGACATACCGTCAATTAGCCTGCGCACGTCCAGCGAGACCTTTGTCTTTTGCCAACTCGACCCCGTAGACCACATAGAGCCGAAATCGTGGCTGTTCATAAACGAAACTAACCCTCCACTCAAGTCAGACTCGTCCCCAAACCCAGCCGTGCGTGTGCTCTGACCTTCAGATGAGTCCCCCCTCAGGGAGCTCGTGAAATCGCCCATTGAAGAGGCGTTCATGTGCCACATGCTGTTGCTATTGCTGCTGCTACTGCTGTTGCCGCCGCCCAGGCCCGAGCTCCCCGGAGGCAGACCTATGCTGGCAAAAAGGCTCTTTGTGCTGGCCTCGTCGGCGGCTTGGAGGTCGTTGAGGTCGAGCTCTGTTTCGACAAAGTCGACGTTGGGGGGGATGACGAGACCGAGTCTGCGCAGGAACAGTTCTACTTCGTCGGCGGTGAAGAACTCGCCTTCAAAGTTTTGGTAAATCATCCGTATCCGCTGCTCGGACCGCTCATCGGAGCTGGCCGAGGGTTGCTGGCCGAAGGACGTTGCCAGGCCGGAGAAGCTGTTCGTCGGCTTGCCCAGGGAGAGCAGCGCGTGGCCCAGGTCGTCGGTGCTAGTCGTCGAAAAGGCATTGTCCAAGAATCCAAACTGATCTGTAGACGTCATCTTCCAGTCCAGGAACTCGTTCTGCACCTTCTTCAGCCCGGCAGCCAGTCTCTTGATGATGGCATCGCGGGACTCGAACAGAAGGCAGAAGCCAAAGACGGTCGCATATTGCTCGGGTGGCGGGTTCTTCATCGTAGCCAGCCTGAGGCCGCGTTCCAGAGTCGTCTTTTGCAATCTCTTGCTAAAGGTGCGATCGGTGAAGCCGAATACCGGAGGTGAAAGTCGTGGATACGGTGAAGGGTTGTTCATGTAGTTGCCGGTCTGGGGCTGTGAGGTGGTTGTTTCGAAGGAGGCAAAAAAGGGAAAGCTGGCGTTGTTTGGCGTGGCCTGGGCGATGACCTCGTAATTGAAGGCACCCGGGTGCTGGTGGGTAGAGAAGGCAGCCAGTTCTGGCTCCAGGACGCCGGTTTGGGGAGCGAGATCCGTGGTGATGTCGTGGGCTCCTTTCCGTGCAATCGCAGACTTGGTCCCGATGGGATCGTCGCTCTCCGGGGGCGTGATGCTGCCGGTGTCCACCATGCTGGAGATGCGGAGGAGCCTGTCGGCGATGAGTCGGAGGCGAGGGGCGGCGTGGGGGGCGAGGTCGAAGATGCCCTCGGCCAGGATGATGTCGTAGAACCTGGTGAACTCCTTGCTCATGGCCTCGTTGGAGGCTTCCAGATCCTTGACCTTTTGCTCAAGGGTGGTGATGGCGGTGTCTTTGCGGTGTCTGTACGCTCGCTGAGCGAGACGGATCTGAGTACGGCGACGCTGCACAGACGTGGAGGGTTAGAATGCCATTGCACATTGCCAAGTGTACAAGTACGAGCCAACATGGCAAAGCGGTTGAGAAATTAGGTAAGGAAGAGAAACAACGGGGATGGAAGTGTTGATCATGGTAATGGATAGTAGGATATTCAAGCATCATAGCAGTCTCGTACTCACATCAGCTGCCGTCTCGTCCTTGGTGTCCAGCCTCGGCCGGCCTCTGGATCGCTTCTTCTGCACGCCATCCTCCTCGTCGTGATCCGACGGCGGCGAGCGCTTGCCATTGACGACGATCTCGTCGGCCCGGGGCTCGGGCGAGCTTATGGGCAGCTCGCCATACTTTTCAGCGTTGAGGATGGAGATTTCGCTCTGAAGCGACGGCAAGGGGGACCGCGTTACGCGACTCATCGTTTTGTGGTGTGTGTGTGCGTGTGTGTTCAATGCGGTTGAGTAGGTTGTTGAGCGAATGATTAGTCGAGCCGAAGAGGGCCCAAGGAATCAAAGAACTGTTTAGTATGTGAAGATAGAATAATGGTGGAGTTATAGGAATAATAATCCAACGGGGAATCGGGATCGATTAAGATATAGTCAACTTGAAATAAGAGAAAGCACTGCGATAGGTATACGGTGGATGGATGTGACGTCGGGGGTTGGGCTGGCGAACGGCGCGGGGCGCACACAGGAGTATACTAGTAGTAATAGTAATACTATTCCGTTATAAGCAGCAGCCTCGTTTTCCCCGTATGGTTTTCATCCGTGTTCGTCCGTGTGAGCAGAGCCTCGGTGAGCCGCAAGTTGTAGGGCAGAGCACAGGTGAGAAAAGGATAAAAAGTAATACCACCGGTCTCAGATAGCCAGAGCAGAAGCAGCGGCTCTCGCTGAGGAGTGTCACGTATGTAGTACTTGTACCGCTCCGCACCGCAAAAGACCGCAGCTCAGGCTTTGTTGGGGGGCTTGCAAGGGTTTATACAGCTGGGCTGGGTGGATGGATCCGAAGCAGGGATTCCGGGGGTCAGGGGCCGCAAGACAGGACCGGGAGTGACTTCGAAGGGGGGGTTGACGCTGACACGGGACCAGCCCTACAGAGACGGAGATTCGCTGAGGGCAGGGAGGTGCCTTGTCAGAAGAGGCGAAACAAAGGTGGGCAGTTGTTGAAATAGACGAGGGAGCAGTGCTGTGTTGTCAGCACAGGTTGTGTTGTGTATAGTTCTTCGGATGTGGTTGTCCAAGCTCGAGGGGTTCCGGAAGCAAAGGAAGTCCCACGGCTTCTGGTTCGTCTGCGCACATGCAGCCAGCCATTAGATTGCGCCTTATTGCTAGCGCCTGGCTTCTGGCGCGGATTACGAAGCAGCGGCAGCCCGTTTCTGACGTCGGCAACTTGAGTCTTTTAGGCTTGATTTTCCTGGAAGGGTTGCGCAACTAGTATGTTCTATCTACACTACATAGCATGAACAGAGTTGAGTCGACTGTTCTCATCCACAACCTGATGATGACTCGATTCTCAACCAAGACAAGGTACCTCATCTAGAAGAGCAATGCTATAGTATTTGATATCCTATACTGTGAACCTCTTGATAGTTCGAGTACTTCGCAACAGGCAGACAACGGGCTTACCGATGCGATTAGCGAATGCGAAGCTGCTAGGCCGTTTGAGGTTGACCTAAGCCGCATTAATAAGCAACCTCGAATTGTCGTTGACCCCACGCAAGCAGTCGCAGATGAGCCTAGCCATATTAGGATAACAGTACCCTGGCACGCTGCTCCACGTGTGGGGCTCAAAGGCGACTTCCGTGCCGGGCGCCTTTCGGCAGCCTCAGCTGTCTTTGTCAGCAGATCAAATCCAGTGATTGACGGAGATGTGCATTTCTTGATCGAGCAATTGCGGTCCAGTACAGTGTGATATGAACTCGAAGCGACCGTCTAACAGCTCTACAGACTGTGAAGACTATAGAGAGCAAACCAGAACTCGCTGCTTCGTGTAGTCGCTTACAGCATGTGTTCCAAAAGACAACCCACAAGGCCGGAACTTGATTGCTTGCAACAGCTCACTAGTCCATAAATGCACTAGCTGCATTCTACACCCTACAAGCATCACAAAGGTTAAATGAGTACAAATCGCCACTTGTATAGCAACATACTGATCAGCATATAATAGTATAGGACAAGAAGTCGCGCTACTTTAGTACATAGAGGCAGGGCAGTACCTGATAAACATGCCATATTTTACCTGCTACTGCAATATCAGCTATAGATTTACTTTCTTATAGCTGTATTACAGCTAAGATATGCTGTCTTTTCTCTCTCTGGCTTCCTGAAGTATGTCTCTTTTTCCTTTTTTAAGTCACTGGGCATATTGATTTTGCAGAGGGAGTACATTCGCTGATTATTACTGAAAAATCCTGCGTATCTCGCGATGTGCAGAGCTAACCTTTGTGATGCTTGTGGGGTGTAATAGCACTTGTTCCACGAGTTGCGGCTTTGCGGCCCCAGCGGCAAGACCCGTTTTTCGCACTCCGCCGCTTCACCGCCTACCACTTCTAGGTTCCCAAATCCTGCCACCGCCTGCCTGAACAACACCAGAACCCGCAACTCGCTTCATCCCCCGGCCGAACACGTCCGGAGCCAGAATCAACCTTGACCTGCCGCGGCGGGGCGACAGACTTGTTGAGGCGCGGAGATCGTTCAAGCCTCATCGATCCCCGGCTGAGGTAATACAGAGCCTCATTTCAAGCTCCAAACTATCTTATTGCATACTAATCTCTGTCCAGAGCCTCGGGACGAAGCTCGACAACAGCCTCCCTCATACGCGTACAGCTGTGGCTACATACATACCTTACATGCATTTATGTCTATTGTCAAATCTGACAAAGAGGGTACGATTTGAGAAAACCTGGAACGACATGGGGCACGTACGTACCCAGACCTGTCCATACTTGATACGATATGCGACGGTTACCTAAGGTAGCACCCAGTGACAACGGGCTACAAGCCCAAAGTCCTACCTACCAGTACACGTCTTCCTCACACACTGCCTGGATATCCGTGGCTCCCCCACTCACGCCGAGGATTCCAGCCCTGTACACTGCTAGGATCTGCCGTTGATGCTCCCGAGTCCTTTGAACCTCGGCTCCCACTCAACCCCAGCTCGCTCAACCACACGCTACTCTCCAGTGCCGCTTCCTCCGCATGAGTATTGCTGTCATGCGTTTGATATTACCGCGATGTATGTACCAGAGACCCTCTTTCCGGCCTTCGGGGCTCGGCTTCAAGTGCCGTTGTTCCAGCCTATGAGGCCCAATCTTGCTCCACGCGGGAGTTGTGGATACGTTTAGATCACAGCATAGCTGCCTCAACAGGGGGGCTCACTCTGGTACTTTACTCCGTACGCGAGTCCAGGTGAATGAGCCGCGTGTCACCCTGTCTTCCTGCCGAGCCAGCAAGTACATGCACCTGCCGTGGGTCTTTGTGGCGCGCGGAGACACCGCCCAAAGCCTCTCGACGGCTTGTTCTATGCGGCTCTCGTCGAGGAAGTCCGGCTTGAGTACCGTGCTGGCGGTTAGGGACCCATCACGGTCATGGATCTTGGAGTCAGCTTACACGGGGGTGGACTGGCGAGGAGGTGAGTTGCAACTGTGACTGGGGCGTACCTGGCTGTTTGATTCTACGCCCAAGGCAGGGCATTCGAACGCCTAGCATAGGCGCTGTTGCAATGTCAGAACAAGTCAATCCTACGTGGGGGTTGTTAACTAGAGTTCGATGTTCAAGAGTCCGAGATATCTCCAGCTACCACATCATCATTGCTGTTAGTAGACCGTTGACACTTACTAGTCTAAACGTTGCCAGCAGCCACGCCAGCCTGGAGGTGTGCCCATCATCACGCAACCAGCCTTTCTTCCCATATGGATGAATTCGAGTGTATGGGTCCGGCTCATGTATATGTCGAATCAACAACGGACTAGCAACGTTTTCCAAAACAGGCTCCGGTCACAAACTGGGTTCGCCTGTTTAGTTAAGTTCCACCGGTCATCCGTTGCGCTGGGGTTGGTATAAAAGTACTTAGGCATAAGACTCAAGTCGAGATCAGCAGTCAACAACTCCCTGGAACACGATATACGAGCAAGGACAGTGTTCCGTAACTACTTCCTCTTTCGAGATCGATGTAGGATGTAAATGAATCGAGCTACAAGTTCCTCGTGTGCCCAGAACGTCGTTTCAGGCTCCTCCTCCTCAGTACGAGTCCCTCCGCACCGGAGAGTTCCGTCTAGCGCGCCATCTGCAAAGATAAATGCTCTTTATTTCAGCGGTACTCCGCTGGTCAGTGCTGAAGCTGGCATGTATCCCGACTTTAGCACGTGGTGGGATGAGGATGATGACCATGACCGCCACCGAAAGAGGAAAAGGGCGGCCGTCGTTGACACTCGATGATATTGCAAAGCAAATCAGACACGATCTCGCATGAGAAATGACAGTGTGAGTGCCCCCCCCCCAACAACGATTGACGGACCCATACACCTGCTAGAAGTCTTGCTGCACTATCGCCGAAACGGGCCATGTAATGTCCGATATACTATTCAGTTGCCCAATATGCTGTTAGACGCTTGAAGCTGGGGACTATCATGCCTTTCAACATGGATTACTACTGCCACGGCTGCTGAACAAGATCTTACTCTTGAACTTGGTACGGGTTCGTCCGAACGGGTCTGGGGGATGGAACTCTGTCCGTGTGATACTATCCTTGACTCTGATACATCCCTTCGGCGTCGGCGAAGGGAAGGTATTGTAAGATCAACACAAGGTGTGAGTGAGCTGACTTAATCTAGCGACGACTGTCAAAGGAAGCTGCCTCCATTGTCTCCATTGTCACTTTGTCTGTGCGTAAAGTTAGGGGGTCGTCGTCCAACAGAAGTTCAGAGCTGTATGAGGGACGCAGCTCTCTTTCCATCTCTTGTGGAAGGCCTTACCCGTATCCCAAGAGCATCAGAGATGATCTACTAGAGTAACAGTGTGGTCCACGGCTGGTACATACATGGCGTTGTTCAACCCCTGAAGTTCTGCGTACTGTGGCTTCAGAATACAGGTATTGAGAGTAGCATATTGATCACGATGATGGAGGGTGCGGAGTGTCCTGACTCTTTGCTGGAAGTATCTGTCGGGTTCGAGCTTGGCCCCATCGATGAGTGCCTTGATTGTGTCGGGGATGTGCCAGCCATCCAGTTGTCACCATCCTCCTACTGCTACCTATCGGTATCACAACAGAGCTGGTACTCATACAGGGGAGTCGAACAGTTCATTCTAGGCCAGTAAGGTAAGGATCAATAGAGACGCGTTAGGAACCACCAAGTGCTGATTGTAACAGCGGCCAGATGTCAGGGGCTTGGTCTTCACATCTGACATGATGCTACAATGAACAGCCGTCAGAAAGACCCATTCAGTCGAATTCTGTCGCCAGCAATAGACATTAGCGTGGAACTGAGTATGTGGCCACGTCGATCGTCATGGTGGTCCGCTAGGTCAGGATGCAGGCCGCAGTATGTACTCCGTACAAGCGACCGGCTGCCAACATCGGCAGCAAGGGCTCCCCTGACTCCAGTGGCAGCAGTGCCATGGCTTTCAGACGCAACCATGGCGGTGGTACTTCAATTCAGGAGAAGCACTGAGTCTAGTGGCGGAATTTGCAGGAGACGCTCAGACGGAAGGTAATAATCCAGGGGGGTAGTCTTCGTCGGCCCAAGGTGCGGAAAACGAAGCCAGCCCTTGTTGACGGCTGCCTGATGAAGTTCTCCCGCTTACTTGGTGTCTGAAGGACCCTCTTGGGTTCGTACGTGAGATGTGATTCTGTGCCGCCAGATAGTCGTGATGGCTTGCTTCTTGAGTCATGAGGCGAGACGCCGGTGATTTTGCGGAGTTCTTTAGATGCCGTCATATGTCTAGCAAAAGTCGTTTGATGTTCCGCCAACAGGCAACTCTTACGATGATGTTCAAGTTGACAACCGGTCTTTCACGATGTACATATCGCCGGCGTGGTTCTTCTACTCGCCGCCCCCTTTCTGCAGAGCGTATACTGAGAGGGGATGGGAGTAAGTAGGTATAGCGGAGGGGAACCTGCACACGCCGAGATGAAGACGTTCCACTCCGCATCTCTCATTTAGGTCGAGAGGGTGGGGGGCATGGCTGCTGCGGTATCTGGCATGCGGCGACTCTGACGGGACAGCTGTGTACGCTGTGTGAAAGGCGGGATACGGATGCTTAGCGTTGTGTAATGGTGTCGAAGTGTCCATGATCTCAGCTCAGAAAGTGTCATAATTGCAACGTCTGCTTATCCGGACGTGCGAGGCGCAAATTGATGCATCGAGGGTAAGACACGGGGCCTGTTTCTGATGCTGATGTTCTTGCGGCAGTTGAGGGAATGCAGAGAGGAAGCATGGTTAAGTCTCTTGGGAGATGTGAGACACAACAACTCAGCATCGTACAATTCATTGCTCTATGCCACGAGATCCCCAAGAAAGTATCGAGTCTCAAATTAAAGTTTTACAGTCAATGTGAACTTTTCTACCTCTCTCCATACGAATTATTCATCCTTAGGTATACACAAAGCAACCCTTGGTGGGCTTAGATGGCTTTCTACCGACACGAGCACAGAACAAGCAACTCCAGCACACTTTCCATCCATGAACGGCCCTCCCGAAAGGCAATCATTAATACTTCTAAAAAGGCTGTGTCAGGTACTACTCCGGTATACATGTTTACGTGTAAAGGAAAATAAACATAGACGCGCGTCTTTGCTGCCGCGATCCGGCTCGGCCACCAGCACACCACAGCCTACAGGGGTAACAAGGTAACAACCAGATACTTCACACCTTGATAATAGTAACTTGCTGGGGAGATTGCTTAACTAGCAAGGGCTTTCTTGTGATCTTAAGCCCTATCGCCTAAGGCAATACACGTAAACTCCTAGGACTTAACAGGTGCGGAATTCCGCCTGGTCTTTTTCACGAAGCCGCCCCACGCCCCTTGGAAGAGACAGAGTACTTTGTATCATGGCCAGGAGGGGTGCAACCTGTAGTATAGTCTTCTTTCAACAATATGGAGTGCCAGTACAGTCCCTAGGATAGGATCAGTCGATAGTGCTTCGAAATATTCCGGCCCCCTGGAGGGAAGGAAAGTGAATCGAGGCCGGTGGGCTGGGATGGATGGGGCAACGTTCCTTGTCTTTTTTTTTCCATGATGGGAAGATCAACACAATAGCAATTAGGACGCTTTTTCGGATGAAATGATTGTGTCGTCGTACTTCGTATCAGGCAGCTGAAGTCAGAGGTGCTGAGCTTCTCCGCCGTGAGACTCGGTTAGCATCGTCAGTGTTGCCGCTCATCCTCGAGTTCGACAAGCAGAAGTGCTGCTATGATACTATGTCGCCATTGAGAGAGTATGAGTGGCATCGTGTCATCGTGTCAAAATCCGCAGTGTCATGGGAGGTAACTTTCGTTTGTGGATTGAAAGACCTTGCTTGAGTCACCGACGGTTGGTGCTATCTGCTTTGTGCCCTCTCTTGGCGCAGCATGTACAATAGAAATAGAGTAGGAGACAATTTGGATGAATAGATCAGTTGGCGGAAAAAAGTCTGTTGTTGTTGTTGTTGTTGTTGTTGTTGTTGTTGTTGTTGTTGTTGTTGTTGTTGTTGTTGTTGTTGTTGTATTTCCTTCCGGTCTCCGTCTTGTCGTGCTGGGATGCTTACTGCTTCGAAGTAATCTCAGGTGTAGCGATGTGATGGCCCGGTTTCGAGATGCAAGTGTGAGTGTGCTGACCATTCCAAGGAAGAGTCCACGAGAGCGTTGGTGTGAGAATGATCGGGAGTACATCTTGGCTGAAATTTAATATATTGTCTTGGCAATATTTCATACGGCAGGCTCCAAAGGAAGTGTCTTTTCGAAACCTTCCAGTATAAGTTTGAGACTTCTGCGAGCTTAGTAGCGTTCTTCCATGGAGTCTTGAGAAGTCGTACTGGGAGCGGGGGAGTCCGCAATAGACACTGAAAGTGATTACTTACTTTGTTTACATGCACGCTGTTAGGAAGGCCGATAGAAATTGAGAATATCCCGAGGAATTGTTGGCTGGGGATATCTCACAAGGCGCAGCATATAACAAGGTCGGAATGGATATGGAATCAGATGACTAATTATAGGCCTATTATTGTACCTATAAGCATCAGGCTAAAAGACCAAGGCTTTGATAGATACTACGTGAAAAGAAGACTAGATGCCATAGCACGTGAACACTTCGCGACGGCCCTGAACGCTTGAGCATGTTCTTGAGGATTTAGATTTACGCCTGTAAGGAGAGACGTTATTATTTGAACCAAGTCTCAAGTATGCAGCCTACCTTTGTGAGAGAAGTTCTGTGTGTAGGGAGTTTCATATCGTATCTCAGACATGGTGGTGATGTATGGTGGTAGATTAGTTTAGAGAAATTGGATCTCAAGTGCAACCTCGCACAACAAGAGACAGGGGATAAGCGCCTTTATATGATGCAAATATCCAGACAGATGATTCCTACGTTATAATGAGAGGTGAAGCTGAATCTACATTCTACTGCGGAACTATAATAGCGCTACATCATAAGGTTATTCTAGTCCTGACCGAGTGTTCATTATAAAGTAATCATGAGGTATCCAGTATAACCCTAAAAGTCAAAATACAGTCTTATTATATTTTAGTATCTTGGATTCATTCCACCCAAAACTCTAAAAGCTTCGCTATTATCGCAGTAGTGCGGAGCTTTATAGATCAACTATTCAGCTTTCTATAGATTTAACTAAACATTCAAGTTTTGCGGTAACATTGAATAGGATGTCCCATTTGATGTTTGAGAAATGTTATGTTACTGGTGCCAGCGGATGATGATGATGGCAATAAGATATAGAGGTCCCATTTCGGTCATACTCATATCTGAATATGTTGAGTCACTAGCGTCAAGGGACGATGATTCTGGCAACATTGTTTAGGACGCCCCGTCTCAAGTCAAAACGTCAGGGGAAACAATGGTACGTTTGTGGCGTTTGAGGCATAGTATTATCAAGGAGTATTATCATTCAGCTCTTAGAGAATAGTTTCATTAAGCGTTCCGCCAACTCTTTTCCTGCCCAATAACATCTTGCCTTTGCCCTCGTGGTATTCCTTTTGTTTCTCTTCAGTGTCATTTCCGGTTGAGCTGCCTAATATCCATCTTGCTCAGTTCCTTCCTGGCCACCTCAGCCCAACTCTTCATTGGCTGCAACGAGGGAATCTTCCGCGGTCTCACTGTTACATTCGGATCGCCACTGTCTCCGTCAGCAAGACCACACCTTGATGGAGTAGGCGATGACATGATCGACGGAGACAGCGACACGCTGGGGCTTGGAGGCGGCGGCGGCGTGGAGGGCCTTCGCTCTCTGCTGGGAAGATCTCCCCAGTGAGTCTCTGGCTTATCGTCGACGGTCAATATCCTGCTCGTGGACGGACTGTTGTGAGTTGGCGTTGGCATGGTGTCAATGCTCTGTCTGGAGAAGATGGACGATGACATGCTGCTGTCTGTCAGGCTCTGCTCCTGGTTGAGGTTCGGAGTGCCTGATCGACTGCCGGGGGTTACGGGAAGGGGCAGTCTGGACCCTGATCCCCTGGATCGCAGCATGTATCCCGACAGGCTTGTGTTGCTCGGGGTCCGATTCGGTAAGCCGGGAGACACTGGCTGAGCCGCCTTGACCGTTGCGCTGTTGCTAAATCTAGACAGCGATTCGGTGGATCGAGATGGCGGGGTGGGAGACTGGAAGTTGTTCGAAGCTGCTCGAGGGGATGACTGGTATGAATGCCGGAGCGGCGGCCGTTGTGGAACAGCTGACGGTGTCGAATGAGCCTTTGTCAAGCCGAGACCGACGCTTTTTGAAGCTGGCGAAGGGGGAGCACGCGGTTTCGATCCCTGGCTGGCTTGGTGGTGCTTGTGGTTATGATCTCTTTTGTGTCTTCCCTGTGCCTGTGCCTTCTCTAGCATGTGGCACTTTTCTTCTGCACTCTTCAGCAGAGCTTGTAGTTTGGCAATGTCATGTTCATGCGCCTTCCGCTCGTTCTCCAGCCGCTTCTCATATGTCTCGTCTCTGCCGTGCAGCTCGGCAATCTTTCTTTTCAGGTCGTCGTTTTCCGCCTTGAGGCTCATCAGAGCGACAAACTTCTTGTCCCACTTGTCCTCGACCCAGGAAACCGGGCGTTTACAGCACTCGCCGTGATATATTTGGTGAATGCCTCCGATCATGGATAGCTTCTCGTCAACCTTGTCGGCTGGTAGCCGGGCACGGGGGTTGGAGGATATCATCTTGGCAATGAGATTCACCAGCGGCCGAGGCCTTACTGTTTCTTGGCCCTCGTAGGTAAACATGAATTGTGGCGTCACCAAGGCGTGGGCGGTGAGCTTGTCAAGAAGACGTCTCAGATTGTCTTCACGGATAGCCAGTTTCTCGCTGCGTGCGAGGTCGGCTTGGTAGGTCAGGGCGTCCTCAAACTCGGACAGCCTTACGTTGTAAAGCACCGTCGCGATGTTGAGATATACCAGCCCCAGGGAGTACATGTCGGAGAGCTGCATGCTGGAGCCATTCTCGCTATACAGCTCCGGGGCGCGCCACTTTTCTGTCCCGGGATTACCGTCAATAGTAGTCTGTTCCTGGTCGCTGACATCCTTGGAAATGCCAAAATCGGCCAGGTATACGCGACCGGGCTTGAGCAGGATATTTGACGGCTTGATGTCCAAATGGCGGACGCCGTTTAGGTGGCAGTAGGCCATTGCGCGAGCCACGCAACCAACCACGCCGCGGAGGAACTCAAACGGGCATTTTGCCAGCGAGTCCATGTTCTGCGTCACAGTCGCGGGCTCAATAGCGCTCAGGTCATTGAGCTCGAGTGCGTCCAATCGACCTAGGATGTCTTGGCGGTCCCCCTTGCCTGTCCGTATTGAGTCCAGGTTTTCGAGCAGAGTGTCGAGATCGCAGACGGCGGCGGGCCAAATGAGCAGGCAGAGCTCGTGCGGCCTGGGCATATACGCGGCGACGAGCTTGACGACATGGCGGTGGTCCAGCTTGCGCATCGTCAGGCCTTCCTGTCGCAAGTCTTCGATGGTCAGGCCGCGGCGGCGCATGATGCGCTTGCGGGCGAGGCAGACGGAGTCATGCTGGACCTTGTCGACGCGGCCAAAGGCGCCGCCGCCGAGGTAGTCGAGGGGTGTCAGGCGGGAGTCGAATCGTTTTGCGTCAGGGCCGTTGAAGAGCGGTTTGTGCCTTGGTATGTTCGGATTAGCTGTGAAGGTACGATTCAAGCTTGCCACTCCAGCCTCGACTCTGCCTCCAATTGCGGCCACAGTACGCTATGGCTGTGAAATGACTCACACGCTGGGCCACTGCTCATCTCCGTCCCACGCCGCCATGGCCTCTCGCTCCCTCACCTCTTGTTCGGCCCATGATTCTGCTTCTTCGTCAAGGGCCAAGCGGCGGCCCACGGTGATCCATCCGTCGCCCCGGCTGCCCATGCTGGGCGCAAAGTGTCTGTGGCAATGGCGATGAGGCGGTGGAATCGGGTGTGGTGACCGTATCTGGGGTTTTGCCTCTCTCTTTGGCTCTATTTCTTTTTCTTTCTTCCCTCTTCAATTTCTTTTGTGTGCTTTCGGCACCTTTTGAGAAAGGAAGAAGATTGATTGACGAATAGCTGAAACTGGAAAGTACGGTATTAGAGATTCGAAGCCGGCTGAGGCTGTGAAGCCACTGCGCCACTGCCGCCACTACCAGATCAAGTTTGTGTGGGGGGAGACGGGTGGGGCTACCTTAAATGGACCGGGGATGACTTCAATGCATGTAAGTTCTTCAGGAGTAAGAGGACAAACAACAACTCTGAAGATGTAACTGCTCAAATATAAGATATAGATTGGACGAGGATTTGCAACTTCACATCAGTGATTGTTGATGTTAGCATGCCTCATACACTGGCGCAAAAAAACCAGGCATGCATCAAGCCGTGTGTAAGCAATGTCTCTCGATGTAGACGAGCATGAGCAGCCATAGTGACTGAGGATTAAATCTGGATCTCATTCGTGATATGCTTCCTAGCTTTGATCTTTTCAACATCCAGTATTTAAATTTTTTTTGGCTTCTCAACAGCAACTACACATACATCCGTTGTCATGAGATTTCACCTGTCATTACCCCATTTCAAGTTACGGGCCCAAAGCTCCCTCGAGTCAAGCATCAATAATAACAGTAGCTCATCTAAATGTACATAGCTTGAGCATAATGATTGAATGGTTATTGGTAGTTTCAATCGTACCTAATTCCGTCCATGAGGGGCTCTTGTGTCTTCAAGGTCATGATACAGCAACATGTTTCCAGTTAGTGCATTACTGTGAACTCAAGCTGCTAGCCTGGTGAATGAACTGGACATGATAAGGTCAGCAGTCATATTTAATAGTACTTGAATGAAGCTTCCGATTGAGCTAAGTGTTCCAGAAAATGAAGAAACTATGGCAGTACAGGGATGGATATGGATGTTTCATTCAACGAATGAGGCCCTGTGACGACGAAGAAGATGGTGGTGACATGGCGAACGACAAATCGGTAAGAAGATGGGAGGAGATAGAGCGGGAGTAGGAGAGGAAAACAGAAGATATGCTAAGGTAACTTTATGTTCTTCCACTTTCTTCTACTAGAGATTGATACGCTTAAATGCTGCATTTATATGCAGTATGCCCTATCTGGTACCATTAATATTCCAAACCATCCACACCTCCGTTACCTTTGGATTAACCGAAGCCATTCTTTGCGGAATCCAATGCTAAGCAGCAAGCTCTCATCGACATGACCCGCCTCCACGAGGTACTTTGCCACTCCGCCTTTGTCAGAACGCAGGTCATGCCAAGATAAACCACGCCGCGGCGGACTTGAGGATAAGAGGGTTGGGTCGGCTCCAGCCTCCTCAATCAAGTACTTGACCAATTCAAATCCGCCAAACCCCAAGATCGCAGCAGCCAAAACACTGCCACATAGTCCGACGGGCGCATTCACGTGAGCTCCTTTCTCCACCAAAAGCTGTACACACCTCAGCGAACCTCTGTATGCGGCTGCTCCGAGAGGACAACCGAATCGAGAGTTTTCGCCCGCCAAGTTCACATTCGCTCCATTATTGATGAGGAGCTTCGCCGTATCAATCTCAACACCATAGGCAGCTGCTTCCAAGGCGCAGTTGAACCTGCAGTCTGGACATGTCATGTTTGGATCCGCTCCTGCCTTAAGAAGTAGTTCAACCAACTCTATACCGCGTGTAGCAGCCAGACAGAGCGGACTCCTACCCTTCCTGCTAAGATTTGGTTCGACACCCTCATCCAGGAACAGCATCACCGTACTAACATGTGACTGTCATATAGCTTCCATGAACGCGCTTCCAAAGGAACTATCCAGCCCTCTGTGTATATCGCTTCCCCGGCCAATGAGCTCAGAGCAAAGTTCGCCATGGCCGTACCTCGCAGCAATTGAGAGCAGATCCCGTCCCTCGGAGTTGACTTGCGAGACGTCGATGTCTTTGTCCCACCAGCCCTGAAGCAACCTGTGAAGACCAAAAACACAAATGCCAAAAATGGACTTCTCTGATGGTCGTATATCCTCAAAAAAGTCAAAGGTGTAAGGAATTTGAAGCCTGATGCCCATGTGTTTACACCATGCTTGATACTGTCGACTGGAGGATTGTTGAGGGCCTTTGGTTCCCAAAAAGCGTTGAAGAATCTCTGATAGACTTGTCGTCCTTTGGCACTGGTTTAGAGTGTCTTTTGCATGCCGTATCCAATATTCACTCGCATATTTTTGAAGAGGATGCCGCGGATCCAGGTGATTATCAAGGTCCGGTGTCTCCTCGAGGAAGTCGTAGGTCTCGACTCTCGAGTCGGATGGTGTCCATTTTGAGTAACAATCTATTAAACACGAAACCAGCAGGATTGCCACATCCGGAAAAGCATTGTTCATCCAGCTCTTATGCTGAGTCTCAAAGTACTCTGCAACGGATGCATGCGGAAATTTCCAGACCTTCCGCTGTGAGTCTAGGACAACCAAGTGTGAACAGATGCTCTCCAGGGTTGCCTCATCGATGGGATCTGATAGAGTAAGGTACTGAAGGTTACTCTTTAAGCGAACAGCCTTCAGGAGGATTTCGCTTGTTAATGGCTCTCTAGCGCAAAACACCCACTTGACCGCCCGTTGCAAGACAAACTCGTCTTGAATGTTAGAATATATCTCGTCGTACGCTCCTGTGAGACTTTTAGGAAGTTTCCCAAGCCGCTCACGAATGCTTTCGTTGGTTCTCAGCCTTTTAAGCTGCTGCCATTGCAGATATGCCCATCGGAACCTGTCAAGTGATTGATCAGCATTGAATGGTTCAGAAGCAACGGCCTGGTACTACGGACAACTTACATTCCGTCGCTCTTCTCTCCAATCGTTCGTCTCACCTGCTCCTTCACTTCTGCCGATACTGATCTCCAAACACTGCCAGATTTTGCTACCTCCTCTTCAATATACTTCTCGATATCATTCCTATTGTCGGCGGTACTGATCGCAACAAGTCTCTGTGAACCAAGGTAGTCTTCAATGTCAGCCTCTTTGCGACTGGCAATGAAAACCTTGACAGTGCCTTCACCTTTGTCGATGAGATTGCGTAGAATACGAGCGAGAGCCTCTCTACTGTCCATCTCGCATTCATCTAGAGCATCCAAGACAAAGGTAGTCCGGGGATAGAAGTTGACGAGCTCCATCAAGGCCGTCTCGCATTCGGCAAGAGAAAAATTTCTTCTCTCCTTCCTCGCCTTTTCGTATAACATATAGACGTTTTTTTCCATCATGGCCGAATGGTTTGGTACCCTAGCAAGCTGAGAGATATAGCTCCTAAGGATATACTTCGTCTCTCGACGCACTGGATCTGAACGACTGCAGTAGAAGTAGGCAAAGCCTTCGTCGCACTCGGCCTTCTGTTGGCGGGTAGTAGGAAGGTGGTCAATCACTTTTGAGATGAGAAAAGTCTTTCCGGCGCCAACTAAAACAAGAGAAAACTCGAGAGGTCAGTTTATCGTGCTCGCGCTCAACCTCTGCTGTCCTTGCACTCACTGAGGTAAATGGGTCATGATTACATACCGTTGCCTTGGAGCCATAGAGTCGAAGAACAATCAGATTCTTCCCATTCAAGGAACTTGTAATGATTCAATAACCATTCGCATGTTGTAGGGGTCCTTGATTCACACTTTTCCTGCTGTTGCTCGCCGATTGGTATGTCGCTGATATATTCCAGCGCTTGTTCCAATGCATCATGGCCAATCTTCTCAACCAGCCTCTTGACAGTATCTTCGACATTTCTGAGTGGCTCATCAAGATTCTTGAGTGACCTTTGATGCTCTTGCGACGCAATTGCACCACAGCCCTGAGCTGCTATCGATATCTTGCGCTCTTGCTCTGCCAGTGTCGAGACTAGCTTTGCACCTTGTCCACCAGAGACAAGGGCACGCAGCAACTGCTTCCCTTGCCCTTCGTTCAAGCGCGTGAAGGCGTGGGACAGGAGCTCCATCAATGACTTATACAAGTCAACAAGCGCTTCCTGCAGATTCTGTGCTGCCGTATTGCAAGAGTCGCCAGTGAGGTATACATCCTCGTATACCTTGCCATGCCTAACAAGCCGCAGGACTTTCTCGGCACATCCGAGAATGGCCGCAAGGTCTTCACATTGGGACACATTTGCCTAATCATAGATTCAGTAAGGAGAAGCAGAGGGATCCGTCATGGTATATGGCCTTACCTTCAAGAGTACTCTGAGAGCTGACCAGACGACTGGAGATGGTGCTGGGGCAAAGCCCATGGAGATGTCACCAATTGCCGTAACCCACATCACCACTCTATTAGCGTAATTTCTCCATACGATCTCGTAGCCACCAACCCTGAGCTTTGGAGTTTCGTTCTTATACTCTTCTTCTCTCTTCCTGACGAGTGTGACGAGTGTGTCGAGGTCTTGGGCCTTCCCCTCACCATTATCGCTTTTGGAGGCATCTTCAATCCATTTCTTAGTCTTATCATCGAGCTTTTGGTAGGCCCGATACCATAAGTCGGAGTCGTCTATTGTTTCTTTTCCAAGTTCAACAGTCTGTTGAATCCGTTCATTTCGAGCCTCAACGGACTCGTCGTTGATGGCAGCATTTGTTTCCTGGGAAGCAGCAGGTGGGATCGACGAGATCGCACTTCTGGCTGGCGAAGCCTCCGATTTAGGGACCGGGCTTAGGGAGTTCTGCGGTGTAACATGCTTCTTACTCTTTCGTCTTTCGAGGTAAGAGGATAGTGCGGCGAAACAGCCACCTTCGCCTTGCTCGCTTTGCACGGCGCCAGCCATGCTTGATAACAACGAGATTCTATCACGAGAGTGGCTCCTGTGATATGATCTGCGCATGCGATTCTTGCTTCACGATAGACAGAATCATAATGCTCCTGGGTGGTGAGCAGGTGTAATCTTGACAAGACAACAAGCGGTATCGACAGGTAGAAGCTCACGTCGGGCACAAATGCAGAGCCGCCGGTCAGATCAAGCGACCCCTCAGCCAGCTGAGCACATGCATGCTTGTACGTGACAGGGCTGAAAACGAAAGCCTATAGGAATCCAGAAACGAACCACCACCTCATATATTTCAAATCACATCTTTCACCACTTCTAAGTCAGTACTCAGTAACTCTTGAGCGAGCAGCTCACATGTATATAGACATGTACTCGGGGTGCCAAAACCAACCTTTCGAGAAGAAGAATTGATATTGTAACACGAATAGGGGAGCAAGTCAGTAAGACGCTCGGAATCATCTGACCAATCACAGCGTGGCTGTGCTGCAAGGCTCTGGATGCTCTCACCTCCACGATCAAATATTTACACCATCTACACAGGTGATAGACTCTTAGTTGCGTATGAATTTGAATTCTTACCTCTATGAGCGCCCAACATAACCCCTAATGACATGTAGTCGATTTACCAAGTCGCTACCTCCTTTCAGCCGGGACTTACATGCATCAGGGTACCTACAATATAGGCCGGATGGCATCGAAAACCCATCACATACGACCATAGGTAGAGAAGAGTTCGGGGTCCCGTCTGCTCCCCCATAGACAAGCCTCTAACCGGCAGATTAGTAGTTGGGTGGGTGACCACCAGCGAACACCGGCTGTTGTATGTTTTTTGCTTTTTGTTTCGAGTACTGTCAGTTCTCTTTTTGTTCCAAGGCGTTTCGTCCGTCGTCGGCGTCTTTGTTCGCTTTGGTCTGCAGGTTGTGTGGAATATGCAGTGGTAGTCCAGGGTTATCATGCTTGTAGGGCGGGGTATTGCTCCTCCTCGTCCTAGGACCTTTAATTGTGAGCTTGTATCACCATCCGAAAACACATACTATTAAGATTCGTCATTCTCCTCTGTTCATCTTCCAAAACGCCAGTCCTGCTCCCAGTGGTATATAGCTTCTATATATCGTACAAACAGTTGGTACAAATCACAGCTCGCACTTTCCTGCGTCTATTCCTCATTCCATCTCATTAACCGTCATATCAGAGAAACAAGGTAGCAGCCGTCTTCCATTCTAATCCCCCCTCTCGGCTTGTCTCCCCGTCCACTTCAGCATCCTCCTCTCCTGCGCCTTGACCAGCGCGTGCCAAGACGGTGACAAGAACGGGTCATATGCTTCCCCATCCTGTACTTGCTTCGAATCCGGTGGCGGCTCTATATCCCGAGCAATGTCCATCAGGGTCAAGGATTGGACATTGCTAAGTCCGACGTTCGGCGGAGAGTCATCTGGATCAAGCGGATTCCGTCGCGGTGTACGTTGGTTCCTCCCAGCAGCAGCATTGCTCTGCCCCTCTTCTCGCTCGGCCATAGATCTTTCTTGCTCGACGAGCTTTTGCAGGGCTTCTCCCCTGGCGATCCAGTCTTCCCACGTCTTCTCAACCTTCCACTCCCACCACAGTCGTGAAAGCTGCACGCTCCAGGCAAACGTCTCCATCTTGGCGTTGTTCTCTGCATCCCAATCATAAGAGGCCTGCTTCCTTCTTTTCCCACCTTTGGCGCCCTCCTTCGCCAGCAAATCATCCATCATGCGATCCCACTCGTCCTCAAGCGCCGCCTCAGGAGTTAACCGCTCATCAGCGTCCATGATATTCTCGATCCGGTTTGAAAAGATCCGACCCTTGCGGCCAATCATTCTAGACAAGGTATGCGGCTGAGGTTTCCTCAACCGCACAAATGGCTGTCCCTCTGCAGTTGCGCTCACAGAGGGAACTTTTCTGGGCCCCTTGAGCGACTCTATCGGTCTGGGAAGAATGTTTGATGTGTATTTCGGGGGCTCGTTTTCCTTTGCGACGTTGATGAGGAGCGGCTCCGGTGGAGGAGTAGGTTTGTATTGTTTCGGATGAGGCTTTGTACGGGATAGGGCGGCGGTGTTGCGCACGGATTGAAGGTGGTTGAGGACTTGGCTGTGTTCTGGAGAATTGGGTGTCTGGGCTTTTGTGAGGAGATTCAGAAACTTGAAGTCAAGTTAGTTTGCGTCGGTAGATGTCGAGGAGCTGGGCAGTTTACCTTGTAGCCCGCCGCCATAGCTGCGTATATAAGCCTGTAGCTCGTATACGCCGTATTCTTGGAAAACCTCTTCCTCACAATCTTAACAATTGGGTGTTTGGGCGCATTTTCCGCTAGAGGGATGCGGCTCGCAGTTCGGATGAGGGCACGATAGAGGGCGAGAGCTGCGGTGCGGTGCCGCGAGTTGCGGGCGGCAATGAAGGTCGATCGCGCCATTGTTGGTGATGGGTATGCGCCGGGCTATGAGGGCAAAGATGTCGATGTTCTAGCCATTGGGTATGTTTGTGTGGGGTGGATTTGACGTTCGATATGCTCGTCGGGATCTAGAGTTCCATGGTGTTTTCTGGTGATGCAACCCATATCTTATCGCAGTTGGAGGGGTCCGTAGATAATCCGATCTCGACAGCGGGTGCGGGAGCTGCTGCGTCAGCATCCAATCTGTCTCAACCGAACAGACCCTTGTACAAGACAGGACCCGTGCAACCGTTTCCATACTCCAGACAAAGAACAAGTGGATTTATTCTCATTTGATCAATACTCAATTCAGGTTTGCCATGTGCTAAAGGTTAAAGCAAGACATGAGACACGTCTTGTTGGCGCGATAACATGTCTCACCCTTGTTCGTATTCGAATTCGCAACGCAGGGCAACAAACACAACCGTATCCGAGAATACAGTCTCACACCACCACCACCAACATGTGCCCAGCCTCCATAGGATTCTGTAGGAATGAGAAGCGACGGCAGATTAATATGAAGCCAAGAGGATACATCATGTGCTATATTACAGCGCTAGGCACCCGTTACTGCATGTTTATTGGCACGAATACGTTATGTCACTTGTGCCTTTCCCGAAACTTTGCTATTCTTTATCCTGGGAAAAGAGGTGGCACGTTTTATGCTGTCAGTGCGGCTTTACCCTGAGATGCTTTACAGTGAACTCTCTTCACCTCCCGTGACTAGATTCTAACAAATACGATTGGTGTAAACATAAGGTGATCTTGGAGGAGTTTTCGGAGACACCCTGATTGAGTCAAAAAGCATGTGCTCGAGGGATCAAAGGAGCGGCGACATCTCCTTTGGTTTACTTGAGACAAGATAAGGTAGGTCATTCACATGCTAATTGTTGTCGTGCTTCCATTGGCGGCCACATAATCAATCGTGATAGTATGATCCATATCTTCTGACAAGGGAAAAAGAAGAAACATCGAGTCTCGAAGCGAAGTCCTCCTCGGATGTCGGTTTCAGTTCGACCCCTACAAGGCCCATGATCCGAACATGCAAGGGATATCCTACGAACACGACCCTTCCACCCCGTGAATCTCCCCATATTATCCCGCATCGCATCATGGGGCAAAGCCATGAAGAGCTTCGCTTCCCAACTTTAACCAAGTTTGAGTTATCCAAGGTTCGATATTCACGTCGCCGCCGTAACATGATGTCGTTTCTTCGCATCTTACGACCTGTTATTGCTGCGCTCGGATACTGCCAAACAGGGAAAATGCGGCTGGCCCAGAAAGCCGGGACTTGTGACGGTCATCCAAATGAGATCCAAATGCTGTTTCGTACGGCAGTTGGGTAACAACGTGTACGAATACGGCTAATGAGAATGAATGCATCAGCAATCCCAAGTACTAGTATAGTACTAATCGCACCGAAACCCCATCTGATCAACAAGTCAACCGCCAGCATCAAGCTGACCTGTCCCGCACAGAAGGGTCGAAAGGCAGCCAATTACCCCAGCATCTAAAGTACATTATGTGTGTAAGTCGGCAGGGCCTCGTCATGGCGTCCTTTGTCCACGCGTGCAGCTTACACGTCCACCCTCGCTTTCGTGCATCAGGCTCCCTTTTTGGCTACTCACGCTGTCAGCTCGGTTCAAAGGCAGCGTGGCGCTGCGACTAAGGAGCCCGCGGCACGCCCAGCAAGACGGCTTCTGGTAACAACAGGCAGACAGCTGTCGCTGCCGTTGTCTAGGGCTGATTTGAAGGGCGTCGTCACGCCATCATTGGCCTAGTCGTAAAGCATCAGTGCCTGGACGATTTAAAAAGACGCTCAAGTCGTGGCTGCTTGTACTGCGGCTTGGTAAGCGCGCCATGTGCCGTCTGATGCTACAGGGAGCCTCTATTATACTTCGGCCCCCTTTGAGGAGGAATGATTACAGCAACTCCTCGGTGAGCATTACCAAGCGGCATCTCCACCGGATGACCGAAGCCCCAATGTTCCCTCATTTTCTTCTTTTTCCGTCAAAATTCCTTCTCACAGCTTTTAAAACGACCGGCATGCTGGATGTCGGGAAGCAAATCAAGGCCGAGGCTAGGCAGAATGGGGATTTTATCGACCGCGGTGGAGCGTGACGGCTTCGCCAGCTTAACCTTGTCCATCCAAGCAAAGAAACGAAAGGGACGACAGACCCAGAAGATCGGGCCCGCGGACTCGGTCCCGGCCGAGGCTTGAAGGGTCGATTCCCCGTTTTCCTTCCATCGGGCTAGTTTTTGATACTACTATGGAGCGAGAAATTTCTCACAAGTGGAACCATATATGTGATGGGTAAGCGGGTTAAGGTTTTTGAATGTCAGAAGATGCATCTTTCACCGGGCTGGGTTTGCTGCCCGCCAAGCATCACATGGCTTCAGTAGCCGCAGGACAGCGGTGCCCATGCATTGGCATGAGCATGCAGAGCTGTATGTATGAGTACGGAGTACCTATGGACAGGTAGTTGTAAGAAGTCTGTCTGCTGGTGCCAGATTGCCAGATATTACAGCCCATACATGCATCCTGCATCTCCATCCATCGTCGCATATTCCCTTGGCCATCGGCTGTTGCTACTGGCCATCATGCAAGGACTGGTCAGGTTTAGTCCAGCCACTCGCCGGATGGCCTTCAGCCGCAAAACAGTCGGTGTGTAGCCCGACAAAGCCCGATTCTGGCTCCTCGAGTTCCCATCGCCGACCACATGTTTGGAGGGCGGAAAGGTCGGAGGTTGTGCCTGGTCCGTGTGGAAGCCGGAGATTGTTAATAGCCGCGAGGCGGCCATGTGCTACTTGCTCCATCTCAGGCACAAAGAAGTGGTGCCTGGGAACTTTTCTCACCTCGGTATGAGAGGCTTTTACTGCAAGATACCTAGGTATGAAGTGGATGAGGATACCAGACAAGAGGCCATATGAGAAACTCTCACCATGAACATCCTTCGCTTCGGGCTGGGCCCAAATGGGAGCCGGAGCGCGGACATCGGGAGTTGCGCGCTTGCATACATGTATACACGTAACGCAGCTGTATCCAAGATTCATGCACGACCGGCCCCAAAAAAGCAACATTGAACCTATGAACTTGTCCTGTAGTAGATTGAATACCACCTCCCAGACGAGAGGATGCTTCCTTGGATCTGCCAGGCCTGCGCATGTGCTCCCACGAATTCTGCCCATCCTTCGGCAGGTGGATAAAGCAAAGTGGGTGACGAGCCATTGGGCGACAAGGCTCTTGGCCTCGGAAACGCGGGCTGATCCCTGTCAGAAAAGAAAGAAAAAAGAGAGGAGAAGAAAGAAGACTAGGAAAAAGGAAAAGGTAGGGGGCCTGATCTCCAAATTGTCTCCATTCGTCGGCAGAAACGCAACGCACTGCCTTACGGAGTACATGCCTAGGTATTCCTCTCTGCTGGGCGGGCCGCTACGAACTTCCTCGCCGGCGTCTGGCGAGTCCGAATACGCCGATGTGGTGGTGGTGGAGGAGGCATCGTTTATAATGAGGATGGAGTGGAAAAGGAGAAACAAGCATAAGGTATGAAGAGGAGCCGGGAACAGGATGATCGCGAGTCCATCGCAGTAGGTATGGCACGATATGATGAATGTGGTCTTAGTTATAAGGTAGTCAGGATATAGACCCTTGGAGCTGGTCAAGTCGGTCTGGCAGTTGCTGTAGGCGTCGTCACCTCTCTTGCAGGCACATGCGGGCTTAGACTGTGGAGGGTACTCTGAACTCATGTCCGAGACTGGATCCCGCTTCTTCTCTGAACAGATAGATGTCTCTGCTTGTATGCAGTACCGAAGAGCATCTCAAGCGGGTAGGTACTATTACTGATGCTTGTTTGGGAGCATCAGACTCCATCACGTCCACGTATAGGTATTTCGTAGCGTAAGCGCGCATGTCGCACATGTCAGTTCCTCCGACTGAGCATCGTCCAAGCACTCCTTTTGGTTTCCACTCTCCTGGTCCATCATGTCCGACTCCATACATGTACATGTAATCCGTCGTCGTACTCGCTGTAAAGGCAGCTCCCGAACAGGGACAGGTGAGGGCTCACGGGAGGCAGGTCTCGGGGGCCTTTGTATTTGTAAGTACCTTCGGAGTAGCATGGCGTAGCATGGCATGTCTCTTCGTGGATCGAACAACACGAACCCCATCGAATCTGGCACACAGGGATGCCTCGTCAACTGGCAAAATGCGTGTCTCACCACCCCCTGCCTCCCCAATCCCCCAATGACGCACCGCGTCACGCAGTACATGGTCTAGACCTGGCCTCTACCTGGCCCTCCCATTACGGCTCTCCCGGCTCCATGGACACGATGGCTGTGGTGTCAAAGGCACAGGCCAGTCATTCTGCCGAACCCAGTGGCAACATTCCTGCTCCATTTTCCCTTGTTGACACGCCCACAGGCCCGGAATAGTGCCTGGCGAAAGCCTCTTGCGAGCTATAAGTCCACATGTCCCACGCCACAGCCTGGCTCCGTGGATGCAGAAAAGCAAGTGATGGAGCGCTAAATCGAAAAGTTGAGCTCCTCCAGTTGCCACTTGCAGCGCCCACCGGACCCCATCTTACAAGCACCGGCACTACGAGGCGTAGCATCTCGACTAACCTCGTTATCCACGACTAAGACCTAGCAGCCGGGCCCCTCGACGAAAAAATATAAACAACTCTATACGGAGTCCGCCATGTTTGGCTACTAATACTGCCGGCGTCCCGTCCGTGAGCGATCGAGAGCTGTCAACCCTTCTATTGCCTCGACTCGACTGTGCTCTTTTGTTGTTTCAGGCTTCTGAATCCTCAGATCCTCCCTCAGGCGTTGCCCTCGCACAGACGGCCGTTTCGTTGCTGCCCCTCGGATCATACAACAGGGCCTTGAACATCATCCCGTTTGTGTCATCCAGTCAAGGGGTCCAAAAGGGAAGCCGAAAATAAAAAAGGAAGCGAAAAAGGGAAAAGGGAGACGAAGGAAAAGAAGGAAAAGACGGATCAAGACAAAACAAAAGTCGGCAGCGATCGGACTAAAACATCTTATTTTCCTCCGGGTTGCCGCGCTCACCACCGACTCCGCCGTGCATCTTCACTCTCGGGGCCCGGGTTCTTGGAGGTGCCGTTCCAAGTACAGCTGCATGAATTTAGGCTCACCCAACGAATCCCCGTACATGGTACATGCATCGGCCATCAGCGACCCGCTCGTAAGGCTCTGGTCGCGTGGTCCCCTCAAGTACCGGTAACCTCCCGCCAAGCTCCTCCTCGAGCGAAACCTTCTTCTCAACTGCAGAGTCTCTTCTCAAACTCTCTTTTGTGAACGACTTCATATCTCTGTTGACCGGTCGACAAGCCACAAGCCACAGACAACAGACCAAAGGCCTACATTGTTTTCTTTCCTGTCGTCCACTCTTCCGGCTCTTCTTCTCTTCTACACATCGCCAGCTCTTATTCTTCGTCTCGATCGAGTCAGCAGTACCCGGAGTACCAGCTTATCTTCTACAGCTCTACAGCTCTGCCGCTCTACAGCTCCAACTCTCGCTTCTGACGACTCTCGACGATTTTTATACCGCTACTTCTTACTCTTACATGCGCCGGGCGTCTTAATTCAACAGTCTACTTGACTTGTAACAACAACATAGAGCATCGCGCTCATCTCTTTACGAATCTCCTTGCTTCCACTGCGCGGCGTGCAATTTCCTTGGAATCTCACTTCTCATCATCTGACGACGAATACGACCCATCACATAGACAACTCTTCTCATTTTGCTCTCATATACGGTTGATATCCGTCACAACTCTACACATACTCTATCTACAGACTCGCAGTCCACGACAGGACACGAAGCACATCTACTGTCAACCATTACCTTGGTTTGACGACTCGCCTTCCGTTACAGGAAAGCCTTATTCAGACCTGCTCGTCTCATAAACAAACCACTTCAGACACAATGCTTGTCCACTCAGGAGCGGCCCTTCATGGCCACGAATTCTCCGAACAGACCGACAAGTTCTGGATGAACCCCTTGTCATTTCTGCCCAACATCTTCAGCACCGATCTTGTCCGCCAGCTACACGCTGCGCTGCCCGCTTCCGACGATGATGCCACTCCTCCATCTCGCTCTGCCTCAGTCAAGGAGACTGGAGGTCGCCGCCGTGCCTCTTTCAACACCAGACGCCACACCACGTCTGACCTCGCCAACGCCGTCAAGTTCCAGGAGCCTGTCTCCGACTCTCGCAGCGACGACGTGGCGTCCATCTCCGGCAGTGAGCGAACCGACGGCTCAGTCCGGCTCGCGAGGCGAAAGCGCAAGGCTCGCTCATCGGTGCGGTATGCTCTGGCATTCCCGGCACCTGGACTGCGTACCAAGCAACGCAACTTCTTCCAGGTCCGCCCGCGTGTGCTCCTGCAGCTTCGAGAGCTCACGGGTACGAAGCGTGCAATTCCGGCGTATGACGTGATTCCGTCTAGCCTGGTTGCGGGAACTTTGATTATCCCAGCACTGCTCAAGGCATTCCCTCGCATGTTTACTGCGAAGCCTCATCTCGGCCAGAACGACTTTCTCTTGGTCCGGCGAGACGACTATGTCCCTGCACATGGCAATCATCAGCATGACGGCAACACACATGGCGACAGCAGCAACGCCTCAGATTATAAGGAGGTGCTTGCAGTCATCTCAACGACTGAGGATGACGACTGCGCCAAGATTGTCTTCAAGGACGGGTCAACCTGGGTTACGAGCCGCAATGCCGCCGGGTCGTATGACTTTAGCCACATCAACGAGCAAGGCGAGACGGTCAAGGCCAAGTGGATCAAGAAGCCATCTCTGTCTCCCAGGACAAGCTGGGGATCTGCCAACAGCGCCCTCGACGGCAGCTCGCCTCCCTCGTCACCTACCACTCCCACGCCAGACGGCAAGTGGACATTTTGCATCTTGGACCCCTCCACCAAGAAGCATCCCATCCAGGGCATCCTTGATTCCACTTCCCTGGAAATCTACAACACATATGCTACCATGCCCTCAACGAGTGGCCAGCTGCCCTCGATTGCACAGGCCATTCAAGCAGAGGTCACTGGCCTCTCAGAAGACGGCACCAGCATCGCAGAGGAGCGGTCGTCGATGGAGGTCTCCGAATACAACAAGACGCTCATGCTTGCCACCGCAACTTGGATCAGCCTCCGCCAATCGGGCTGGCCTGCATCGGTGACGCCGAAGGTCTCTCGAGCTGTGTCCCAATGCATCAACTCGGGCCGCCCTCAAGCGGAAAGCCCCGAGGGCATTAATTCGAGAGCATCAACTTCTCAAGTCTCTCTGACTGATGGGGTCAACTCTCCCGAAGACACCTCGACCACCATCACCACTCAAGCTCCAGCTACTGGTCGACTTCGACGGGCGTTGTCTTCAGGGGGCGAGTTCATGAAGAGAAGACGCGAGGCGGCGGCTGCTGCAGCGGCCTTGGCTCTTATTGCGGAGAGGAAGGCGGACGAGAAGCGTGCAGACGACCTCAAGGTCCGGGAAGAGCCGGCTACATGCCGAACCCGGGTGAAGCGTCTTGCGCACAAGGTCTTTCATCCCTCGAGCACTCAGCGGGTGTCATGACCCACTGTCTGTCTGGTGTGAAGTTGCAGTTTGGAGGGGCAAGTTGGATTATTTTTGTCTATATTCTTTGAAGGCACAGCGATTGGGAGGATATATCATTGTCAAGCGGTGTTGAGTGATTTTCTTTTGTGGAATTGGGTGGACTAGAAGGGCGTTTGGGCTACAGTTGCTGGAGATATACCCTGGGTACATACTGTATAAAGGACGGTTCAACTCATATCGTCTCTCTCAAGCCTGTGTGATGTCGTTGCATTTTGTGATCTGAATAGGATCAGTGTCTCCAGACTCGTACCTTAGCATCTGATCTTACGTACGTGTACTGTAGTCTGTTGTGCGCTGAGAAGAGCCTCGTCTGATGCGTTCCTTGATATCCATTACCCCCTTGGGATTCTACGTCATTTGAACGCTGAGTAAGAGACAAGGATTGTTGGATTCGGGGTCGCCACTGAGCAAACAATTGGAGGCTCATTGTCGTGTGCATGTCTTGAACAGCGGTATCAAACATTTGCCCGGTCAAGCTGCCCTTGAATACCTTGCCGGCTCAATCAAGTCGAGCAAGATACATGTACATATAGCCGGTCTTTTGTATGCATGAATCTTAAAGAGGTTGCTCACTTTGCATTGAATGCATGTAGTATTATCACCTTGATCAAACAACGTAACCATGCTCGCTGACTATGTACGTGTACGAATATGAGACTCCATGTGATCGATCCATCACCGATTCACTGCTCCATCCGGCTGTAATTTTTATTTCCGAGTTCTTACAGTCCAGGGTTCGGTTCAAATTCAGTTCGGCGAGACAGGCTGCCGCTACACTGACGTGTTGCCCAAGCATCAAAATTCAGGGTGCCCTGCCGTGAATACGGACGAGGTGCGGAGATGCGGAGGTACGGACGTGGCGTATGGGCTGCGCAGCTCTGTGGCAAGTACTGGCACTGCACCTCAAGACCTCACCTTGAAGCTCCAGTTGAATCCATTGCTCCAGTGCGTGCTCAAGCTCCTTTCAGGCAGGCTGCCTGTCGCCAACGCGGCCGCTAGCCGAGCTACAGGTGCCTGCTGCTGCCTGTAGTTGCTGCTGGGAATGCGCCAACGCCCCTATAACCCGCGCCCGCTTGCCGGCACGGGGCTCAACTAAGGTACCATGGCAGACACTGGTAGCATCCCCGCGCCGTGCTGTCAAAGGGACTTTGCCGCCGCGGGGCTCTGCCGGCACAATCCAAGTACCAGGTACGGCGGCGCGGGTAGGATTAGGCCCACGACCCTGTGTCGTAATGCCAGCAGCTGCGAATTGGAAATCCATTGGCCGTGGGATTTGTGCCCCTGCTTCCAGACCTTAGCATCAGCATCATCGGGTGTGTGGCCTCGTTTGCATTTGCCTTGCATCTTGTATCCGGCCGCACTGCTTTGATCCTCTCCAGCATCTTTTCTTTTTTCTTCTCGTTCCCCTTTTCTCCTTTATATTGGTTCGTCGTCCGGCTTCTTCCTGCGGGTTCCTCCATGGGAAGCCTCAGCGTCCACTGCCGTCGTTGACCCCCCCGCCGCTCGTTGCCCAAGAGCTTCGAGCTTTTGTCGAGCAAGTCGGAATCCTCCCTTGAAGCCCTGCGGAACCCCTCTCTCGCGGGATTCGACAAAGCCTCAGCCTCGCCGGCCGGAATAAGAACAAGAGAAAAGTATCAACACATACAAACACACACACAACGCCACCGACAGGACCATCAGGCGACGATGGACGACAACATCGGCGCCAGCCATCAGGGCCCCCCGGCCGCGCTGTCTGCCAGTGCGGCCTCGCACCTCTTGGCCAGCTTCGCCGCCTACGAGCCCATCTCGCGTGCCACCTCGCCGGGGCTGCCCTTCCCCAAGTCCGACGACGACGACAAGCGGCGGTACCGCCAGCGCACATTTGCCTACTTCCAACAGCTGCCCTTCGAGGTTGAGGAGGAGGCCCAGCGCGACGCCGCCCTGCAGGGCATCCTCAAGCAGCTCTACATCGCCATCCAGGCTGAAGACTTCTCGCCAGGCGCGCTGCACTGGACTAGGGAGCTCCAGGGATGGCTCAACCTCAAGTTTGAGATGACGAGGGACCTGAGGGCCAGGCTGGCTAAGCTGTACTACTCGCTGGCGCTGGCCCCCGGCGTTGACAGCAATGCCGCCGAGAGGTTTGTCCGCATGGCTGTGAATCTGACAAGGTATGTTGGTCTGGGACAAGCTCCCCTCTCCCCCTCTGCCACTTGTGCTTCTTTGCTAATTGGGCTCTAGGAAAAACCATTACCTTAAACCGGGCGAAGATCTCACTCTCGACTGGAAACCGCTGTGGCAAGAGGTCAAGGCCTACGTGCTCCCCTCCGAAGTGGCAGCTCACCAGACGCACCGAAGACGAGCGGCCAAGCAACTGCTGAGGCTGACCATCAATGCACACACATACTTTGACCCCAGAGAGAGGCGGGCAATGCTGCAAGAGTTTCTGCCCTACTTCAGTCTCAACGACCTCCAGAATGCCTTCGTTGTCATAGGCGCCCTCAACAGCCTCCTGCCCAGCCATCCCGCCCCGGAGTCGGAGGTGGGGTCGCACCCGGCCGACTTCTTCCCGACCCTCTTCCACCTATGGTCCTTGGTCAACCGTTCAAAGACTGTCGATGTGGCCTTTATAGACCTGTTTTCTCGGATAGCGAGAGACCACAGCAACTGCTCTTACGTACCATTTGGGGAGCATGGCATCTTCACAAAGGCCCAGTCCGACGTCATCTTCACGGCCATTCTGAGGCTGACCCTCATCCCCGTTGGCCAGGCCAACTCGCCCTACACGCCCCTCGACTACTTGGCTGGCACAGGCGTGTATTTCGAAAAGGATAAGAAGAAATATCCCATCGCATACATGATTGCTCGCCTCATCGTGAGCTCCTTGTCTCCCATTTGCTGCGAGAAGGAGGAGTCCATCCTGTCGAGCTTGGAAGGCCTGATCGAGTCTATAGACACCTTCTTCCACCCTTCCAACCAGGGCGCCTGGTCGGGCATGCTCGCACAGCTGGTTCTGTATCTGACGGATGCCTTTGTGTCCCGCTGGAATCGCGAGCAGAGCTCGGAGCTGGAGGTTCCCAAAGAGCGCAAGATCGATGGCGCTCTCAAGCAGCGCTTCGTCAATGCGCTCAAGGAGGTTACCTTTATGGGCATCTTTTCCAAGAGCACCCGCGTGGCCCAGATATACACCAATGCTCTGCAAGGCTTGGCATATCTAGAGCCTGATCTGGTCCTTCCAGGAGCCTTGCAGCGCTTCTACCCAAGTCTTCAGGGACTGGTGGAGGTCCACAGGACAACCTCCAGTCTGAACGGCCTGCAGATGATTGCCAACATCATGTCTAAGTTGAAGGGCTACCGCTGCCACATCACTGCTCTGCTGGCCCTGGCGCTCCCTGGCATCGATGCAAACGATCTCAACAAGACGCAGTATACTCTGCACTTTATCCAGGCCGTGGCTCATAGCATTCCCATTGTCCCCTTGACGAGCGGGGAAAGCCACATCCACGATACGACCCTAGCCATGGAGTGGGTGCAGGGCGAGATGGCTCGCATGGAGCTCGAGGGGCAGAATGTCAAGATTGACTACAACGCCGAACTCACCGACGAGGACGAAGCCATGATCCTGAGATCCTCGACTGCCGGGTTTGGCGAGTTCCTGATCACGCTCCTGGGCAAGGTTTTCACTCTGCTGGAGAATCTCCCCGATGCTAACCAGGTGCGCGGAGGGACACCGGAGGACAGTGTTGTTAATGCTTTGCCCGCCGCCCTTTCGCCCCTGTTCGCGTCCATGTCCCCAGAGCTCTTCGACATTGCCCTGGAAAAGATTGCGACTTTTGTGTCGTCACACGTCGTCCACCAAGCGCGCGATGCCATGGCTTGGATCCTCAATGCTCTCTGCAAGGTCAACCCGGAAAAGACTCTCAAGGTGTTCATCCCCATGTTTGTGGTGAGCATCCGCAACGAGATTGACTTAAATCACGCGGCGTCCGATCGCACTAGCGGTACAGACTACCTGCCCAGAGACCGGGCCCTGGTTTGGCATGTCACCATGCTCGCCATGTCTGTCGTGCACGTTGGCCGCGAAGTCCTCAACTACAAGGACGAGTTGCTTGGAATTGCGCAGTACATGCAAGAGAAGTGTCGCGGCCTGCCCACCATTCTTGTGTCAAACTACATTCATCACCTGCTGCTCAACTTGACGCACACGTATCCCATCGACCATGCCCTGTACGAACCCGAGGTCCTTGAGAGAGGCCTCGATGTCACCGACTGGGGCAAGACGACGGCGCCCGCTGATCTCACCATCAAGTGGCACCAGCCTTCGCCACCGGAGATTGAGTTCGCCGTCGAGCTGTTTGCTTCGCAGACCAAGTCGGCTGCCGAGCAGCTGGAGCTTCTGCTGAGCGACGCTCCGCCCGTGGCCCGAAAGGGCAAGAACAAGGAGTGGTCTGACGAGGTATCTCGTCTCATGCAGCAGATTCGTCTCGTAATTAGCGGCATGGCTACCATGTTTGATCCGAAACGGGCGTCGGGAGAGACCATCGGAAAGAACAGCGGAGCTGGCCATGACGACATGGACGTTGATGCAGAAGACGAGGACCCCCTTGCGGAGGTGGCTGAGGACGAGGAACTGCGGCCACAGTACAGATACAAGGCCGGATATCTTCTCAGTCCAAGCGACCCCGTCTATGAGCGCATCCACGACTTGCGCGAGCAGCTTGGCCAGCTGCTGACGAAGACGCACTCGTTCCTCCTTCAAAATGAGGAGGATGACGTGGACTGTTTCACCACATTGTACATCGCTTACCGGACCTGGATCACGGACGTTGGCATCGAGCGGTCGGCTCACCCCTTGGAGAGGCATCTGCGGTTGTACAAGAGTGATATCGCGGCCTTCAAAATCAAGGGTTTGAGAAAGGTCTATCCCCGCCCTCTGCTCATCAAGCGCGCCGAAGCGTATCAGATGTCGCGCATGAAGCACAATGCTTCGGCTCGGCAAAAGAGCGAACTGGACAAGCGGCTGTTGCTGGATCTCGCACAGTCCTGTCTCTCCTCGTACGCAGATGTCCGTCGCGTTGCCCAGAGCGCGCAGGACTCGTCACTCAAGGTGCTCATTGGCGGCAAGCCTCTTGTGATTCCGGTGATCCTCGAGGGCTTCAGAAAGAGCATCGAGAACAACGACCACGATCGGATCAAGGGCGCCATGTACTCACTCTTCCTCACGTCGCTGTTGAGGACTCTTATGCGAGACTGGCGATTTGCCCCAGACGCAATGAAGCTCTATATACAGACGGCTGGTATCGACAAGCCCTCTATACAGACGATTGGCTCCTCCATCATCTACTCGTTGATCGAGTTTGGAAAGCAGCTTGAGCGAACTGTCGTCATTGACGCCTCCCTGGTCGACACGATCAAACCCGCTGAAGACGTGTCTCAGGCGATTGGCAATCGCCGCCGATTCATTCTGCAGAGGCGAGAGAAGGTCGAAGCCTCCAAGGCGGATCTCGGACTGTGGTTGACCAGGCTAGCCGAGGGAGCTCACTGGAAGATAGCGTCCCGGTGCGCCATCTTCGCCACTAACCTGTGCCTTCGCTTCGACACAATCGCCCCTCCGGAATTCGTGGATTTGGTCGCGAAAGGAACCAACGACCCGCACCCTGGGTTGAGAAACTACTATCTCTCCGCATTCACTACGCTGTTCTCGACCATTGATATGCGAGCAGTCTATGACCATGACTTTAACAACTATCTGCTGGAAAAGGAGGTCGACTATCGTAACAAGATCCAGGTTCCCGTGGAAAAGGGCGACGCCGAGTTTACCAAGAAGTTCCTTGATTCGTTCGAGCAGCATCCCTCGGAGGCCGAGTACATGGTGGACTCTGACCACCCCGGATGGCTCGTTTGGGGCAAGAGCTTCACCGCGTTCAGTGCTAGACCAAAGCCCTTCGATAACTACGATGAGACGGAACGAGCGGTCCGTGACCAGATTGGCAAGATCTTGACTAAGGACTGGCTTCGCCAGTGCTTCGCGTACCTCAAGCAGGAGCCGCGGGATGCCAACACGGACAGATTCCGCATGCACAATGTGTATCTGCTGATGCACGTTTTCGACCTGATGCACTATGGCCGCACAGCGATCGTGCTGGAAGATGTCGTCGATCTCGTCAGGGAGGTGTATGGCGACGGCAACGACAAGCATCAGCACCGTGCTACTGCGGAGATTCTTGGAGCCTTACTGGCCGGGTCCAGCGATGATCCGCCAGAGATACGACATGAGGCATGGCAATACGCCGCGCCGCTCATGCTGAAGATACTTGACGACGACTTGACGCCCGAGAACTTGCAATATTGGCTGACGTGTCTGCATCTTATCCTCGACTCCAAAGATCCGCGCCGCTCTTACGAGATTCTCGAGGAGCTCAAGATGTTCCGCCTTGACATGTCCTCCAACGCGGCCTTCAAGGAGTCTTCCAAGATTCAGCTGCTAGAGTTTGCGGTGGCTGACGCTGGCTGGCATTTCCGTGGGGTGCAGCCCATCCTGAACGACTTTTTGGCCCACATCGACCACCCTTACAAGGCTGTACGCGAGGCCATGGCTCGAGTCTTGTCTATAATATACAAGACGAGGTATTACGAAGCGTTTGAGAACGTGCAGGTCTTGCTGGATGCCAACAAGGAGGCGTCGTCTGTTGGTCTGCGCCCATACCAGGCCTCTGATGATCTCAAGGCTACCATGAAGGACGTCTTTGGTCGTCTCGAGAAGTGGCGTCTTGAACGTGCGCCAGGACAACAAGAGCAGTCTGCATACACATGTGGATCTAAGACGGTGCTGGTGTGGCTGGACTGCACGCTGTCGTCCCACGAGTGCACGCAGCTGGTGCCCTTCTTTGCCACCCCATTCATGGATCAGCTTCTGCACATGATGGACGTGAAGGAAGACCCCGAGCTGATGAAGCTGGCGTATCACGTCTATCGCCACCTCCCCAACATCCCTTTCCGTGAGGGCGAGGATGCAGAGTTCATCGAGGGGCTCGTCAGAATTGGCAGAACGGCGGCTAGCTGGCATCAGCGCCTGCGCGCGCTGGTCAACATGCAAGTCATTTACTTCCGCCGCATCTTCCTGACCGAGGCGCCGCAGCGAGACCTGCTGTTTACCACTGTGTCGGACATGCTCGGAGACAATCAGCTCGAGGTTCGCGCATGCGCGGCGACGACCCTTGCAGGCATGATCCGCTGCTCTCCGAGCCGCATTCGCAACCCCATGATTGCGCGCCTCAAGAGTCGCTTCGAGAAAGAGCTGGACCAAAACCCCATGCCCAAGCGTGGGCCCAAGCTCCCTGGAACAGAGACTCCCGTGGACGTGCACAAGCAAATCAACAGGAGACACGCTGCGGTCTTGGGCCTTGGTGCTCTCGTCGAAGCCTTTCCGTACGCAACGCCACCTCCCAAGTGGATGCCCGAGGTACTGGCGACTGTGGCTCGACGGGCCGCGGGCGACCCTGGAGTTGTCGGCAAGGCGGCCAAGGGTATTCTCAGTGAGTTCAAGAAGACGAGACAGGATAGCTGGACCGTTGATCAAAAGGTGAGTTGCGCTCAATTGCCGCACTTGTTGGAAAGATGCTAACCATTCTCAACAGTATTTCACCCAGGAGCAACTTGAAGACCTGGAAGGAGTCTTGTGGAAGAGCTACTTTGCTTGATTGCATCTTGTTTTCCTTGTCCCTTTCCCCCCCCCAGAACAAAAGCATGTAGAGGGGTGGCTGGCATTTGTAGACGGACATCTTACCGCAACGTTGGCATCTGCATCGGCATCGATCTTTGGATGAAGGGCACAATTTGGGTGATGCCGGGGTTGGCAATATGGTATAAAGAGTGTCGCATGGCGATGCGGGTGGACAGCACGCAGGTCTTGCGCTTGGGTAAAGGGGGCTGGAAGGGTTTGCCTCTGTTCATTTTGATGACTTTCCACTTTCATAAACGGTATACGATGGCATAGTGGAAGGATGTCGAGTAAGGAAGGGAGGACGAATGAGGTGAGGCCTCGCCGGTCCAATGTTAGGTGTAGCATGAAGCATGAAGAAGTATTGTACGAGTCTGGTACTGGGCTGCCCCTGTCTGTTTAGCTGTGTGCGGCTGTGGATGCCGTAAGGCGACTTTTTGAGGCTGAGTCGAGCTGAGTGTGAAGTTGAGAAAAGGGGCTTGGACCGCCTCGGTCATAAACCCTTCACCCGGGCCTTTGCTTTATATGGCTCGTATAATTTCTGCTTTATGGGAGGCATGGCATTACTTTCCTTTAGGTGTTGAAAAGTTATTCATGCCCTTGAACGTTTAAGCCTCAGCATGAAGAGCCTTGTCTAAAAGAAGGGGTGGTGCTGTAGATGGTTTCCACCTTTCAACCCCCCGTCTCGTCGTCCAAGTAGGACGGTGGTCTCAGTGGCCCCTTTATAAGACTCTTTTGCTAACGTTTAGCTCGCAAGCTTGGATCTTGTGTGGCCAGCACCTATACAGGACGCGCTGACGTGAGCAAAAGCCCGGGTAGCTCAATTGGCCAGAGCGTGCGGCTTTTAACCGCAAGGCTGGGGGTTCGAGCCCCCCCTCGGGCGCCAGATTGCTTTCCTTTTTGCTGGTGTTTCTTTTTTTACGTTGTGTCTCTAATCGTCTCTTTGGTTACGGTATTGCGGTTTTGGAGACGAGGTGATTATCCATCCTGGCGTTGACTTCTTGAGCATTTGGTCTCATTGGGGTGACCGGTGGAGGAGATGGTGATGGGCATGTGATGAGGCATTGCTCGTGGAATGTGACGGACTGGGCGGCTGCCCGATTAGACTAAAACAGCAGCTATTCCGTAGGCAAAAGAAGGGTTGAATTTCTGACATGATGTAGGCGAGTGGTGAGTGGACGAGGAATACGGTCGTCTAAGCGGAGGGGGGAGCAATGTGTTGGCAAGACTAGATGCGAAGTAAGTGACTAGCGGTCGTTTAGTTGCACCTCGGTCAGGCGAACTGTGAGACAAGACCTGTCTTTTGGTGAATCGAGTGTCCACGTATTCGGTCTTGGGCCATAGGATGGTGAGCTGGCTTGTGAAGCTATCGACAATGAATTCAGTACGTTAATAGGCAGGTATGAGAAACACGATGGGTTTTCCAGGCCCCCCTTGATTAGCCTTGCGTGAAAGCTGGAGTGATGTTGGCCATGATCAGTTGGTGAAGATGGCGATGAGTGGAAATGACGGTGAGTAAGACGGTCAAGCTAGTGAAGGGAAGCTGATATGCCCGGTGCTATGACTGTGTGGCTGAGGAGGTGAAAGTCCTATGCTAGTGGTACTCGGCCTGATGGGAAGTGGTGAGCATGATCTGGAGAAGTAGTGAAGTGTGGGATCGATATTCGATGGCCAATCTCGAAAGCTTGGACTCGCCGTAAACGGCAATTGCCGAGATTCGCTGTTGGGATGAAAAGTAGAATGCCCAGTTGAGCGCCTCTTGCCCAGTCTGGGTGATGGCGCACATGTTCGTTGCCCGATAGACCTGGCTAAGACAAGTCGAACTTACAGGAGGATTTGAGGCATCTCGCAAGGCGGTTTGACAGCAGGATGGAGGTCAACTCCCCTGTCGGGCTGCGAGGAACGTGATGTGGACGGACGTTGGCTTTAGCGTGTGGAAGCCTAAACAGTCCCCTGAAATCGTCGGTGGAACCCTCTGCGTTCCGGAGGGCTGGGGGACTTTTAGCGGCGGGTCAGAGGGTTGCCATGTGGGCGGTAACAGGCAGGTACAGACGACTTTTGGGGTGCAAGACGTCACACGGTGATTTGATCCTCATTCTTGCATCTTCACCAAGCAAGCCGGAAACAACAACGAATCCTTCTGTTCCGCCAGATCTCGCGCCATTTACCCATTCTGCCCTCCCGGTAATCCGGTCTGGCGACGCTCAGTCTGCAGCTTGCTGGTTTCCTTTCCGCTTTGGCTCTGCCAGCTGGCTCTGGAATTCCTCTACCGGCCAATCAGCACCCGACAATACGAGAGAGGAGGTTCATTCAGCTGCCCACTGGCAGCGACAGGTGGCTCACGCTTGGCTACTTTCACCTTGATCTCAGCGCTGTCTGGGGACGCCATTGACCGGTATTTCGGCTGCTCCAGGTGAGGAGGGATACATGGAAGTGTAAAGCATCAATCCATATCTATCAATCCACTACTATCGAGTCCAACCTCCTTTATGCGCCCCTGCGGCTGTTACAGCGGTTGAAGAAGGCCCTTGTCTAGCCCTTGTCCAGTCCAGGTCCAGCGGGGCCGGGCGGTGGCTTGTGGCTCGCTGGCCGAAAGAACTCGCAGATGCAAATCAATCCATCCAATCCACTCGCATTCCTGATCAAGTCCCCTTCCGGACAAGGCAGGGCAGTGGGTGAGCGACCCGAAGCTGGCCCGTGACTGCAAGCGCCGGTTGCTGTGACCAACAAGGCATAGCATTGCTAGCTCCAGGGCCTGTCCTGTTTTCTTCTCACCTCAGCCTCGACTCGAGGCTTGTGCTCTCTTTAGGCTGCTAGAGTCTGATTGCTGGCGGTTAGGCGGTTCGATTGCCGTTGTGGTCATTATTTCAGGCGCTGTTTGTCGTTTTCTAATTTGCTTCTCTCATTTTTAGGTCCCGACGGGCTGGGCTGACGCAGAGTTGGAGACAAAGATCAGAGGCAAACAGACGTATATATAACCATTGGAGCATCACCGAGCAGGCGCTGGATCACCGACCATGAGGAGTGGCAGTGACGCACCACAAAGAATCGCAGACAGACTATCATAACACCATCACGGCAGTCGCTAATTCACTCACTCGGTCGTCTGCCTGCTCGCTCGCTACCTCGTGTCCGTCCCACCAGGACCAGCGCCTACCTTACCCGCGATCCGCTCGCCTTCATGAACAAAGGTGCCCCCATGGGAGAGGCTAGGCTGGAAGCAAGGCTGACGACACCCCATTCTTCGTCTCATTGCTCGTGTTTCGGCATCTCTTCATATTCGCCGACGTCGCTCGTTTCGCTCATGGGCTCCAAGTTCTCCAGTCTCCCGCGGCGCAGATTTCGGAATAGCAGACGATCTACCATGCCGCAGAGCAACAGTAAGCGTGCAAAGGGCCATGGGCACCTTGTTGACGGGCTGCTGATTAGGCGCTCTCGCCAGCACGGTGCTTCTGACAAGGACGGCGATGGTGATAGCGACCGAGCCGCTGCGCTCCGGCTCATCAAAACACTTGACGCCGAGGTCGACGAGCGGCGGAGCGGAGATGCTGCGGCACATGTGCAGGGGCCGCCGCGCGGTCTCCGGGCCGTAGACGGCTCTCTGGGGTTGCCGCTGGATCTTGATGCCGCCGGTGCCGGAGCCCCAGTGTCGGTACCCAGTCCAGATGAGTATGAGGAATGGCGAAAGGAGCTTATCTCGAGGGAGGAAGGGCTGTTGTTTGATGCCCGGTGCCGCTCTCGCGCAACCCCCCAGGAAGTCCGTGTTGACGGCATCATCCGAAAGATGCGACGGCGGGACGACGCTTTCTACGCGAACAAACCGGCGCGAAGGGGTTACCGGGGCCAGCTGCATCCGCGCTTCGCTGGCGACCACTTCCTAGGCAACGTCGACCTCATCAACCAGACGGCGCTATTCCAGATTGCTTCCAAGATGCCCAAGGGCGCTCATCTACACATCCACTTCAACGCTTGCCTGCCACCGAATGTGCTGCTCGACATCGCAAAGGGCATGGACCGCATGTTCATTACAAGTTCTCTCCCTCTTGTCCGCAAGACCGAGATCCAGGGGGAGGATGAATACGAGAATTTTCACAAGTGCGAGATACAGTTCTCCATTATGAGTGTCGCGAAGGAGAGAGAGGACCCCGGCGACCTGTTCTCGGCCGACTACAGACCTAGGCAATCCATGAAGTTTTCCGACTTTTTGCGCCGGTTTCCAGATGTTTATACGGCGGCGACTCCTGATGAGTGGTTGCTACACAAGCTCATGTTTGAGGAGATGGAGGCTCACCATCCTTATCAGACTGCCTCTGGGTGAGTTTGGTCTGTGCCCTGTTCTCAGTCTATGAGACCAGTTTGCGGCATCGCTTCTGTATTCTTTACTCCACACAAATTGAGGCTAACGCCCTTTATCTGATGCAGCGCTTGGGAAAAGTTCAACGGGAGGACACGCATGATGAAAGGCCTATTCAACTATGAAACCGCATACCGCAAGTATACGTATCGGTGCCTCCAAGACTTCACCCGGGACAACATCCAGTATGCCGAGATACGGCCTAATTTCATGATGAGCAACCAGCTTTACCACGACGACGGCACCGGCCCCATCAACAACGAGGGCATCATGTCCATCATCATCACCGAGGTGGAGAGATTCCAGCAAGACATGGCCGCACAGGGCAAGTATTTTGGGGGTCTTAAAGTCATATACTGCACGCCACGATCGATGCCTCAGCCTGACATACAAGCCGCTCTTGCTGAGTGCATGGAGTTCAAGAAGAAGTGGCCGCAGTGGATTGCAGGTGAGCAAGACACTCATATCTTTATCTTTGATATTATGCTTAATGTGCTGTAGGTTTTGACCTGGTCGGGGAAGAGGCAAAAGGCAACCCTATCAAGACGTACATCCCCGAATTGCTCGACTTCAAGAAGAAGTGTGCCGAGCAGAAACTCGATATTCCTTTTCTGTTTCACTGTGGCGAGACGCTGGACATGGGCACCGATACGGATGGTAACCTCGTCGACGCTCTTTTGCTGGGCTCGAAGCGTATCGGGCACGGCTTTGCCCTGGCAAAGCACCCTTACATCATGCAGCACATGAAGGCCAAGGGCATCTGCCTGGAGCTGTGTCCGATCTCCAACGAAATTCTGGGGCTTGCGCCACGAGCGAACGGGCACGCCATGTACCAGCTGCTGGCAAATAACGTGCATTGTACCGTGAGCTCTGACAACGGTGCGCTCTTTAGGTACGCCACCTCCTCTGCTTTTCCTCTGCCGGACATTAGGACTAACAAGAGCGAAGGTCTTCTCTGTCGCACGACTTTTATCAGGTCATGGTGGGCAAGGCAGACATGGGGCTGTACGGGTGGAAGCAGCTCGTCATGTGGAGTCTCGAACACGCATGTCTCAGCGACAAGGAGAGGGAGACGATGTTTCGCGAGTGGGAGCAGCTGTGGATCGAGTTTCTCGAGTGGGTAGAGAAGACGTACGGTGACGTCGACGACGAGGCCAAGATTTGAGGTCTGAGCTGGCATTTCATGTCTCTTTTGTCCTAGAGCCCGACAGTGTGATGGCGTTTTGTGCTTTTCTTTTCGGTTGAGGGGTGTTGCGATTTGACGACTAAAGGGGGCTATGCCGGGGCGTTGTTGCTGATTTACATGCACAGCCGGGTAGGAGGGTTACCTTTTGAAGATGAGGCTTCGGTGTGGTTCTTGTATATGTTTTGTACTTTTTGATATCCTGGGTGTTTGTTTGTGAGTTTGATGTGTCATGACGGGTGCGTAGATGGTCAAAGTGAGGATATGAATGAGTTAGACTTGGTGAGAGTTGTTTGTATGGGGCTTCTGTTTTTATTTGGTTTGGCACTTGCCTCGCTGCTCTAATATACGCAAAAGAGCCGACTGGCCTATTATCCATCTCCTTGACAGTCGATAACTTAAGGACCGAATAGAGGCAGATGGTTATTAACGAACCAACCCGTTGGAGGCCTTTGAGAGGCCACTCTGCCAACACTGGACTTTGAAGGCCCAGCGTCTTGGTGTCCGAAACATGTTCAAGTACACTTGCATGCTTCGCGCACGTATAGCGATATTGCATGCCCTGTGCTTGCTTGCTGCAGAATCGGCATGCGCACGGATGCACGAAAATCGACAGTGGAGGCTTGGCGCTAGGCAGAGGATTTGTTTGACAATGGTGTGCTATCAACATGGTCTTTGTGAAGTTGATGAAATTGAATGTCTATTCTTGAGGTGGTCTTTTTGCTTTGCTCTCTTAAATGAGTATGACTTGCTGATGTTGAAGGTGGTCTTTGACTGTTTGTGAAAGAGATGGCAGTTTTGAATACAAGGGTAAGTTAATATTAAGCTGGTAGATCTGCGAAGCCTGCATCAGTTGCAGGATCGAGTCTCGTCTCATTCAACCTGCTGAAGCTGCACTAGATCCGCGGAGTAGGACCTCACTGGAACTGATAAGCGCCATCCCTAAGCATTAGAAATGAAATATATACCTATCTATGGACTTGTTTAAGTAGCTGTTAGTTGTGTAGGTAATTTGTTCGTCTCTACTACTCAATTCACCTCACATACCATCGAATTCACGATCGCTTTACCTTCAGATAACATCTATCTCTACTGTCCATCTACAGCGTCTGTCTCCCAGCACAGCCTCCTGCACGCTGCGTTTTCAGCCCCCATTACAGAAAACGAGGCGAGCTGAGAAAGCTCAAGAGTCCAATGGCCTCTGAGGTACCTAAGGTACTGTTGAGTGCTGTATCTACCCTAAGGTGAGGTATCATCTCTCACCTGCACCCTGGCCTAGGTAGTACAACGGAAGCTACCCCGGCTGTGCTTTCCCTATCCTTCGATTTACATGCATGTACAAGGGACCACAATGGCCTTCGACAGCACAAAAAGATTTTCTTCTCGTCATCTCACTTTTGTCCTTTTCGCATCGTGGTTTTGTCTAGCATCAGCGATTGTCTATCCAGCTTGCGTTTGATTTTGTTCTTGATACCCAATCTCTACACGTATTTCTTCTCCTCTCTCTTGTCCTCCTCTCGACATCTGCGCACAACCTCAGCATCACCAACATCACCAGCACCAAATGTCCAGCCCAGGCGACCCCGGCTGGAAATGGTTCCCCAACGACAAGCCCTCGTGGCGCCTCGACGTCGTCACGCTGCTGGCCGTCATCGGCGAGTCTGCCATCGCCGAGCACGCCCAGGCCATCACCGCGTCGCTGCTGTGCATGCTGCCTCGCCTGCTGCCCGCGCCGCAGGCCCTGCTCAAGCCCTCGCGCCCGAGTCGCCTGCCCGAGACGCACGCCAAGATGGCTGGCGTCTACAGCGGCACCATCCTCGACTCGGTCGGCTTCTTCGCCAACATCATCACGCTGCTCGACGCCCTGCCGCCCTACAGCTTCCTCGTGCTGGACATTCAGCATGCGCCTAGCGTGGGTCCGCCCCTGACCAGTGCGAACCAGCATCACCACCAGCATCAGCATCAGCATCGGCAGGGCAAACGCGGTCTTGCTGGCTCCATAATCAGATTCGTGTCCTGGGGCCTAAAACGAGACGTGCAGGACCATTCTTTGGGTGGCGGCAGCCTCTCCAGAGCGGGAGCCACGGAAAAGTCCTCTCAGCATCGGATAACGCCGTCGACGCTGAGCGAGCCGCCGCACGACGTCGACATCGAGTCCCAGTCGAGGACTCCGACTGTCCACTTTGGTCCCGATGTTGACATCGAGGGCTATCCCGGACCGATCCGGCGACGGACGACGGAAAAGGTCCAGGATCTGCTGTCGACCCGAACCATGGCCGTGACTGGCGGCCGGCCCATTGTGCCTCCCAAGCTGCTGTCGCCTCTCCACATCCTCTCTGTCTTTTCCTTCCTCCTCAGCGCCGCCATTCTCGTGGCTGCCGTCATATGGAAGGACGGTGTTGCCATCATCGCCATCACGCTCATCTCCTTGGCATCCACCGTCGTCGGTTACGCCTCCTCCTGGCGGCCAATTCTCATGCAGCGCAGGCACACTAACGACGTGCCCCGCGGCGATGTCATGATACGGACGCGTGAAGGAGCCTTTGTCTTGGTTCGCTGCTCCGAGGACGTTGCCCGTGAGCTCTACTCCGGAACCGAAGAGTGCGAGTACTACGTAGGTGAGAGAGCCTACAGGGTGTTCATGGCGCTCGGCACGATTCTTCTCATGGTCAGCGTCGTGCTCCTCGGCAACTGCACTTGGAACTCACAGATCTTCATCGGAGGGTCGTACATTGTTCTCAACGGACTGTACTGGGGCCTCGGCATGTTGCCAAAGACGTACTTCTGGGATCTTTCGCGGTATACCTGGCGCGACGCCACCGGGGACGGACAGAAAGCCGATATAACCACCGACCCAGATGACGAGCGCGAAGGCCACCCGAGCTTCACGCGCACCTTGTGGTATGCCATTCGCGAGACCCAGGCCATAGGCTGGGTCGAGCGTAGCGGCGCCGCGCCGGGCACACCGCAGTGGCAGCAGTGGCTCAACGAGGCGCTGGAGAATGCGAAGTCGGGGAATCGGAAGTGGGAGGCAGTCAGGAGAAAGAATGAGATCATGACCCAGGCGAGCAAGGACGGAGGCGATCCTGCGACGCAGAGAGCGCCGGCGACAGAGGTTCAGGCTGGAGGGGTAGGGACGGGTAATACGAGGGGGACCTTTTAGATTTTTCTATCTACTTTTGTATATCAGCAGGCATCTTGGGTCATTTTACGGCGTTTTGACTTTGAATACCATTTGGCAGGCATTGAGCATTGGCATAGGCATTGGGCGTTTGAAGAGGGCATACACAGACCATATCTGTGCTTGAGCATACAACATATACCATCACATTTACGATGCGAAGGTACGCTTGACTTGTGAACAGGTTTTCTATAGCAAAGGATAGTATAGAAGAGGTACTCGAACAACGATACAGCAACATACAGAAAAAAAGTCTAGAAAAAGCAAAGATTCGACTTTTTGGAAACCAGACAAAGGCCGCCCTAACACCGGCTGTAGAATGCATCCCCTGAACCCTTCTCCCCCCCTTTCGTCAAAACGTCAGCCCATTGATTAACCACTCCCCTCCCTTCAACCAACAATCTTTTCTCCCTATGGCCAAAGTGAAACGCTCTTGTCTCATATCTACATCAAGTGACCTCCGCTCTCCAATCAATCGTCAAAATAGACGCTCTTCTTCTCGAAAATGTCAATCGGCCCGCCGCGGAAGCTGCCCTTCTTCTTCTTGTTCTTCTCCTTGGTGAAGCCCTTGCCCTTGGTCACGATGAGGTCTTCGTGTGCGCGCTGGGAGTAGCTTAGGGGGACGTATTCGTTGGACGCGAACTTGGGGTCGACCTTGATGCCACGGGGCACGCGGGAGAAGGGCTCCGTCTTTGGTTTGCCGGCCTTGCCCTTCTTGACGTCGTTGGGGTTGGGGGGTAAAGGGGGGTTGGGAAGGGAGTCGATTGTGGCGGAGGAGGCGGAGGAGGCGGAGGAGGAGGAGGATTCGGACTGGGACTTGTCGTTGGTGGTGGTGGTGGTGGAGACGCCGTTGACGGACTTTTTGGCGGACTTGCTGTTCTTCTTGTTCTTCTTCCCTGCGTCGGAGTCCGAGTCGGAGGAGGAGTCTGATGAGGAGGAGGAGGAAGAGTCTGACTCGGGGAGAGGGACCTTTGCGGCGTCTGCGGCGTCGACCTCGGACTCGCTGTCGGAACTATCGTCGGAGCTGGAGCTCTCCTCGTCCGAGGAGCTGGACTCGGAGCTGCTCGACGAAGAAGAAGAAGAGGAGTCGGAGTCGGACTCGGAGCTGGACTCGGGGGCGGCGACTTTCTGCTTCTTAAGACGGGGCTGTTCATCGGACGAGTCCGAGTCGGAGCTGGACGAGCTGGAGTCGGAGTCGGAGTCGGAACTGGAGCTCGAGGAGGAGGAGGAGGAGCTGCTGGAGCTGGCGGCTTTCTTGCGCTTCAAGTTCTTGTTGCCCTTGGGAGGGGACGCTTTGCGGAACGAGGGCTTCTTGTCGGCTTCGCTCTCGCTCTCGCTGTCGCTGCTGGAGTTGTCCTCGTCGCTGCTGGAGCTCTCGCTCGAGCTGGAGCTGGAGCTGCTGGAGTCGTCCATGTCGACGTCCCGATCGGCGGCGGCGGGCGCCTTGGACGCCTTCTCCCAGGCCTCGAAGACGCTCACCAGCGTGACTCCCCCCTTGGCGGCCTCGGGAGAGAGCTCGCCCCAGCCCTTCTTTGCGCGCTGCTTCTTGAAGGCGCTGTGCGCGCCGCGGAAGACGTTGTCGGCGAGGAACTGCTCCACCAAGTCGAGCAGCTGGGCGGGGGGCTGGACGAGGGGCTGCTGGGCGTCGGACGAGGACTGGCCCTCGGCGTCGCTGCTGGCGCCGGGCTTGAGGGGTTTCAGGGGGGCCATTGCGTCGTTGTCGGCGTTTGGGGGGTTGTCTGTTGCTGTGGCGGTGGTGGTTGTGCTGCTCGCGTGGGTTTTGGTGGATGGGTTGTTGGAGTTGTTGGAGAAGAGCCAGGCGGGCGGTTTGGACATGTGAGTGAGAAACTTTTTGGCTTCAGGTGAAGATGGAATCCCCAAAGTGAATCAGATATTGCAATTAAATATGCCAATGGGGAGACAATGGGCTGTTGTCGTCTATTGCAAACTCATGACCTTTGTTGCGTCTCTCTGCGAAACTTTTCCCGCCATCAACCAGAGGGAGAAGTGGTGGAAAAAAAAAAAGTTTAGCCGCAAAAAAAAAAGCAGATTTTCTGCCGCGTGCCCAGGAACAGGCGCCCCAAAGAGGCTTGGGCGGTGAGGGTAGGCTTATCATCTATCGGCGGGAAGGTGGGCAGGGATTAACGATGCGCCGTGCTCCGGGGGGGGAGAGACTTTGGTGTGCGGGTCTGGAAGCTGCAGGTCATTTGGAAGCTTCACTGGGCTTGGATATGACAAGCATCATATCCGGTTGAGATTCCGAGGCCAATCAGTTCAAAAATAAACAATAAACAAGGGCTTCTACGAACCAGCTGGCCCTTTTGCCTTGCTTTTCCTCCTTCATCTTCTGCTTCTGCTTTTCTCCTTCTTCTTCCTTCTTCTTTGCCGAGACTGACTGGCCGCCGTCTCCTTTGGATCTCCCCCCCGGCATTATCCTTTGTTTTCACCTGCGCGTATCCAGACGCTCGGCTCTCTCTCATACCAACCCTTTCGCACGCCTCAGGGGACATCCGCAACCCCTTGATGGGGCTTCGACGGCAGCACGGGGTCACCCAGCGCCAGCCTCTCTGCTTTTGACCGAGACAATCTCCTTTGCCCGTTTGTCTTTGCTCCATACCTGACTATCGATATATCTGGATCAATAGCGTCACCGGGGCTGCGCACTGCAAAGCGCAAAGCGCAAACGCACGTCCGGAGGCCATTCTGCCATCTCACCACCCACCACTCATCACTCACCTCTCACCACACGACTTCCTCAGCCTCGTCAGCCTCGCCAGCTCTCACCAACTCTCTCCCTATCATGAACTCGACCAAACGCAAGTTCAACGCCCTGCTCCAAGGACTCAGCAGCCCGCGCCCCAGCACAGACGACGAGTCTCCAGCCGCCGCCATGTTCGGCAACCGCGTCCCCAGCGGCAAGCTCGTCGACCACGAGGCCATGCTGCAGAAGCGCCGCCGCCTGGGCTTCCCCGACGAGACCGCGCCGCGCATGGACACGTCCGTCTCGTCGGGGCTCACCAGCCTGGCCAGCTCCATCAGGCGCACCGTGTCTGATGCCACGACGCCCAAGGTGCGGAGGGACGGGCCGGCGCGGTATTCGCCCGGCGACCGGGACGAGCTGCTCAAGCGGCTGGCCACGTTTCAGGAGATTACGGACTGGACGCCCAAGCCCGACAGGATCAACGAGGTGGAATGGGCCAAGCGGGGGTGGATCTGCCAGGGCAAGGAGAGGGTGCGGTGTCTGCTGTGTCACAAGGAGCTGGTGGTGAAGCTGAAGAAGGAGGCTGCGGAGGGGGAGGATGGGCTGACGTCTGCTGAAGTTGGTGAGTCGAGTCACTGAAATCGAGATTGTCAGAGAAGATGCGATGCTAACTCGTGGTACAGAGGCTGCATTGGTCGACAAGTATGCAGAGCTGATTGTCAGCGCGCATCAGTCAGATTGCCTGTGGAAGAGACGCGGATGCGATGGTAAGGCTTTGTGGGACGCGTTGACCATGTACTCTTTGCTTTTGCTAACCATTGCTCAAGATTCCCTGCTTCGCATCTCATTCGTGAGCGCCAAGGGCGCCATCGAAGCTCTCAAGGGTCGATATGAGGAGCTTTGTTCTCGAGCGGCGTTTCTCCCTTACGAGTTCAACCTACGTCTGCCGGAAGGCGTGAACTTGGATGAGGTCATCTCCCAGCTGCCACCCGACTTCTTCACAGGCCGTAATCCCACCCCTGAACCAGTCCGACCAGCGCTTGCTCTGGCGCTCTTCGGCTGGCAAGGCCTCAACAACACCCGCATCGGCGCTGTGCCCAACACGGCGTCATGTCACACCTGCCAGCGACGACTGGGTCTTTGGATGTTCAAGAGCAAGGAGGTGGACGCAAATGGCAACGTCGTTGTACCAGCACCGATGGACTATCTCGATCCCGAGCGAGAGCACCGCTTTTTCTGCCCCTGGAAGAACCCAGCCGCTCAGAGCAGGGGCCATAGCATCGCAAAGGATGATGCACCCGACATGCCAGCGTGGAAGAATTTGCTGCAGTCCATCAAGAACGAGTCCGATCTTCGAAGTGTATACGAGGGCAGGCTCAAACCGTCATCCAAGCCGGCTGCTGCTGCAACCCCGTCGACGCCTCTTAAACAGACGGCCCGACAGGCTCCTCATCATACGCCAAACGCTTCTGTTGATTCACTCGCCATCAATGAGGAGGACGATGAGGCGACGAGAGACGCAAAAGACAAGGAACGATGGGCGAGGCTGCGCAAGGTGAAGAGCTTATTTGACACGAAGAAGCTGCGGAAATCGATGACCAACCGCCCGGAGACTCCGCACTCGATCAAGTCGAACAAGTCCGCAAGGTCAATCAAGGGGGATTGATGGCTGTCGTGATGGCTGCAATTCTTTCTTCTTTTTTTCTATTCACTTCGGTTTCACTTTCATGTCTTTTGTCTTGGCTACATCATCACTAGCTGCGGGATTCAATATTCTTTCCCTGGGGTTTCTCTATCTACCGTTCCAATGCAATCACATCATACCCGAGTTTCCAAATCTATATCCTTAATATACAAATTGTAATATGCTCACATCTCTCGCAATCCATGGTCATGCATGTTCACCCCGTCTTCCACTTGATATCGTCAAACGGAACCACCGGTCCGCCATACGTGACCGTCTCATCCTTCTTCCTCACCTCCTTCTCCTGCAGGTCGAAGCCGGCCATCTCCAAGATGCTCATCCTGACGCCTCCCACGCCGCCTCCGCTCCCCAGCTTGGGTACGTGATCCATGCCCGCCGCGGTGACGTGTATATCCGGAATCCAGCCCGCACCCTCGTCCCATCCGTTGCCCACGGACCTCGAGATTCTCTTGAGCTCGTCCCGCAGCAGGGCGGCCATGTCGCCGCAGCGCTGCGTCCACGAGCCGCCCCCCTTGTCGGCCTTTGTCAGGACGACCAGCGTCCGGGTGTTGGCCTCGGCCAGGGTCCGCAGGATCCACTTGTCCTGCTCCATGAGCCTCTTCTCCGACGACAGCAGCACCACGGCGCCGCGCAGCATCTTGCGCGCCCTGATGTACTTCCACACGGAGTCCCCCCAGCTCGACTGGCTCCTGAACCCATAGCCGGGGGTGTCCACGAGGACGAGGCTGTACCGCGGCAGCTTCTCGCCGGCTTTGAGCGTGCCCTTGGGGATGGTCGGCACGGGGCCCACGCCAAAGGCGTTCATGAGGGTGGTTTTGCCGGGGCGGGCGCTGACGCGGGCGGCGTCGGGCTTGTTGACGAGGGCGTTTAAGAAGGACGACTTGCCGACGTTGGAGGCGCCGAGGATGATGACTTCGGGGATGTGGAGGTTTTTCGGGTGGTGCTTTAGGGATTCGGCCGAGTAGAGGAACTGGAAGCCCGTGGTGAAGAAGGATGCTGCGGAGGCGATTTGGGCTGCTTCTTGGGGTTTGTTGGAGGTTGTTGTTGTGAGGGCGGGGGAGGAGGATGGGGATTGGAGGATGACGGGGGTGGTGAAGAGGGTTTGTTTGTGGGATTTCGAGATGGGCGGGGGGCGTTTGGGGGGCGGTGGTGGTGGTGGTGGTGTTGGGTGTTTAGGGCTGTTTGTTTGGCTTTGTGTGGGAGGTGTTGTTTGCTTTGGAGGAGTTGGTGATGGCTTTGTTGGTGTTGAGGGTGGATGGCTGCTGTGAGACTCGAGGTTGGTTGAGCGGCTGAGGGACGGCTTTGCGCTGGGTCGGAGGCGAGGCCAGCGGGGGAGGGAAGTGCTGAAGCATGCTTGAGGGCGAGAGCATGGTGAGGTGGGATAAAGTGTTGAGAAGCGCTGCAAGGTTGGCGGCTTTACTAAGGGAGGCATGTTTTGATATTGAGATTTGTGTTGATGGTGATGAAAGTTTGGGGTGGGATGAAATGAGATGAGGTTGACGAAGTTCTTTTGGCTGTGTGAGTTAAGACTTGGTAGCCCCACTATAGATTGCTGGGTTGGAACGCTGTGGGAGAGATGGATCTGATCAACCGTTGCTTCTGTACTTGGGATGAGTGTGTAGTAGAAAGACGGGGAAAAGTGATATAGTCTACATTATCCGCTGTCTGTGATGAAAGTTCTCTGTTTTAGAATGAGGTATGAAAGAGCGTGCAGTACCTTGGTTAGGTATATGTATAACTGTATAACAGGAGTCTGCATGGGAGCACAGTGCGTAGTGTAGACGCACGGTTACCGAACCCACTTGAGCAAACCATCAAAACTCCATCATATCATGTCCCTTCTATGACACTCATATACAACTTCACTCTTTTACTCATTCAGTCCACGCTCCATCTACACACATACGCATACACACGTATACATTGATATATACATACATATATCCATCCTTCAAGGCATATAAAAGGTCTGAGAGGTAAACAAAAATGGCCCCCGGCGCCCTCGACCTCGACGCCCACGAACAGCCCTCGGACCAGATGAAGGCCGAGTGGAAACACTTTGCCCGTCTCGACCAGGCCGCCCTACTCCGCGGCGAGATCCCCCTCGACGACCCCCGCCGCCTGCCCCTCGAGGAGACGGAGTTTCGCCTGTCGGGCCACATCCCGCGGGAGCAGATCGCAGAGGCCTTTGCGCACCTGGGGCCCGAGTATGTCGACGAGGGGAGGGAGGACGGGGATGCGCCCATCTTGTACCACCCTTTGCTTCCGGGTAAGTTCCTTGCATTGTCCCTCTCCCTGAGATGATGGTCATTCTAATTCTGATGACTTAGGCCTCCTCATCATCCCCTCGCTCATCCCCCCAGCCGTCCAAACACACCTCCTCAACACCATGATCCACCGCGACCTCTCCAACCCAACCCACCAAACAAACCTCCACCTCCACTACAACCTCCCCTATCCCTCCTCTTCCTCATCATCCCCCCCAGCATCATTCTTCTCCCTCCCCCCCACCTCCACCACCACCACGCCCCTCTTCACCCCCAAAGACCCCTCCGTCCACAACCCCCTCTCCATCGCCCAAGTCCTCAACCGCCGCCTCCACTGGGTCACCCTCGGCGGCCAGTACGACTGGACCAACCGCGTCTACCCCGACGCCGCGCCCCCGCAGTTCCCGGCCGACCTCGCCGGCTTTCTAAAGGCGCTCTTCCCCGAGACGCTCGCCCAGGCCGCCATTGTCAACTTTTACACGCCCGGGGACACCATGATGATGCATAGGGACGTCAGCGAGGAGGTCGACAGGGGGCTTGTGAGTCTGAGCTTTGGGTGCGATTGCTTGTTCATGATTGCGCCTAGTCCGGGGCCCAACAAGGACGCAGCGTCGCACGCAGACGCAGACGCAGAGGCAGACGCAGCACAACCATCATCATCCACGGACAAGGAGGACAAGGAAGAGGAGGAGAAGGAGGAGAAGAAGAAGAAGAAGAAGAAATACCTCCTCCTGAGACTCCGCTCCGGAGACGCCATCTACATGACGCAAGAGTCCCGCTACGCATGGCACGGCGTGCCAAAGGTCATGAAGGGCACCTGTCCCGAGTATCTCGCCGACTGGCCTGCGGGGAGAGAGGATGGGCAGTATGAGGAGTGGAAGGGGTGGATGCAGAATAAGAGGATCAATCTGAATGTGCGACAGATGAGATGATTTGGATAGAATACTAGATTAAGAGTTGTATATTTGAATAGCATTGCAACAATCTGTGACAGTCTGACGGTCCCTTGTAGCATTATAACAAAAGAAGGGGGCAGTGGATACCCAGTAAAGAGAATTGGCATCTCAGACCGTCTGTATGATATATGTAAATATGATATATAACGGATAAGCCTCAGGCTCGGTATCCTACCCAAAGCCAACCCAGTAAAATCTAACGCTCAACGATCGCTCCATAGTCCAATCGTATTCCAAACTCGAGAAGCCGTACAAAGGAACTATCAAAAATGAATGCAAAAGCACGCTTGAAACAGAGAGAAAAGAAAAGGAAGATCCTCGCATCCTAGCCCCCTTACGCAAAGCCAAATCCCTGAGCATTTTCCAGAGCCATGTTCAGCCGCTGCCTCAGCATCTCTTTGTCTCTGTAATCCGGTAGCAGCAAGGTCCCGTAGCACGTATACGCCGTGGGCAGCCGGTTCCCGCCCTCTTCGCCGTCGCCGTTGCGCTGCACGACAAACTGCAGGTTGCGCATGCCGCCGACAGGGACGCGGTCGGAAGCCGTGACAAACTCCAGGAGCTTCCGCTTCATCCTGTCGTCGTACCGCTTGACAACGGACCAAAAGTCCCTGACGGTGTGGTGAGAAGCATCCCAGCCCACGTAGCGGGTATACCGCCGAAGCTCCGAGATGTCAATCTCCTGGACGCCTTCCACGAGCGACTGCAGTATCTGCGGGCTCAGCAGCGACAGTGACTTGTGATCGAGGCAGGCATGGAAGCCGCGCTCAAAAGCCTCGTACTGCGGCCGCACCGACACGTCCGTCAGGTAGCGGATGTAGTCGCTGACATACTGGTCGCGGTTCTCGTTGGTCACGAGCGGTGCCTCCTGGTCGCCGACCGATTCCTCGGGCACCGTAATGCGCATCTTCCAGTCGAGGTTCTGCGGCCACTGTGCCATGTCCTTGGTCATTTCCCGCGTCACGTTGCCCCCAATGTTAGCCACGGAGAACTCGTACGTGCGCGCAAAGACGTCCTCGACTGCGCCGTCCTTTTCGTCCCACTCCAGCAGGCTCATCAGCCCGCTGGCCAGCGCAGGCCACCCGTCTGCAATGTGGTAGAGCTCCTCCACCGGCTCGCCCAGCAGTTTCCGGTACAGCGCCTTGGGGAACGTGACGGGGAGCGTGAGGCCGTTGTACACTGCCAGCGACACGATGACGCCAATCAGCTCAAACTTCCACTCCTCGACGACGGAGCCGGGCACGAACCACGCCATGCGCGTCCGTTCGTCGATCGTAAAGGCGCCGTACTTGGGATCCAGGGCCTCGGCAATGGCCACGCGGAAGAACTCCTGCTGCACACCGCCCGAATCAAAGCCTTCCTCTCCGCTCTGCTCGCCCAGATGAACCTTGAGGGGGCGCAGCAGCTCGCGTCGCTCCCGCCTCCACAGCTGGTCAAAGGCATCTCGCAGCACATTGTCTCGGCCAATGTCCAGGATCAAATACTTGGATGATGCTACTTTCAGCATGTCCTGCAGCACAATCTTGTGGTGGGGATTGGCTACCAGGCTGCCCGGATCGACAATGGCGCTCATTCTGGTCTTGAGGGAGCTGCTTTCCTCAAACATGCGGCTCATCTTTGCAAAGTTGATAGATCGGAAGAATGTGACGAGGCACTCCGGGCTGAAGAGATATGGGTAGTCGAGCATGTGCCCTTTGTTCCGCGGAGAGCCTGATTCCGCCCATGACACTGGCATCTCCATCGTGTCCAAGCGCTCCGAGAAATAGTCTGCGCGGAACTGAATGTCTCCCAGGAGAAGCCTGGATCGGTTTTGGTCTGCAGTTTGTTAGCATGGACGGGCCAAGGGAGGCATGTGGCGTTGCAACTTACACATGGTGGAGATCAGAGACAATGCCCCGTGGAAAGCACCGGCGCACAGGATCTCGGGGCGTCCATCCCATTCGTGGTAGAGAACCGTCCTCGCCCAGTCGAGCAGGAGGGTAGGGACGCGGGTTTCGTGCAGCAGGCGTTCGGCTGTCGGAAACTCCAACACTCGGATGGGCCCTGAGTGCACAAGGTCGAGCTGACTGAGCAAAGGCTGAAGAATGTCCATCTGGCCGGCCTTGTTCTTACCATCCATGCGCATCAGCGTGGCCAGGGATCGACGAGCAGACACGGCAGAGAACACGCGGCGGGCCAGCCTGATGGCGATAGGGTTCGAGAAGACATCCTCATACTCGAGGCATATCGCCTGCGGCTGTCTCGTGGAGAGACCGTTACCCCCTAGAGCCAATCCCGTGGATCGTATGCGCGACATGTCGTACAGAACTTTGGAGTCTGAGACAAAGGGAGCCACAGCAACGAGGGCATGCAGACAGACCGACACGACGCAGCCGGCTTCAAAGTCAGACAGCGGCTTCCGGCTCTTCAGCAGCGCCCTTGCGGAACGGGACTGCGAGGCTTGAAGTGACTTTGGCGCTGTGAACAAGGACTCTGCCGCCATCCAGAGGCTGTGGAGAACCAGGGTCGGCGCCGCTCGCGTCATTCGGAGCATGCAGTAGAAGAGCGTCTGTGAGTCGTACAGTTTGCCATCCCGGGAAAAGGACCGGACAAGAGAGTGAGGGTCGCTCAGCACGGTGAAGAGAGCCTGTTCGTTGAAAGCTTTCCACTGACTGGGAGACGTGGCACGGGACGTCGACCGCCGCCTAACCAGCTTTTTCGACACATTCTGTGGTTTGGGATACGAGGCATGAGATTCCAAAGGTCCGAAGAAGTGGCTCTCGTAGGTCTGGTCTTCTTGGAACACATCGCATATGAACTCGACAAGCTCGACATTCAGGGCGGACAAGGACTGGGGCAGTAGTAACTTGGCCGATGAGAAGTCTGCCTCGGGTAGTGGTGATACGGGCCTCGGCTTGGAATGGGGGTCGACGTGCTCCTTTCTCGTGGTCGGAGGAGTGCTACTCGGCGTTTCGTTTTCATCGATGGTTTCTGTATCCGAGGACCCTGATTCGACATCTTCCACCTCGGCGGTGGTGGTGGTAGGGGTTGGAGGGGATAAGTTCTCGAAGAACGCCGGTTTGGATGGAATTTCAGGCACGCCACGAGTGATGATGGCGGGTGAGGTCTTGCCGGCGCGAGCCAACTTGTCGGGGTAGAAGCCGTTTAAGCTGGGTGGCCGCGACGTCGGCTTGGCCTCTTCGGTTCCTGCTGAAATGGCCATGGGATCCATGGTCCTCCTGTTAGACTTCGAAGGAGAGGAGCGGAGGGTCGTCTTGGAGTTCCTCTTGGGTTTGGAGGACACGTCTTTCATGGGCGTTGGCGGTCCGGCCAAGTCTTGACTCGAGGTCCTTGTTGGTTTCGGAGCCTTATTGCGTGTAGGCTGCGCAGCTGGTAGAGGAGCAGGCTGACGTGCGTGGGTATAATCATTTTGGGAATCTGGAGCCTGTTGAGTGTTTGTCGGACCGGCAGTAGGAGGAGCAGCAGCAGTATTGTTACTCATCTGCCGAACACCACTCAGCTCAGAGATTTTGTCGGTCATGGCTTCAATCGACTGCGGTGTAAGCCATTCCAGCATCTTGAATGCGACGGTGCCGAAGGTAGCCACGGCAAACGACCTGTAATCCTTCTGCACTGCCTTTTCGGTGACGCTGATTTGGGATGCAGGTATCTGACCAGGCCGCGAGGTGGCGTCATCATCCTTGGATTCGCCGGGTTGGCTACCCAAGCGCTGCTTATCCAGGGAAGGCGAGCGGGATCTCGTTGTTGCTGTAGGAGAAGGAGGAGCCTTGGCAGCACACCCCAAGCTTGGTTTACGCCGGGACGAGGTCTGGATATCCGAGGGTTTGCGGGTGCCGTGCTGAGTAGGCGAAGGCCGAGTGGAAAAGATCAGGCTGTTGGTCGCGGGGGGAACCTCTCGAGGGGAGCCGAGGTAGGGACAAAGGCCGGATTCCGGGTTATCCTGGCTGGCAAGATAGACGGCCAGCGTTCTCGCGCTTGTCGGATTGTATCTGCGGATAGGCGCCTTGCCAGCGAGGCGCTTGCGGCAGGTGAAGCAAGTAGCCGTGGAGCAATTCGGCGCACCACAACCACATCTCAACTGATAGATGTACCTGTAGAATGAGGCAGAAAGGTCAGCAGGTCAGCCCATCTTCTTACGGCGAGGCCGGGCCTTGAAGCGGCCCGGGGCCTGGAGCGGGATATAAAGGGACGGTATCACGTACTTGTCGACGAGGTGCTGGAAGTCGTGGCGGCGGCTGGCTCGGTGGATGGCATAGACGCGACGGGGATTCTCGACATCCTGGACGTAGGCGCTCAGCTCGGGCGGCGCATCGGCCGGGAGACGAGCAAACGGCGCGACCTGCCAGAGCCCGGCCAGCAGATCCAGCTCGCCGCTTGCTTCAGGGCCTCGCGGGCGGGCGTCGGCGGCATGGCCGGGCTCGAGGCCCCTTGCTGAGGAGCCGGAGGGTTTTGGCGGCGCGCTCATGGCTGACGTGGAAGCCGCTGGGAGTCGGGGCTTCTCAACAGCCCATGCTTCGGCGGCGGTGGACGAGGGCGGAGAGAGCGCCGAGAAGTGCTGCGCGAGGTGGTGACGATGCTGTCAAGCTGTTCGGAGCAGAGACGATCGATGGGACGCCGGAACGAGGGGATGCGCGAGAGGATGACGGACGGATCGAGTATCAGGTAAGATCAAGGATGTAAGGCCAGTGTTGGTGGCGGCTCGTTAGTAAACCGGAACAGAGCCCAGTCAGCGGCTGGAGATTAGCAAGGCTGAAGGGTGACGAGCAGGCAGCGGGCGGTGGGGTCTTGGTGCTTTGCGGCAGCGGTGCTGGTAGAGGATACCTGCTGGGGTGCCCATGTTCCAGCAGCGTGCCAACCGAGAAGGGCTGTAAATCAAGTAGCGTCTACCTTGGCTGCTACCAGTGCTACCTCTGTCCTGCTCCAGACATTGCCACAGGCCAGGCGTCCAGGAGGCGCTCCGTGTTCCGTCGGGTTCCCTGGCGAGCCACTCCAGCCGCCCAAAGCCACTGAACCCCAGGCCGGATCTGAGCACCTGTCCAGCGCCCCCGGGCAGTACAGCGAGCTTGAGCGCTATCTGCGCTGTTGGCGGCCCCGGCAGATGCGCTGCCAGGGTGGCTGTTAGGGTCTCGTGTCGACGGGTGCGGATTGCGGAGTCCCGGTACAAGCTGCCCATGGGTGGCGCCGCCGTGGCCGCAGGCTTTCCTCGCAGCTCTGCTGCATGAGCTTGTACAGGTACCTCGTGCCATGCACTTGCACTTGCACCTCTACCAGCCAACATGGAGATCAGCTGCAGAAAAAAAATGCAGGGTACGGCCCACCTTGGCGGCGATGGCACAAATACGTCAGAAACGCCCCCCCGGCCACTCAAAATTTCCACCACCGCAGAATTAATAATTCCTGCAGGCCATCGCAGGTTCGAGTCACACGTTTTGGACGGTCTGTCCCTGCTTTATAAGGCTTTGCCTCCCATTTACGCCGAGAGAAGAGAGGCGTTCAGTCACCAAATCTACTGCGACTGGTTCTGCACGTCTTATTTCTCACCATGGCGAGCGTCCAGCCCGCCGCCGCAGGCCAGGCGACCTCGGGTTCGCACCCGTACACGTGCAACTCTTGTCAGGTCGCCTATCGCAATATCGATCTTCAGAAGACGCACATGAAGAGCGACTGGCAGTGAGTGCGGCTCCGGTCCTGGAGATGCCGCTCGCTTGAGCATCTCTGCTGTTTCGCCCCGTTGCTAATTCGAAATCTAGTCGGTATAACCTGAAGCGACGAGTTGCCTCTCTACCTCCCATCACCGCCGAAGTCTTCACCGAAAAGGTTCTCAAGGCCCGTGCTGATACCACCGCCGAAGCCGACAAGGCGCTGTTCGAGCGTGCCTGTGAGCCATGCGGAAAGACGTACTACAGCGAAAATGCCTACCGAAACCACCTGTTAAGCCAGAAGCACAAGCAAAACCTGGCTAACCCGCCCAGGAAGCATGATGACGAGACGACGTCCGTGATGAGCTCGACGTTTTCTCTCGGCGAGCCAGCGTCTGCTGCGGGTGAGGATGTCGACTCTGCTGCTGAGGACGAGTTCAACCAAGTGATTGAGGGCCTCCAAAGGGCAAAGGTTACTGAGCAGCGACCCTCGCCCGTGAAGCGGCCGTCAAACCCCCACCCCACTGCCGAGGGCGAAAACACCAACACCGAATCCACTCCGACGCCTGTTCAATCTGGATCTGACCGAGTGTGGACCCTCAATACCTGCGTCATCTGTAACTACGAATCCTCTTCGCCCGTCCTGAATACTCAGCATATGGAGCGCAGTCACGGAATGTTCATCCCGGAGAAGGCGTACCTCGTCGATCTGGAGGGCCTCATCCGGTATCTGCAAGAAAAGGTCGGCGAGGATCACCAGTGTCTCTACTGCGGCAAGTACAAGAACGGCCTCTTTGCTGTGCAGACTCATATGAGAGACAAGGGCCACTGCAAGATTCCATACTCCACGGATGATGATCAGCTGGCCATTGGCGACTACTACGATTTCAGAAGCACCTATTCCGATGGAGAGGATGACGACGAGTCGGACAGCGGCTCGACGGAAGACGGCAATGGAGGAGCCAAGCTGGGCGGACGACGGGAGACCAAGGCTACCGGCGAAGACGGAGAAGAGCTGGAGGAGGGAGAAGACGCCGATGGCTGGGAGACTGATAGCTCGGCTTCATCTCTTGACTCGGAGGACTTGACTGCAGTTCCCGCCGAAGGCCACATCCACCAGTTTGAGCGGCTGAGCAAGCACGCCCACCACAGCACAAACGGCACTCAGAATCATCACCAGGCTGACGGATGGCATTCCAAGGCCCACAAGCACACTCGCGCGGCCTTCTACGACGAGTTCGAGCTGCATCTACCGTCTGGCAGATCAGTGGGCCACCGTTCGTTGAACAGATACTACCGGCAAAACTTGTGGAACCACCCGTCGGCAGAGGAGCGCGAAGAGCAGCTGCTGCTCGAGGCTGCGCGGAACGAGGACGGCGTCGAGCCCAACAGCGAGAGCCAAGTCGCCGTCATCAAGAACCGCAGACGCGAGATGGCTCCCCGTGGTACCATTGGCATGGCTGGTGTCCCCGATGCGGTGAAGCGCTCGGTGCGCAGGGACGTGCAGCGCAACCGGGACGTGGAGCATTATCGGGCCAGGAAGACGGAGTGGTCATATTCGAAGAAGCAAAACAACCAGAAGTACTACTACTACCGCGAGAACGGCGGTGGTTAGATGACATGACATTACATAGCTGTGAAATTGACGTTGTTTGATTTTGACTCTCCACCTGCAGTTTGTCTTATCCCTACAGTGATAAACCCTTAAGTCAGTCCGCATTTGATGCAACGAGTTGAAGATGGGTTGTGTGTGATGAGATGACCTCTTCCGAGCATAAATTTGCACCCGGGACCGGGTTCCACCCGAGGAAAGGCATTGGACCGAAGCGCATAAAGGTCAACTTTGGGCTCGTCGGACACATAGATGCTGATGTGAGATGACCGTCTATTCGCATTCACCGTATCGCCTCTGAAACGGAATCAGGGTTGACCATCAGATGGTAGGGCGCAATGCCAGTTTGCCTCGATCCTGTTACACCCCCTCATACCAAAGCGTTGCATATATCTACGCCAAACCGTCGTACTTTTCCAGAAACGCCGTCTTCGTTCAGTGGCTCAGTCAAGCGCCGTGTTGTACTGCTGCTTATAGAGACAAAGGACGACAATTGGCGGGGTTGGCGATCCCCGATTTTCAGAGTATTTTGCATCACATCAGAATGCTGACATTTCCAAGTTAAGCTGCGCAGGGGGGGCATGTACTGCAGTTTCCGAGGAACTGCTCCGTGCCGAGAGTACATATTTATAGAAGCTGTTCTGGGGCTCTCACTGACTGAGGCGGGCTAGGTTGACGATGATCTGTCTGTACTCGTAGAGAGTTGTTCAAGGTAGTAATAGCTGGGGGATGTGGTTGCACAGCAGCCGGGCTGTCAATCTTAAACCAAGGAAAGGAGAGGAAACATGTGCACAAGAGAAACGGAAGCGAGTCAAGAGAGCACAAAGGACCAGAACGGTGGGGGAAACGGCACAGATGAGGCAGCATTGCCAACATGAAGGAGCCGCATCATGAGGGGCCAACGCCGTGAAACATCGACAACTCAGGCCCTTCTTCTTCTTCCCCTCACTCACACTTTTATTCCCCCCTTTCACCTCGTATACAGTAAGTTAGTTGGCCAGGTCCCAACATCGGAAAAGCGTCTTCCCGCCTCACGATCGTCATCGTCAGTCGCTAAAATTGGCATACATCGCATTCGCCTATCGCCTTTTCATTCCTTGATTTCTGTTTCTCTCTCTCTCTCTCTCTCCGAGGCCTCTGACTGGACCTTCTAGTGAGCCTGCGCCCCGTCGGGCTGCGGCTGACGATCCCTGCAATGTTTTGTTTTTCCTCTCCCCTTGCCATGCCCTTCGCTTCTCTTCACCTCCATTCCTCTGCTCCTACTGGCTGCTGTTCCGTTCTGCCTTAGTGCTCATGCTTGTTGTTCTTCGCTACTGGTAACTACCTTAGCCCCGAGGGGGAGGCTGGGCAGTGCGGCTCGTGATTTGGCGAGACGAGGGCCTTCGCGGAGCACCCTTTTGGCAGAAACTGGACAGCCCGACCATGCATGATTGGGGCTGGGATGAGGACGGAGGCGTCATAGGAACGGGAGATGGGCTCCGTTTGTTTTCGACGTGGTGCTTGTACGATGTCATGATGGGTGATGTGTACAAGTACTATATGTACATGCGTCTGCGAGTGATAGGAGAGGACGAGCAGGTATCCGTGCATACCTACACACCGTAACACGGCTGGCCTTCGTATCAAAGCTGCGTGATGCCCGTCTGCGTCTTGTGCATTTCATCGGTTGGGACCTACCTAACGACTCTGGCTTTCTTCTCTGCCTTACCTAGATCCTCTTCTCTCCATCTTTTTCACACACACACACATACAGACAGACCTCTCTCTCTCTCTCTCTCTTTCTCTCTCCTCTCTCTCCTCCGTATCGCTTCTTCTCGCCTTCTCTCGATCTCGCCTTTCTGCCTGACTCCATCCGCGATCCACCCTCGCCCGTCTTCTTCCCCCCCGTAACAAATGATAATAAATAAATAATACGACTCTAAATCTGGATCTGACGTCCCACGGGCCGTCTGTGCGACCGCTCCTTGCCTCGTGTGCTGGAGCAGCTCGGCGTGCGCCCAATCCGCCCCATACATACGATACAACCTCCGCTGCAACTCACAGAGCGACCTCTTTCTCACTTTTTCTCCTGCTCAATCTCTTTTTGCTTGTCTGAGCTGGGCAGATTGCGACGCTGCATCGACTCTGCGGTTGCAACGACGGCTGAATACGGTTACAAGCTCCCAGATATAGACCGAAATAGACACGGCAACCGGGGTGTTGCAGAGCGAAAACAGACGGAACCAACACCACAACAACAGCGGCAAAACAGAAGCACGCCAGAAGGGGGAAACCAGAGCAATAACTCAATTGAATCCTTCCCTCGACAATACGAACACATTACAAGGACAAATCGAGCAGAATCACACACACACACCAAAGATGCCACGCAGACGGCTATGGGCGTCTACGCCCCTTCTGTTCCTCTTCCTCGCCCCAGCCCTCGCCGTCGTCGAGGCCGACTTCTCCTTCTACCCTACCAACGCCCAGCCATGCCTGAACCAGGCCGCCGCGACCTCCAAGTGCATCGGCTCGACCGTCATGGACCTCAACAACTGCCTGTGCGGCAACTGGAACGACTTTGTCATCCTGGCAGCCACGTGCATCGGCAAGAACGACAAGGAGGACTCGGTGCCCGTGTACAAGACGATGGTGTCTGCGTGTGCCGACTCGGACACGCCGCTGGACGTGTCGCCGAGCGAATTCTACGGCGCCGTCGATGGAGAGACCACGACGACGACGACGACGACATCAGCAGCAACGACGATGTCGACGGCCACAACGACAAACTCGGCGACGCAGACGGACGTCCACAGCACCGTGACATCGCAGCCGACGAGCTCCAGCACCGCCGCCCCGCAGGAGAGCCTGTCGACGGGCGCGACAATCGGCATCGCGCTGGGCGCGTCCTTTGGCGGCGTCGGCTCCATCGCGGGGCTGGTGTACTTTCTGCTGCGGCGGTCCAAGAAGCAGGACGAGGAGCGGCACCCGATGCTGCCGCAGTACGGCGACGAGGGGGCTCGGTTCAGCGGCCAGCCGCCGCCGCCCGAGCCGACGCCGTCGCCGGGCCTGCTGAGCAACTATTCCTCCTCCGAGGCGATGAAGCAGGCGGGGGCGACGTCGTCGTGGGTGTCGCCGCTGCAGAGCCCGGACTACCGGTATTCGGCGGCGACGTGGGACGGCGCGCAGGGGGCGTATCAGGGGCCGCTTGCGCCGACGGGGGCGGGCTCGGAGATGCTGCTCCCGTTGCAGGCGCAGGGCGTGAGCGGTGCTGAGGGCGATACCACGGGGATGGTGTTTGAGATGGATGCGACAGCATCGCAGGTGTCGTCGGCGCGGGTTGAGGTTCCGGGGGCCGTTGAGGTCCCGGGGAGTATGCCGTCCGAACGGCCAGAGGGGAGGTTATAGCCAGGGGAGAATGAGCACGCGTGCTAATCTGACGAGATAATTCTTCGTTTATTGTTCGACTTTTTATAATGGTAGCCGGGAGTCATTGTTTGAAGAGTATTCTGGTGGCTATTTATGGGCAAAGAATACACCCAAAAGGCCGGAGGCGTTGTGCATTTCTGCAATACTAGGGTAATCGTATGCTGGATATCCTGCAGTATTATTGCGTATGGGAGAGTCTGGGTGGTTGAATCAATGAGACTTCTCTTACAATTGAATCAATGAATAGAAACAAGAAGCAGATAAAGCCTCGATGTCGTCTCTCTCTAGTGTGCCATATGTATGCATATGCAGTACGTTGTCGTCATGTTGAGCTTGATGGAACGGTGCGGTCGTAACCATCTTAGTCTGTTGTCTGCTTACATGTTGCAGCTTGCTTGGCGATGAGGCTGTATTTCGTCTTATCTGAAAGTCTACGAGTACGGGCGAGATGGTCGTTTTCGAGCCAGCCATTATGTGAAGTTCTAAACTCTGCGACTCTTACACACGGTATCCAACCGTCATTTGTGTCTCTTACTGTAGAGATTAAGACCCCTCAGTTGGAATGGACCGAATGCGGCTTTTGAGATGTGCCGAGCAACCGGCAGGGTGAACGGAATGGCTATCCAGGTGCTCTGAGGTACTTGACTATGTGCGGCGTTGTCACGGAGAATGCAAGTACCTCAGGGTGCTGGATAACCAAGTTGGGGTTCGGGATAGGCAATTCCCTCGATTAAACACGCATGGCATGTGCAGAGGAGCTTCAAGCCCAAGCTTCAATCTTCCTACCTACTAGACTATCTCTTTCTCCCCCTCCCCGCATCTGGGCCCAATTTCACATGAATCTTTTGTAGTCTGATCAAAAGGATTGAAAGATGGCTTCCGAAAAGAAGACTGTTCTCATTACGGGGTATGTATCGAATGTTGGTTGTGATAACCTAAAGGGTTTTTTTTTTTTTTTTTTTTTTTTTTTTTTTCTGGAATCAAGCGTTTCTAATGCGAGTCCTTTAGCTGTACGCCTGGAGGCATTGGGCACGCTCTCGCCCTCGAGTTTCACCGGAGAGGTGCGTCAAGGCCATTGCGTCTCAACAAATGCTTCAGTCTCTAATCAGAGTGTTGCTGACGTTGAGAGTCTGGGATTATTCATAGGCTGCCATGTCATTGCTACGGCACGTAACCCGGATGTGCTCAAGGACCTCGCTGCCATGGGCATGAGCGCCGTCCAGCTGGATGTCACGAACCAGGACAGCATCCAAGCTGCCAAGGACGAGGTCGCCAACATTACCGGTGGGAAGCTGGACATTCTCGTCAACAACGCGTAAGTCTACGTAACCCCCTTTCGATACATACATCCAACCACCATTGCAATCCTCACTAACAACATCATCAGCGGCCGGACTCACACCATCCCCGCCCTAGACATTGAGATAGACGACGTCCGTCAAACCTACGAGACCAACGTCTTCGGCCCCATGTTCACGACCAAGGCCTTCGCCCCCCTGCTCATCGCCGCGCGCGGCCTCGTCGTCAACGTCTCCTCCCTCAGCTCCATCAGCGCCTACATCTTCGGCTCCGTCTACGCCTCCACAAAGGGCGCCATCAACAGCTACTCGCGCGTCCTGCGCCTCGAGCTCAAGCCCTTCAACGTCCGCGTCATGGTCGCCATGGCCGGCACCGTGCGCTCCCAGATCGCGAGCCACCCGCACCGCTCCCTGCCCAGCACGTCGCTCTACATGCCCATCAACGACTACTTCCAGCGCAGGCTGGTGTTTAGCCAGAACAACGCCACGGTGCCGACGGAGGTGTTTGCCAGGAAGCTCGTGTCGGCGGCGCTGAAGGGGGAGGGGTATCTGGGGGGGCTGATTGGGGGGACGCCGGACTGGTTTTGGGCGGGAGGGTTTTCGACGCAGGTTTGGCTGTTGTCCTTTTTGCCTGCGTGGATGTCGGAGGGGATCATTTCCATGTTCTTTGGGGTTGCTGGGTTGAAGAAGAGGCTTGCTGAGGCGAGGCAGAAGCAGTCTTGAGGAATCGATGTAGGGGAAGAGGTTGAAGCGACGGGCTTACTCCTGATATCTACTACAGTAAGCATGCATAATCTAAGCCTTGAAGTTCGCCAATGGAACAGCTGCTTCTTCCCAGAGCTCTCGCTTTTAGCATATGTCTATCTTCGTCCCATCGAGCACGACATATGGGCATCCTCTCGTCATCCTAAACATGTCCAGCTACAGGTAAGGTACTGAGGCTTTTTGATGCGAGTTGCATCTCGACGCCTGGAGAGGATCACGTCATCATGTTGCTTAGACACTTGCACTGGAAGGAAGTTTGGATGCGACTTCTCGACCAAGATCGCTGCACACTAAGGCAGAGGTCATGTGAGTCCCCCTAAGCTTCACCTCAGATCGTTCACGAAACTGAACCCTACCCATCCTCACTCCTCTCACTCGCCTCACTCGACGTCTCGTTCAGGAACCCCTTTAGCGAAATCCCCCATTCAGCGGCTAACCTCTCCTTCCACGCCTCTACCGTAATCTCCTCTGTGTCTCTGTCGTCAGTACGAAACACCTCCAGTATCCTATTATCGTCCTTCGACTCTCTCAAGTCTATCGACAGCCGCACGGTCTTGGCTTTGCTGCCCACATAGAAGTCGTCACAGGGGGATGGGATGAGCATCCACTTGTGCTCTGCGCTGCACACCATGTTCTTGACGCGTGATCGAGGATTGAGAAGCTCTTTGAGACAATCGTCGCAAAAGTCCTTGTTCGAGCAGTAGATGCAGTGGTAAAAGTTCCCCTTGAGGCCGGCCCGCTTCTCACAGGGGTTACCGTTCGGCATCAGACCGTCACAGTTGAATGGTGAGAAATTGTTTCGAGTGCTGAGCTCCGCCCGGAGGACCGAAATGCGAGCCTGGAGTATTTGAAGGCACTGCGAATATGCGACTGCGACGTCATGAACGCTCGCTTCCCCGTCTTTGGCATCGGCGTCGGCTTCGACTTTGGTCTCCATCGTTTCGGCTTCACCAGCAGCTACAAGAGTCTCGATATAAGCTGCAGCGGCTTCGGCGCGCTGTAACTGCAGGCTCGAGTCTGGAATTCGCAATTTGACATCACAGAGTATATCTGCAGCCAGCTCAGAGACCTTGTCTAGCACTCGCTGTCTAGTCTTGCCGTCGACATCCGTGATATCCCCGGCCTCAAAGCATAGCGCTTCCGTCACGCAGTCTGGCTGTCCATACAGAGACAGAGCTACAGCCGCATTTTTGAAGTCTTGATAATGCTCCAGCGCTTCCTGGGCAAGGGCGAGCCCGTACACGTCGTTCTCAGGTATGTCATCGTAGAGAATCTGCAGCGCCTGCCTCATCCTCGGCCTCAGCCGAGCTCTGGCAGCCTCTCTGTTGTCGCACAGCACGGACACGACTGCTAAAAAGCCAACAGAGTCACTAAGGTAAAAGTTGCGGTCGGGTTCTAAGTCGGCAAGCTTGGTCAGCATGGTCAGGGCATCGCTGTGGTCCAGCGACAACCCATCCATGATGATCTGGAAGTAGTGGTTCGCCAGCGCCGTGGTGGCCTGTTGTCGTGTCACCAGGGCATTGCTCCCGCCGAGGCTGGCAAGCACATCGCGCACCTCCCACCACAGCCGCAGAGCCTCGTTGACAGACTCGGCGTCACAAGGTGAGAATTGACACGTATACGCCACAAAACCTCGGTAAAAGAGGAGCACGCCGCGAGCCTCATCATCAGCAAAACGCTCGTCCTCTTCCGACGCCCTCGCAATGCTGTTCTTGTCCGACATGAGGTTGTCGCTAGCTTCCTTCATGGCGGCCACGATACCTCTGAGGAGATCTGGATCCTCTTTGGCCACAGCGATCAGCATTGGAACGAGGTTGTAGTGTTGGACGTCTCGTGCAAGCATCTTGAGGGTCGCGACCATGTTTTCCTTTCCCTCCTCTAGGGCCAGTGCACTTTTGAGCCACTGCCTCACCTCCTCTGCGCTCTCGTTGCGTAGTCTCGCCTTTAGACAACCTAGCTTCCCCTCCATTCTTTGGGACACATCATCGCTCTCGCATGCGATCGAGTAATGCTGGTCCGCTTTTTTTATGTCACCATCTTCAGACGCGTACTGTCCTAACAATAAGTGTAGACGGACAATGTCCGCTGGTCCCGGCCTCGGTGCAGCATCTTCTCGTTTCGCGGATTCCAGCGCCAGTTCCATCTGAGCAATGGCCTCCTCGGTCTCACCGAAGTCATAATATGCCTTCGCCAACCCTTGGTAGCACAGCCAGCTGGGATCTTCCTCCTGAATGGCGTGCTGGTAAAGGGATATGGTATCCTCTGGCTTGCTACTTTGCGAGGTCGACGCCTCAGCAAGGCGCTCGTACCACAACGAGTCGATGTCTGAGTCGCGAAGCCCCAGGATGTCTCGGCACCAGGCACTTACCTGGCTCCAGTCGACCTCGCTACCATCTACCGCGCCGGCATTGGAAGGCTCACTGTGGCTCTCGAGCCTTCTTTCGTCCTGTTTCTCCAGACATCAGTGCTCAGTATCTGACAGCTTCATCGAAACATCAACTTACAGCCTTCATGAACTGCTCAAGCCAGCCGTACGCAGCTTCGACCTCCCAGCTCCTTTCCCTCAGGAAGCCCTCTACTACTACTCTCACCAGCTCTTTCAGGTAGCCTGTTATCGGGCTTACGGCCTGCCGCGCCTTGTCCCGCCACCTACTCTCAAGTCGCCGCACAACTGCCCAGTCCCTCAACCATTGCTGCACGTCCATCATCTCATCCACCATCCATCTCGCTCGCTGGAAACTATATTTGTGTTGCCTAAAGACCTCGTCGCTCCTGAACAGTTTATATAGATTATGCCCAATCTCGAGCTGCTCTTCCGGCATAAGCGCCCCTTGATCGTCGTCTTCAAGCTGGCGGAGGCGGCTCAGGTGATACGGCAGCCATTTGACAAAGTACGCTCCAATATTCTCAGTCTGCTCTCTGTGGGGCTTACTCAGGTACTCAAATGCCCTTCTCACAAGGGTATGATGAGCCTCGAATTCGTCCACAGCGATGGTGGCCCTGCTTCCACCATGGAAGGCGTTGGAGGCTTCGTCGTCGAGCTTGAAGTTGAACTTGTCCCGGATTGCCTTGTGTGCCAGGTCCCAGAGGAAGTGTCCACAGAGCTCATGATCCACATTGTTGATGGTGATGGTCATGCTGATGCTGGCCCGGTCCTTGGACTGCGCTGACCGGCTCATATCCTTGCGCAAGTACTCTTTGACGCCGTCCTGACCAAACACATACCCCCAATCGAGCTTCAGGACGGCTGAGTATTTGGTTTTGATAAGGTACTCCATGGATACGAGCGACTCTGTGTCAGTACACAGATACTTGAATGCGTTAGTCATCATCACGGCGGCAATCGGAGGTCACTTACCATGGCAGCTTCGAGCTTTTCCAGCGTCATAGGCTCGTTGCTAAACAGCACCCATTTCAGCAACTCGTTCAGCTCACTGATTTCATCTGCCGTCAAAGATCGCTGCAGGTTTTTGATGGCCGCTTCGTGGCTGCTCATCGATTGGTCCAGCATCCGGTCCAGATCCCGGATGGCCGTCCGCGTGCTCAATAGGCGAATCACGTCTTCCAGGCCAAACTGCAGTCGTGAGTAGCTTCCTTCAACGTTTCGCGGCAGCTTATCCAGGATTTTGGTTCTCGCTCTCTCCTGGTCCGAGTTGGGCCTTGGATTCTGCAGCATCCCTCGGCGGTTGAGCGCCTCTTCGATGATTATTTTCATGTCTGGTGTGTTGTGCTCCTCCATTTGAATCCGCAATGCGCTCTCAGCCCCCCTCCAGCCTGCAAGATGGTCGTCTGTTGCGCTCAACAGAACTCGCACTCGCTCTCTCGCTTCTCTCGCCAGCTGGGGGCTTAAGACAAACTCCAGCAACATCTTGACCTGATCGTCGGGCAGATTTTCGATGCCATCGAAGATGAGGTGGTATGTCGCGTTTGAACCCAATGCCCCAATCTTCAAGCTTTCCCAGAGGCTGTCTAGGCTCTCAACACTCACTGACCGGCGAAACGCAGCAAGCTCATCATCACACGCCTTGCTCAGCGCCTTCTGCACCGTGACATCAACTCGCGCGATCTGAAAGGCCATATACCTCAGCGCCGACTGGATGGAGTTCTTCTCGTTGTCTCCTTTCTTGGTGCTAGTGGGGAAGAAGTAATGCGCAACGTACGTGCGGCCCTTTTGCTCCTCTAGCCTCCTGGTGATGAGGGCATTGACGAGAGTCTTGCCCGAAGATGGAGGGCCAGTCACGAGCAGCAGGCGCTGCACGTCTCCGTCTCCGTCCTTGTTTTTGTCCTTGGATGACGTCCAAGCAGTGTATGCCTCGTGCGTCCAGATCCACGACCCTGTTTTGCTGTTGCGCTTATCTATAATGTCGCTGCACGTCTGCGTGGTGTTTGTGTCGAGGCGCACCGTCGAAGGCACACCCAGAGCGTCACGGATCTTGATGAGCGCCTTCATGCGATCCTGGTCGTCCGTGAGGGTCTGCACCCCTTTCTGTGTCTCCTGCACTCCTTTCTGTGTCTCCTGCACTCCTTTCTGTGTCTCCTGCACTACTTGATGTGTCTCCTGGGCCGTCTTGCCGAAGATGTTGGACTGCTCATGCAGCAGCGTAATGCCTTGCTGCGTCTCCACGACTGTGGCCAACGTGAGAGTCCCCTCAACATCGCGCTGATGCTGCAGAACACGTCTAAACTCTGCCATCTGACCGGCCAAATCCGAGTCGTCGTCGAAGACGGACTTGATCTGCTTTAAAAGGCGGTCCCGCCTGCGGCTTTGACGATATTTAACGACATGGGCGCAGACTTTGACGAAGTTGACCAGAACCAGATGAATCTGCCGAACGAGCAAGGGTTCGGGGTTGCTAATCGTCTTGTAGATCTCAAATTGTGAGAGGGCCGAGGCCACTTCGCCAAACACTTGGTCGATAGCCTCGTTGTAGCCCTTGATCTTTTCGGGAATGTTGAAGACGAAGCAGAGAGCAGAGCTGGTGAGGTTGGCTGCCCCCTGTGGAATTGGTATTTACAGCCGTTAGTGGGTGCGAATTGATCAGGACAAGATGTTGACGTACCAACGAGGAAGCCTGGGAAGCAGCGCCGACAAGCATCCTGAGGTACTTGAGCGACTCGAGGCCCACGCTCTTTGCCTTTTCCCATTTCGCATTCTGTTCTTTGTCGGCATCTTGTAGCCCCTGGTTGACGCTTTGGATCTTGACTTGCACGTCGTCGAGACTCTTGACTTCGCCCTTTTGCAGTGACTCTCCGCATATAGTCTCGAACTCCATGGCGGCCGCATCCCATATCTGTTCCAGGGAAACCAGGCCCTCGTGCGGGTGCTTGGGCGATGCGTCGTCTATTATCTGCTGTCCTCCCATTGTTGCACCGGTTTGCTGATTCTGAGTGATCTTTCAAGACGGGGAGTGAGCGGATTCTACTCTTTTTGCAAGGAAAGTTGAAGAGCACTGCCTCTGCTACCCCGCAGATCGCGATTTGGCTCATCATGAATGAGCCTCACGAATGTTATTGGGTAGATAGCTCGGTGCATATCCCTACATGTACTGCAACCCGCTGGTCAGTATGTTATATTGCGGCTGAAAAGGTCGAGAGACTTGGGTATATGGAAGCCCAGCCTTGGACACATTCCACGCCCAACCCGGTACGGCAAAGGAATTACGAAGAAGCTTGTGCCTAACTGTACTGTAGTTCAACTGTCAACATCTACTCGCCTCGGCCTCCAGAAGGCTTTCTTCTTCTCCTCTTCGAGGCGACTGGCCATTCTATTGACGAGGCGAGTGTTCTTTGCTTACTGTCATGGAGCGAATCATATTCAACAGGTACTCGGGCATGTATTTGCAGACTGATGCAAGACGTGAAGAGGAGTTTCTTGAAGCTGCGAGGCCATGACGTGAATGCATCTTGGTGTCATGCCAGAAACCCGAAGTGTGTAAAGTTCTGAAGTTACTTATCACGTCGTGTTCCTGTTTTCGAATTATTACCCTGAAGAGTCCGTGGCAGAACTTGGCCAGACCATCCATTATCCAATACGTGCACATACACAGCACGTAGTGCCATCTTCGGGCCGGGCCGGCGATCCATGGGAGCGCTAGTCTTTCTTTCCGAAGAGCTAAAAGAGACGGCTTCAACTCCATATCAAGAACGATTTGATATACATATAGATAGAAGATGAACGAATTATTGGATTACATATCAGCAAAGTGGCGTTGGAAGACCTTCTGAAGGGCGACCCTGTACTGATATAGGAAGGTGAGAGAATGCAATAACAGCATGCTCGTATAGTAGCATACGCCACAGCGTTCGATCCGCTGAGGAATTCAACAATACATATATAGGTGATGATAACTACCGTGACATGAGTAGGAGACTTTTGATGTAGTTGATCTTCAATGAACAGGTAGCACCCAATTAAACCATCTTCCACCACTATTGCTGGAGGACTGCGTCTGCTTGCAGTTTAGCCCATCTATTGCCCAAAGAGCACAGACAAGTCAATCGGAGGGAATCCCGCCAGACCAAGAACCTCGAGGATATACGTGAGGTCATAATCCTTGACAGGAAACACCTCAGCAATAAGATCCTGTAGCCCGCGTCAGCAACCCCTCCACAACCCACAAGACAAAAACATTCAAACTTACATCAGGAGTCTTGATAACGGTATTCCCCAACAAGGCCACCAAATCAGGCTGCGACACAAGCGACTCCAACCCAACGGCAAGGACCGTGGCAGCATCATTCCCCAAGACGGAACCCGGCTCGTACCCCAAGTGCGTCGGGATCCTCTGCTCCTCAAAGAGGCTCCGCACCCACTCCAGCTTGGGATTCCCGGCAAGAGACTGCAGCAGCAGGCCGTTCTCCAGGGCGCCGAGCACGATGGATCGCGCGCCGCATTGCTGGTCGGGGTTATGCGCAATGTCATACAGATCTCGTGCCGAACGTGCTGCGCCCATAGCCTGGGGCGTAACAATTGTGTAGTTTTCTAGCACGCTCAGGGGGACGGACCATATCGTTGCGTTGAAGTCATTGTTATTCGGCGTCGAAGCGTCGCCGCGAGAAAGACTGCAGTCGTGGGAGATGAAGCCGTGGTTGGAGAGCTCGTGCAGGTCGAACGCGGCGAGGCGGTACGCCTTGATGAGCTCGGCCACGCCCGCGGCGAGGGAAAGGTCTGGGGCGACGTGGTAGCCCGCGTAGGTGCCGCGGAGGATGTCGATGGCGGTGATGTTGCGGCCGCTGTGGGGGAGGAAGCCGTGGTTTGCGAGGGAGTTGAGGCCGGGGCAGGGGCCGCGGGCTGACGATGATCAGCTGGTGGGACATCCATGAGAGGCAGAGGGCTTCTTGTGCTTACAGTCGTTTGGTCCGGGAGCTTGCCACTCGTTGAACCTGGGGTCAAGGGGGTTGAAGACGGGAGGGCTGAGGATTTGGGCAGAGGTGATGCTGCTTAGGGAGGAGATGGCCGTGAGTGAGAGGAGCAGCTTCATCTTGTATTGGTTTCAGAATACGAGGGCAGTTGGGTGTTTGATGGTTCTTCCTGAGCTTCTACAGGATCCATGCAGCAGGACGCTGAGCCTTCTTATCTCTGCGACTCAGCCTGCGTGAGACTATCGTGATGCTTTCTGTGCAAGTGTCATCTCCGCAGAGGGTTCCTCCTGCAGAATTGCATGTAAGGTAGGATTTATTGCATCTGTGATGATTTCTCTCTCCAATCATAAACCCAAACATATACACATGCTCGAATGAAACACAACATGAGCGTTTGAACCACCTTGTCAAATGTTGCGATCGTCATGGAAATACATCCCCATAGAGTTGTGAATGACATAGCTATTGCAACTGTTTATATAATATAGCTGTCCGGGTTCGAACTACTCCCTTGCTGCAGATACTCAAAAGGAGAGTTGATGTTACAGACTGGACATGTAACTCAACACGACGGGACGTTTTGTAATATATGCGGCTCAAAATGGCACATAAACTTCATATACAACCCTCCTGATTCGTGGCGTTGTAAAGCCAAGCCCGCTCTCCGCAACGCTCTTTTTGACGACATGCATAATCAGGATTTTGAAGAGCCTGGCAATATCAGTAATCTAGACAGGGTCTGCATGTGCGAATAGCCGACGTCGTATTCTATACTACATTGTCACATCTCTGTCAGAAAAAAAACTACAAGCATAGGGTCTGCGGTGAATGTTCGGGGCTGCAGCGTGATGTGATTGATTTTGATATAATTCTGGTAGTATTCGTCCCTGTGAGAAACCCGGTTTGAGCTGGATTCTACTGTAGTAATAGAGAGGGGGCTCGAGGAGGTTGTTGTAGCCGAGTCATAGAGTGTCGACCTGGAGTTCTGTGCCTTGTTGTATATGCCTTCATGTTCAAGATAAGATTTGCACCTTTCAGTTCATTTATCTTTCATATGATAGGTACACAGGTCTGCTCATACTCAATAATCAAGTTGACTTCTTTGGTCTTTATCTCAATACTATCTATATCAACAGCTCCCTCTCCTTTTTTTTTCTTTCTTTTTTTCGAAATTCTTGCTTCAGAAAATGAAGAGTAAAAGAGCTCTTTTGCTCTTGTTTTCCCGAGAATCATAATACTCTCTTGCCTTAGTATACCCTGAATAAGAAAACTCATAACCAGCAAGTAAAGCAACCATACACCAAACTCCGCGCTCACAACACAAAACCGTCCATCACACCCCAATCCCACAACTCCCATAGACATCCCACCCCAATCCCAAAAGACTCACAAGTCCACTCAAACACCCATGCCCCTCTACCATCTTTCATTCCCCCAAATTACGCCTCAGAAGGCACATCATCAACACCAAGCGCCTCCAAGCGCTTCATCAAACCCCCCCCTGACCGACACCCCAACCCAAGCACCCTCTCCCCCACACCCGCCAAACTCCTCATCACCTCCGGCCCCTCCCCACAGATAACAACCGGCAACGCATCCAGCGACTGCTGCTGCAGAAGCTTCCTATGCTTTGCAGTCTCATGCCGTGCCTTTGCCGTCTTGAACAGCATCCCCGTGTTGCCATCGCCCGCTTCGCCAGACCACATGACGATGGTCTCAGCCCTCGTATAAATCCCCGTCATCAGGCTGACGTGCAGGCTGCGGTCCGTCAAGTCCGTCTGGTCCACGCACAGCGCGTCAATCCAAAACCTTTGAATCTCCGAGGCATGTTGTCGATACCTGCGGAGAGCATTGAACAGGCTCGTCGTGATGCGCACGTTCACGTCGTTGAGGCGAACGACGTTGCTGATTTCAGCGGCGGCAGCATCTCCCCATACGTACGACAGGATATCGTACGGACCGGCATCTTCCAGCGCGACGGACTCCATCTTGAGGACGATCTGGTCCGCATCGTCATCGTCGGTGGCGGGCAGCACCTTGAGGAGTCGGATCTTGCCAGGCTGGAGTGGCTGGTATATCCGGGAGGCAGGGGAACGAGTCTTTGTTATCCTCCCGTAGAGGAGACTCAAAATGGGGGATCTCGCGACCCCGTTGTGTGTGAGAGCACTCATCTTGAATCCTTAGATGACTGGAGCTCAGAAAAGACGACGGAGTTGATGATTCGCAAGAACTGCTGCTTAACTGTCACCAATGCAAACGAAAGAATCAGACAACTTTGGGTGAAAGGCCTTGGTCTATACTAGGTGTATAATGCCATTTCTTGCATCCTTAGACAGCCTAGAGGTTATAAACTTCAAGGCGAGAAAAAATAGTTGCGCCCTTCTTTTGTTGGTGCCACGAAGACACGATAGGGGCTAATATCCAAGGCTTTCCGAGGTGGCTTTGATATAAACTCTCCGTGAGGGGCCATGCCAGCGTTCAGCCCCAAACTCTCGTGGGCATATATACCTTGACTTGTTCAACGAACATCGACAAGTTGTGTGTAGACAGGTCGTTCTTAGCCACAGATGGTCAGAATTTTAAAGTAGACTCTATGGACGCACATTCGATACACTCCTATTGCCACAGGCGAGACACAAGGAAATACATGAAGGTTAAAGCCTTCACTCTGGTACTGTCAAGTGATGGGATTCCACTTATTCTTGCAAAACTCGCAATTGGCTACTATTTGGACACGACAATGTTCACACGTGTAGTAGTAGCCCATCACCAGCTGGAGAACGCAGAGACAAGAGCTGGCTTCAAGCAAAGCAAACGACCAGAAAGCAAACTGGTCTCTCTTCCGCGACATGGGGCACTCACACAAAGGGAATGAACATCAAATCTCCCACAACAACACAAGGGAAATTTTCCAAAGTGACAGACGAGACGAGGCAAACAACAGACTGGCTCACAGACCTCTAGTGAGTTATTGGCCCACAGACAACAATGGACACGTCAAGCGTAAACTTTGGAATCATGTTTGAGGAGCAAGAAACAGCTACACCATCACAGGCTTCTTTGGACATGCCTCATCTTTAGGTCTCTCCCCATTCCCTCTACACCCGTCTACTCCTCCCTCGACCCCCTCATCCAAACCTCCTCCAAGCTCTCCACCTCCACATCATCATCATCCATGTCACACAACTTCTTCACCGCCGGCGCAACAACTTCTACAGACACGTCCCCATAATCAGCAAAACACATCATCACCATCTCTCTACCCCTTCACCCATCTCAGGATAAAAGAAATTGGCAAAGAAGACTTACTGATGGCGTTATTCAAGCCACACTCGCTAACAACACAATCCTTGGCCGACTTCCCAATCTTGGTCTTGTTCTCGCAGATGCAAGCCACGTCCTCAAACGTGCACTGCGTCGTCTTCTTGATCCCGTCCTGGACGCACGGCACGCAGCACGCCGGCAGGTCGTTCAAGCTCGGCGGCGTGGCCGGCGGGTCTTGGGGAGCGGCGGCCGCGGCGGCGGAGAGTTTGATTGTGCTGTTGGCGCCGTGGAAGCTGGTCATGGCAGCGAGCGTCCTGTTGTTGGCGATGAAGACGGTGGAGTTGGCGACGATGACGGTGGAGTTGTATAGGGGAGACGTAGAGTTGGAGGGGGCGACGCCGGCGAGGGGGGAGGCAGAGCCCAGGATGGCATAGCCGAGGAGGAAGAAGAAGACGAGTACGGCGTGCATGTTGGATAAGAGATGCTGTAATAGCACCGTGTTGTAACAATGCTAAAGTGGTCGATAGGGAAGAGTTGGAGTCGTGAGAAGGTGAGTGAAGAATGAAAAACAATCATTCCCCAAAGGAGATGCCTTTAAGTAGTTGTCGGGTAAGGCTGAGAGAAGGAAGGAAAGAAGAGGCTTTCAGGGGAAGAACAAGGGAGAGGGTTGCATCCCAAGAGGTAGGTAACGTCCAGATGCTGTATCCCCCCTACTCTTGCCCAAGTTTTCAACGGGAGGATCGACGGAGCATGAAGCTGATGACGAGCGCAGTATAAAGCCAGCCGAGGACGAGGCATCTACCTTGGGTATTCCGCCAACTCCCCATGATCATGACGAAACCCCTGATAGAGCATTGAAAAGCTGCAGAGACCAAGTAGTGCCTCTCCCACGTCTCCAAGCTGCCCTTCCCCCCTCGCCTACAAACCCCCAGCATCATCGGAGTCCAAACGAACCCCGTCAATCATCACACATGCTCCAGAGAACTTGTCAAATTGTTCTGTCTCGAATTAGTTTCTCGCTCATTATTCCAACAACTTTGCACGACTGTCTAGCCTGAGAGCAAATGCCCTCCTCAACTGGGTATACGATCCATGACCGGCATAAAAAAAAGAAAACGAAAAGAAAGGGAATGAAAAAGAAGAAGACACAGAAGAAAAGACAGATGCGAGGCATTGATATACCTTCGCTCTTCCATCCTCACAGCAACCCCTCCTCCGCTGCTTTAACCGTACACGCATATCATTAATTTCGCTGGTCCCCCAAAGTAACCTGATCCACACTCGCCCTCGCAGCTACGGACAGAGATCCTATCCGACCATCCGGCAGAACGCTCCCTAGGCTTCCTTCCATCCAGTCGGACCCTCTGCCTCGTACACGCCCCTTTTCGAGATGACGCGGCCGAGGCCTCGGTGGATCTCGGCCTGGAACGGCTCAAACGGGATGCGTTCCCCATCGATGCTGATGTAGCCGTCACGCTGGTCCCTGGGGGTGATGCGGTAAGCTGAGATCTTCTTGTACGTGACAATGGGGTTGTCGAAGAATTTGCCAGTCTCGACGCTGAGCAAAGCCTTGGTGACGGCCATTGGCGAGACGTTTGCCGGCATCATGACCAGATCCATGAGGCCATCTGTAGGCAGGGCGGCGGAGAAGAAATTGGCGTCGGGCGACATGTAAGCCATCTGTTTCCATCGGTTAGCAACCTTATTGAAAACCCCGTAGGTACCTCTAAACTCACGTTTCCAACGTAGAATGTGCCAATATTGTCGTACGACTGCGTCTCCCAGTCTGCCGGCACCTCGTCTTGGACCGTTCCGTATCTCAGCTGCGGCAAGCCCTCTACGCCATTCGCCTCCGCATCCACGCTCAAGAGGCTGTGGTCCTCGGCGTACTTTTTATAATGCTGCTTGATCATCTCCTTGCCCTCGACCTCCACCTTGACGGACAAGTCAAACGGATAGCACTTCTTCTTCAGAACGCGTGTCGCCAGGCCGACCTCGAAGCGCTTGTTGCCCATCCACCGCATGTTCTCGGTCCCCAGGTCGCTCTCGGCAATGATGCCCAGAGACTGAGAAAGGAATGAAAGGACGCGGCGATCGCCCTGTGTGACGGAGACGAGGTCCAGCGGCATCACCACGCCTTTGACAACGGCCAACGCTGAGACCCCAGCGTCATTGCTTCCATTGCAGTTCAACGAGAAGGCGTTGCCTGATCCGCAGGGAATGTGGCTCACTGCAATCTTTGCCAGCGCCTTGGCAGCATCCGGCCGTCTCCCGAGCCCGTTGAAGATTTCATACGGCGTCCCGTCTCCCGAAAGTGCCATGATGGTGTCAAACCTTTCGATGTCGGCCTTTTCCGAGAGTTCCGTAGCCTCGCCACCTCTGCTCAGGGTCACCACATCCAGCTCCATCCTGGCGGCCTCGAAGAACGGCTTGACATGCTTCTTCCACCTGCCCAGCGCCCCTCCAGGACCCGAGTTTGGATTGATCAGGACATACGCTCGCTTCCGGGGCTTCGCCTCGCCGTACGCGGCGGCGATGAGTGCGGCCACAAATTCCTCGGGCGACGAGTCTCCGGTTTCGAGCTCCGGCGTGGGGAGCGCAAACGTCCACTTCTGCAGCTTAAGCGATGACTTGCGCGGGGCCGCATAATCGACCACCAAAGCATTGTCGCGAACTTCGGCCCACAGGACGTTGTACAAAGGGATCGTGTGTTTTCCCTTGCCATCTGCAGCCTGCCAAGGTAAGCAACCGAAGCAGGAGAAGTCTTCAAAGGTCTGCTTGCCGGCCTTTCCCTGGGCTGCCTTTTTGCGGTTCTTGCCGTCTGGGTCTGTAGAACTCAATCATCCGTCAGTAATCTCAATTCGATTCTGTCGCTATGCTAGTGGGAGATATTTGCTCGTTTCTTTTGCGTACCAAAGAGAACAAGGTCCTTGTCGCCAATCGTCAGCGTCTTGTTGCCTCCCAAGCCCAGACGCATGCCAATTGCCTCGGACGCCCCCATCTTCGTCGCGCCGTTCATGTCCGCCAAGCGTACGGCGTCCTGCATCCGGCGATGTTCTGGGGGAAAAGGTCCAGTTCGGTTCACGTCACGTTTCGGCGGCCGAGGCACCCGAGAAGGCGTTCCGCGGGTTGATGGGAAATTGCAGAACGAGGAAAACCCGGCTAATCAGAGGACGCGCGCTTCTGAACGAGTGAGACGCGGGAGAGGAATGCAGGAGGAGAGAGAGTGAGAAAGGGCAGGATCTCCGGAAGGAGGACGGGAGTTTAAATAGGATGAACGAGTAAGATGTTGAGAAAGAAAGCGTCGTCAGCGAACGTGAGATTTTGGGGTTGAAAACGAATGACAGGTTTAGGTTTGGGATGGGATTCGTCGAAAGGAAGAAGCGGTTGCGAGAAAAGGGGAGAAAACAAAGCTGGAGACAAGGGAAGAGAAGAGAAAAAAAGCTTCAAAGCCCCCCTGATGTGCTCAACGCGTAAGATTGATGGATGGACGCGCGCAACGCAATGCAACGAGCTGGTGATGCGGGTGACATGGAATTTGGAGCTGTTTGCTGCTCGAACTTTAGCGGTTCGAGGAAGCTCCGATAAGGGGGGATAAGACACTGGACCTGGACCTGGAGGGCGGTAGCAGCACAGCTAGAGAGCCACTAACGAGGAGCCTGCAGCTGTATGGAGTGATGGGAATCGAGTGCTGCTCCACAGGGGGGGCCGCCGTTCCGAGAGACCCTGGGCGATGGACGTTTTCGCTGTTGAAGCTGCGTGAAAACTTCCCATTGGAGGACGGTGAGACGTGATGTTATTTGATATGACCACGAGAAGCCTCGACCGGAGCCTATCAGTGCACTGTTTGCTTGATTGTTCTGTCTGGGCGCTACGGGCTTTGAGTCAAGTGGGATCCAACGGTAGCCGCTTCAAGGTAGGTAAGGTATGTATCAATGGCAACTTGAAGACCAACAACGATCGAGCATCGAGATTGACTAATGGATCACGATGTCATCTTTTCTGCAGCAAAAGACGCTCGGATCAGCCAGATGCCTCTACTCAAGCTCGATCAAATACTACTACTAGCAGACAAACAGCCAAACGCATACAAAATGCCTTCCTCTCTCATATTCAGCCTCAACCCCAGTAAATGCCCAATATCAACTTTTATGTATTGCATCCGTCCTTTCCCCCCAAGGAAACAAGAAAACCTCCCCAGTGACCCATCTCTGTCCATAGCGTTGTCCTTTCAGGCCGTCTATCAACAACCATTGTGGACTAGATATGTATGCCGCATAAATGTGAGCGTACATCGTACCCAGACCCCTATAATCTCTCAAGTCCAGTCACCTCCTCCGTCAGCGAATCTATCACATTACCAGCCTGCGAATAGCATTCTCGCGCTTTTCCATCTTCTACTAGTTCCCCCTATTTACCCGCCTTATTCACGGATATGAGTCTCCTACTCCGATAGTCTTGTAACGTTGGGCCACTTGGCCAACGCTGCCTGCCTGAACGCATCAACTTCTGCGCTCCTCCACGACTTGAGAGCCTCCAGGGCGGCTACGGCATCTGAAAATGTCGCCTTGGCATGCTCGACGAGGCCGACAACCTCCTTTTCGCACTTGGCCGCATCAACGCCCAGCTGGAGCTTGGCCTTGATGGCGGAGAGCACATGGAGGGGGCTGTCCTGGTGCTTCGCCTGGAAGGCTTCGTTGAACTTGCTCAGATCCGCAGTCTCCTCGAGAGGCTTGAATTCTGCCTTGAGCGTTTCGACCACCTTGGGCGGGAGGTCTGACGGGGGGTTGTCGAGCAGCTTCCGGAAGGCGACGACTTGTTCGTGCACTCTCGGGTTCTCGGCATCGATGCCCAGGGCTCGGTTCAGGCACTGGAGGGCGAGGACGTATTTGCCTGCAAGATTTGTTAGCGTTTTCCTGTTCGAGATGGTCTCAACAGTTTGCTGCTTACCTCGGCGCATGTAAACTTCGAACCCGGCAATCTGCGCCTCGATGCTCTTCGGGCTCGCTTGCAGCATCGGGCCCAGGAACTTCATAGCCTCGCCCAGGGGATCTGTCGTGGCCGCCAATGTCAAGCCCAGGGGGTCCTCATCCTTCTTCTTCGCATCGCCTGCCTGGCCACCCTTGTTGGGATCCTGCTTGGCCTGCCTCTCCGCCTCCTCGCGCTCAAGGCGCTGCTGCTCCTTTCTTGCCTTCTTGGCCGCCTTCTTCTTCTCGAGGGCGTCCTCTTCGCTCACCCCATTGGTCCCGTTGGCAGACGGCTTGTCCGCCATCTTGAGGTAAAGGTTGACCGCATCAAGGGCCACCCTGGTGTAGAAGGGGTGGTCCCGGAAGTGGTCCTCCCAGCGAACCATGTCAATGTAGGCTCGGATCTGGCCCTTTCGCAGCGAAAAGCTGTGGAAGTCAAATTGGTCATCCTGCCAGACGTCAAAGATGTTGTTCAGAGCATGGAACCGCTTCAACGCAAGGCCAGTGTTTCCCTGCCTGGCATAGGCCTCTCCGTCCTCTGTCAAGAACCAGATGCACTGCATTTCGAGCAGATCCGCAAGGGGGCCGCCGACAGTCTCCGCTCGCGTAAAGAGGCCGACCGTCTTGAGCGCTTTCTCGTTCTCGTTGTTCCGCAGCTGATACTTGGCACACTTGCTGTTGATGTACCGATCCTTCAGGTCGAGCTTTCGGGCCGTGTTCATCATCTCCGCCGCCTCCTTGATGTTGCCCTCGTGCTTCAGTATCCTGGCCTTGGTCATGTGGAAGTCGACGCTCTTGGCGTCTTTCTCGATGGCTCGGTCGACATACTCGCGGGCCTTTGCCAGATCGCGGCTCATGTGGTAGTTGTAGTGCTGAGCCAGGTAGTAAAGTGCAGCGGCCTCTCCCTTATCCTTGCTCTCTGAGTCGATGTCCTGGGACGTGATGTATTTCTCGGCAATCTCTCGCAGGGTATCCTTCTTGAATGAGTCGGAGTAGAGGTGCTTCAGGTTGGCAAACAGAGATGGAACCCCCTTGTTGAGCATGAGTGTTAGGTACGACTCTGCGACCTGTCGGAACTCGTCGCCTACAATCAAAATGTTAGAACAATCGCTTCGTCTCGCAATTCAGATAGACCCTCATTTCGACCGAGATTTTGTTACGTACCGCTGAGAAAGTCAAGGGGAGCTCGTCGAGCAATGTCGCAGCGAGGAAACTTGGCAGCATACTCGTCGTAGATGGCCTTTCGTGCAGCAACGTCGTCGGCAGGAATCTCCAGGGCCTCTTGCAGCTTCTCGTAGTACAGGGCGTGCTCCGAGTTGCGGTCGAGGAGGAGTCGGTAGACCTTGGCAGCCTCTTCCTTTCGTCCCAGCTTGAGCAGGTAGTCGGCGCGGCACTCCAGCACCGCCAGGCGATCCAGGTTGTGCTTCGCGTCCTTCTCAAGATGGTCGAGGGCTCGCTGGTAGTCGCCCTGCTCGGCAATGATGGAGTTCTTGTACATGACCGCCTCGGAGTGCTCAATGTCGTATCGGGAGGGCGGCGACTTGAGGGTCCCCTCGTATGTGGTGAGGACATTCTCCGCCTCCGCAAGGTTTCCAGCCAGGTGATGCGCAATCGCCAATGCCGTCCAGCTGGATCGCAGCTGCGGCCTAGCCTGGAGCATCGCCGTCCGGCTCTGGATGTATCCCTGGTAGTCACGAACGTGCACCTGGAGGATGGCAAGGTCCCGCTGGATCTGGGCAGAGCTGGGATCGAGCTTGAGCGCAAACTTGTATGCCTTGATCGCCTCCTCAAAGTTCTTGACCGACCGGTACAGCAGGCCGTAGACGTGCCAGCAGATGTGGGACTTCATATCCACCGTCAGGGCCTCCTTTGCCAGCGGGAAGGCCTCGTCGGGCTTGCCCTGGCTGTTGAGGATCAAGGCCTTCATGGCCATGGTGTCGCCATGCTTGGGGTGCTTCTTGAGAATCAGCTCGGCCGTCTTGAGGCCTCGCTTATACTGCTTATCCTCGAAGCTGCGGATAATAGTCCGAAACTGCGCCGCTTCCTTTGGCGCCAGTGGTTGGGGCATCGTGACGAGATTGCTGGCGGCGGCGGCTCTAATTGGGACAAGTTGGATGTAGAGACTCGAAGAGGGTGCGATGGAGAGTGCTGGTTGTGGTCCGAAACGCAATCAACCGAGCAGCAGCTGAAATTGTTGTCTCGAGGCGAGTCGAGTCGAGTCAAGGCGAGCTTCGACCAAGTGAGCCCAAAGACGAAAGGCTGTCTGCACTGTCGCGTGGCTCGAGTCAGGCAAGTGGAAGCCGCCAATCGCAAGTTGGCAATGCAACAGAAGGGCGTCTCTTGTGCACAATCAAGGTGTCGGGGTTGTTTTGCCCCTCGTCAACGGCCGTCTCGAGCTTCGGTGCGGTTTCTCGTCAAGGCTGAGCGGATGCCTGCAGTGCCTGAGTGGGAGGCCAGAAATCGGCGCAGGAAGCACGGCGACAAAGACAGTGGGAATGGCCGCCGGCTGGACTTCGGCGCGGGCTTCCTCCACCAAAAGCCAGAAAGGCCACTGGGAGCCAGGCTGAAGGACCCCACCATCTGCTAAGGCTCTCACAGTGATTTCACAGGAAACGAGAGGCGGCTCTTTTGGCGGGGTAGCTGTGCCTGTACATACTACTTCCATGACTTGCACTCACCTGTACTCGCCTGATTCGGAGGAGATTAGTATCCGACTGCAGGCAGCCAGCAGGACTGCTTGATGTGATCCAGCAATGAGAGAACAAATGTTTGCCTGTGTGTATATCTATGGAATTGGTGCGACATCGAGTGTCTAAATTTTCCAAGGTGATATAACGTGCATTTTCTACAGCTCCACGTCCGGAATTGGGCTAAATAAAGATCAGGGAGATGTCATTTGCACTCGCGGAGCGCATGTTATCGTACGTAATAATACAGGTGGTTTTATATACAAACTCATCATCTATGTTCCAATTCATATGTTCAGTCCACGTCCACACTCGTACACGCAGCCTCATGACCCACGGCGGAAGGGATATCGCTGCTGGCCCTTATGACCTCATATTGTCATGATCAGGCTGGCCGTCTCAACGTCGCCCTCACTTGTACTTCTTCGCCTCCCAATCGCCCATAGCATCCTGCCAGCCCTGCCCGGAAGCACCGCATCTGCCTTGGACGACGTCCCAGGTTCTGCTGCGCACGATATTCTCCACGGCTCGTTCCTGGCGCATGAGTTGGGCCAGGGACTGGGTGCGGGGTTCGTGAGGGAAGAACCGTCCGGAATAAGGATCGAGCCGTTCGTCCACGATGCGCTCTCGATTCTTCTGAGTCTCCAATGCTATCACGGCAGACTCCGGGTCCGAGGGATCCGGACTGGTTGCGACGATGCCACAATAGCTAAGCACATCGGCTCTGGCCTTCCACGAGGGGAACAGGACGTTGTCTTTGAAATTCTGACATGCTTCGGGGTCGATTTGCTCGGTAAACGATCTTGGGGTGCGCCTTGATGTTGAATTCGGATCGAACCCCTTCCGCGCCGGCGTTACCAGCGCATTGAGGTTCTGAGTAATGGAGTCGTCTATTGAAGCTCGAGACAGTCGCAAGAAGTCTATATGGAATGAATCAGCATAATGCCAGGTGGCAATTCAATTTGGCAGTGCACGTACCACGAACCGCACCAAAGGAGAAGCAGAACTGAGGCGAAAGGTGAGGCTGCTCGGAAGGCTGCGACATCGTGGGCTCCCGCTTCTTCGGGCCACCAACAGCTTCCGCCGTCGGAGTGGCACCTTTCCACAGAATGCCCGCCACTATGTGGGAAATGGAGAGTCTGGCTTAAACAGGTGTTTGAGCAGTGTGACGCGGCCAGCTGGGCTGTGCTCGTCACGAATTGTCGCTGCGGTTATGGAGAGGCTTGCTTGGGTTGAAAGAGTGACGCGAGCATCTTCACAGGCGGCGTCGGATGACATCTGATACGCCCCAGAAGGTGCTGCCGCAGTGCCGGCAGAACAGGGGCGAATCTCGGGCCAACGTAGACCCGGCTTGCTGACTTGGGAATTCGAGATCAGTTGACATTGGTCGGCGTTTTGTTGTCGACGGGAATATCTGGGCTTAATGCAATGCTGTGCATTCATGTGATTACTTCATTAATCTGAATGTTTGAAAGTGTTACATTTGATTTGGCATTCGTCCCAGGACGCTGCCTTACACTCAGTCGAACACAAGCTCACGCGAGCAAAGCAAAGCTCCAGGGTATGCGCTGGAGTGAAAGAGCAGACGGCTACGGCTAAAGGCATCAAGGCATGCAGCCCTCGCAAAGAGGTCGGGTGCTAAATCCGAACCGAACTTGAAATAGGCAATACTCCATGATCGATGCAACATTGCCTCTTGTGGGAATCATGACGAGCTCATGTTTGCTAGCCTCAGCTTCCATGTGACGAGACGGCGTGAACACTATGTACACTGCTGCCCTCTTCTGCAACTTGTTGGCTGTCTTTGGCAGTCTTCGAAACAGCGAACCAACGGAACGGCCCTGTTGATGATAAGCATCTTATGTCCATCAGGTCTCTCGAACACAATGCAAAACCCAAAACAAAGACTGGGAAACCGAGAAACAAAACAAATCGTGACCACTCCAAGTTCATCCACATCCATGGAATCCATCCAGCCGGAATCCGCCCCCCCTCCCTCATCCCCAAAGCCCGCGCTGCGACTCCGGCTCGTACTCGTATTCTGCCCTGTCGGCCTGCATGCCACAGCGCCCTCGGGCCCCCTACAGCATCAAATGCCCTGAGCGCCGCGCACGCCCAATCGCAGCGGCCAACAGGGCCTGAGCGCACTAGAGTTCCAGGTTAACGCACCCCACACGGACGGCACGCACCCAGTCCGGGTAACATCGATCTCCCCTGATGACGATGGAGGCTTGTCGCGTGGCCAAAAGTGAGTGACGTGCTGGAGCGTGAAGTTGCCTTGGTGTTATCGCCTGCGAACCGGACGGGCTGGTTCTTTGCTGTGCCTTGCATCGATTACACCACTTGAAAGGGGTAGTAGTTTTCTTTCGTCTACCTTATCGTCTCGTTAAGCATATAACATACCCTCTGCATCTTGTCAAGCTTATTTGGTTGGACTCGAATCGTCTGGTGCGTGCTAACAATAACAAGCCTTGATTCAAGAAGCAAGCATCAACCCAAAATCAACCTGGAATTAATCCTGCCTGACAAGAAGAAACTAGTCCCGAAACAGGGCCTGCACTGCACAGCACGCACACGCAGCAACCCGGATTGTGGGCTTGCCTCCTTTAATAACAGAACGGGAACCACCAAATCTCATCTCATCTACTAAGAACCTCTCGAGACAGAGTCCGCAATCCTCTTGCCTCCCTTTTTTGGACCCTCACCTTCTTCTCTTCTTCACCTGTGCTCCCATATTCTTCCCCTCCCTTGTAATCTGCATACTCTTGTTCACCTTCATCATTACGCCATACTTACTGCTCCCATCATCACCACTTCTACCTACTATTTTATCCTTTCAGTCGCATCATCGACTCCGCCTGGCGCTCAAACTAGCTTTCCCGCTCTTCGGCCTCCTATAACCGACACAAGCGAGCGTCTGTCCTGTGCGCGTTCTCCTCTCGCACACACTCCTCCCTCCGACATCTCTCCTCCCACGCGCAACCCAGCGAACCCTCAACAACATCAGCTCAAGATGGCGGACGCACAAGCAGGCAGCAGCACCTGGTCTGCTTTCCTCAAGGTTCGTACGCGGCCAATTGCGCAGAAAATAAATTCCCTTCGATAACTAACAAGACAAAACGCAACAGTCAATCGCCTCCTTCAACGGCGACCTCTCCTCCCTGACGGCGCCCCCCTTCATCCTCTCGTCCCAGTCCCTGACCGAGTTCTCCTCCTACTGGGCCACGCACCCGCCGCTGCTCACGGCCGCCGCCGCCGAGTCCGACCCCGCGAAACGCGCCATGCTCGTCCTCAAGTGGTTCCTCTCCACGCTCAAGCACCAGTACGCCTCCCGCAGCGAGCAGTTTGGCAACGAGAAGAAGCCCCTCAACCCCTTCCTCGGCGAGCTCTTCCTCGGCACCTGGACCGACGAGGCGGGCACCACGACGCTCGTCTCGGAGCAGGTCAGCCACCACCCGCCCGCGACGGCCTACTGCGTGCGCAACGACAAGACGGGCATCCAGCTCGAGGGCTACAACGCCCAAAAGGCCACCTTCAAGAGCACCATCATCGTCAAGCAGATTGGCCACGCCGTCCTCACCGTCCCCGTCGGCGCCGGCGACGACAAGCACCTCGAGCGCTACCTCATCACCCTGCCCTCGCTGCACATCGAGGGCCTCATCTTCGGCGCGCCCTTTGTCGAGCTCGACGGCTCCAGCCTCATCACCAGCTCCAGCGGCTACACCGCCAAGATCGACTACAGCGGCAAGGGCTGGCTCTCGGGCAAGAAGAACACCGTCGTCGCCACCCTCTACCCGACCGACAACGAAAAGGACGTGCTCTACAACGTCACCGGCCAGTGGACCAAGGAGTTTGAGATCTACCAGGGCCCCGCCAAGAAGAACTCAAAGGCCACCCTCGTCGCCACCTACGACGCGGCCGGCACCCGCCAGACGGACCTCGCCGTCGCGCCCCTCGACAAGCAGCACCCACTCGAGTCGCGCCGCGCCTGGAGCAAGGTCGCCGACGCCATCCAGCGCGGCGACATGGACTCCGTCTCCGCCGAGAAGACCAAGATCGAGCAGGCCCAGCGCAACCTGCGCACCAAGGAGTCCGCCGAGGGCCAGCCCTGGGAGCGCCGCTACTTCAACGCCGTCGCCGAGGACGAGACGCTCGCCCTGCTCGGCAAGGCCGCCGGCATTCCGCTCGACGGCGAGCGGGACAAGACGGGCGGCCTGTGGCGCTTCGACGCCGCAAAGGCGGCCAAGGCCGACGCCGAGAAGCTCACCGAGGAGCAGATTGCGCGCATCGAAAAGGAGATGCTGGGTCAGTAAGAGGGTTGCTCTATACCTTATGAGCTGGGCACGAATAGACGGCGCAATGTTCCAATTGATATATATATGCAAGAAGCAAAGAAAGGAAAAGAAGGAAAAGGGACAAAAAGAGGGACAAAAGATAACTGCAATTGAACAGCTCTGCTCAATAAGGGAGCAGTTTTTGGGCGAATACAGGGCAAGCATTGGATGTGCTTCCGCGGTTCACGTTGATGGAGAAGATACGGATCACAGGATCATGCAAAGAGCATGATGGGTTTAACTCTACCTACGGGTGTTTTGAGTACGCTGATGGTTCACGGGAGTGCAATTATTCTAATGTAGAGATGAAGGTGCGCTTTTTACTTCTTTTGCATTGTCATCCTATGAATAGTGTCACTACTATAGTTTTATTGTAATCATTTCTGACTTTTTTTCATTCATTCCAGCCAACCACAAGCCAGCCCGCGGATGCCCCCTTTCTAGATATGCCAATAGGTAGTAGAGTAATCCAGAGGTTTTCAATGTAGGATACTACAAGATGGGTAGTGAAACAAGACAGTTCAACGCAAGAAAAGCCGTAGCATCCTCAGATGGACTTTGGAAGCGACCTCGCACGATAAAGCAAGCGAATAACGTTTACAGCTGGCCGGCAGTGTTGAAGTCCTTGAGAGCCTCGGCGACGCGCTTGGACATGGTCTTCTCACCCTCACGGACCCAGACACGGGGCTATATGGCAGTCAGTCACTGGTCTTGAGCAATTGTCTGGTGTATAGGTGAATCAACTTACGTCAAAGTACTTCTTGTTGGGCTTGTCCTCGCCATCGGGGTTGCCAACGGGCGTCAGGAGGTAGTCCTTCTTGTTGAGGATGTAGTCACGGATACCGGACAGGTAGGCGAACTGCATGTCGGTGTCCATGTTGACCTTGACGACACCGTGGCTGATGGCGTCGAGGTACTCCTGCTTGGAAGAGCCGGAGCCGCCGTGGAAGACGAAGAAGACGGGCTTGTCCTCCTTGGCCTTGATGGCGGCCTTGACGTGCTCCTGGTGCTTGCCGAGCAGCTCGGGGTGGAGCTTGACGTTGCCAGGCTTGTAGACACCGTGGACGTTGCCGAAGCCAGCGGCGATGGAGAAGTAGGGGGAGATGGGGGCGAGGGTGTTGTAGATGTTGAGGATGTCCTCGGGCTGGGTGTAGAGGGAGTTGTTGTCGACATCCTCGTTGTTGACACCGTCCTCCTCGCCTCCGGTGATGCCAATCTCCATCTCGAGCCACTGCTTCATGGGGGCAGCGCGCTTCAGGTACTTGGCGGTGGTCTCAATGTTCCAGTCGACGGGCTCCTCAGACAGGTCAATCATGTGAGAGGAGAAGAGAGGCTCGCCAGTGGCCTTGAAGTAGGCCTCATCGGCGGCGAGCATGCCATCGAGCCAGGGAAGCAGCTTCTTGGCGCAGTGGTCGGTGTGAAGGACGACGGGGATGCCGTAGGCGGGGGCAATGGATCGGATGTAGTTGGCACCGGCAATGGCACCGGCGATGGAGGCAGCCTGGTCAGTGTTGTCGACGCCCTGTTCCGAGTTAGCAATGCGATTTCAGAACAGATAGTTCAATCTCGATGAGGCGTTTTCTGTACCTTTCCGGCGAAGTAGGCAGCACCGCCCTGGGACATCTGCAGGACGATGGGAGACTTGGCATCGCGAGCAGCCTCGAGAGAAGCAACGACGGTAGAAGAGGAGGTAACGTTCTGGAAGAGCTTCTGTTAGCTGCAGAGCTATCAAAGAAGGGAAGCTAGAAGCTTTTTGTTCGCGATACGTACGATGGCGGGGATGGCAAACTTGTGCTCGCGGGCGTACTCGAAGAGTCTCAGGACGTCATCACCAACGATGACACCAGACTTGCGGCTCAAAACATCGGTAGCACCCATTTTTGCGAGATTGTGAATTGAATGTCTGAAGCAAATTCGTAGGATCTGTAAGAGGGCGGATGGAAGAGTCCAAGTCAGCAAGCTGAGGGGTCCTAAATAGTGTGATTGAGAGGTGATAAAAGTGAGGAAAAAAGCTAGTTGCTGGATGGTAATGGCTACTCGTAAGAGCGCGGGGTTTTTCAATCTCGAGCCTCAGCTTTGAGTTATCGATAAAGGGAGATGGCAGGACCACGGAGGGGACCAAGGAGGGGACCAAGGAGGGTGCCAAGGAGGGTGCCAGGGAGGGGCAGCTCCGTTGACGGAACAAGGCAGGGCTTGCGATTTGCGTCAAGTGCCGCGTCCATCAGCGCGGTGAGAGTGGAGATGCCACTCCATGGCTGAGGCAAAGGCGAGCGAGCTGCCATTTGCCTCGTCCCGCCGCTGTCGTCATTGCCTCCTTCGACCAATTCCACAGCAATCTTCTCTTGCCAGTATCATCGTCGCCATGTAAACTCGGTCGAATTGATCGTGTCGTTCCCCCCGTCTGATGCTCCGACTCTCCCAGCCCGTCCTCGTCACTCGAATGCTGGCCGTTCTGTCGCTGCTGGAAGACATCATGGTGGGGCAATAGCTGCGTGGATGGAGGGGCAACGTGGGATGGCGGAGGGGCAGAGGGAAAAGGGCGTAGAACGAGGGAGCTAGAGGCACATGGCTGAGACTTACAGGAGATGGTAGACTGAACTGCTGGTTGGATGGTAGGCGGTTGAGAAGTGGTTGGGTATACAGAGACAGAGTCGAGGAAGAATGATGAAGGAGAAGGAATCGACGGGCCGGCAGAGGTGATGTACAGGTATTAATCTAGACGCCCGTAGAAGCCAGGAGGGGACAGAGCGGGGCGCTTCGGTCAGAGCAGCTCCAGCGTGTGACCTCAGCGCTGCTCCAGTCCTTCTGGCCGGCAACTGGAGCTTGGGGCCTCGGAAACATGCGGGATGCCGGAATTGCTAATGATGTGCAATGATTTGCTGTCGACGACTGCTGTTATTGACATGTACATGATGTCAATTGTGGACAGGACGGGACTTGACTCTTGTGCGGCCCAATATTATAGATAGCCCTCTGCCTTGCTGCTGTCTGGTGTCGCTACAGACATGGCGAGCAAACACGTCAACCACTGGCCTCACCTTCAACTTCGGTTATACCGTAGAGACGTGATGCTCCAAAAATACCAAGATCATAGTGGATAGCAGCAGCGGAGACAAGGCCTAGAACATGGGACCCGTCCCGAATTATTCCAATGCAGGGACCTTGGAGCCGGCGCGGAGCGAAGCTATTCGGAACATGGAACCGGCTGTGCTATCGAAACGACCACATGAATACGGCTATGCAATCTGGGGTACACACAAATACACCGCCTGTTGAGGCAGATTGCCGAGGAATTGGCCTCCGGTTCTGCCAATGTCTAATTCTTCAGTCAGTAATGACCGGAAGAGAAAAGCATGGCCTGCCGGGGTCTTCTGCCGACGTTTCCCGCACTCTCTTGGCAGTTCGGTTCTCCAAATTCGACGACGACCTCTTGGCCTGTGACTTGAGCTGGTGCAAACATTCGTTATTTCAATATTCCATCGTGAACTCAATGATTTTGATGGACCTCGAAGTGCATACACATTGAACCAAAGGGAGGCGGTATGAGGCATCATGATGGTAAGGCGAGGTATCTAGTTGGCCCTCGGTAGACTGGATTTTGGCTGTAATGTATTGCCTACTTCCAGGATCCAACCCTTGGTTTTGAGAGAATTGCAATCCAGTGTTCAGCTTGCCGAAGTCTTTATTTGTTTCTCTGATCTTTTCGTCTTTTTCCATTGATTTCCCATGCAATCCGTTTCCTGGTGAATGTAGCTGCTGTGTCGAGGTCCCGAGGTCGTGCTTGACCAACAAACTGCCGCTTAGATAAGCTTTTGCCTGGGGCTCTCTGGCGGGGAACTTCACTTGTCTGATATCTTCATGTTTGTTTACTTGGGCTTTCCTCTCTACACTTCGTCTCTCCGTCCTCGTTCAGCAAGGCATGGTCAAGTATACGGCATAATGCCCACGAAAGGCGGACGACATCCTTCGGGCCCGTGGGGGCGCCTCAAGCCCGTCGAGCAAGACCCCCTCGAAAGCATCGGCCTTCCGTCCAAGGGCGACACCAGGTGAGCTGGCAGAGCAGATGCCTTACACGCTGCACCTTGTGTGCTACCAAGGACTCCCATTGACTGTTGTGTGTCAGATTGCTGGATTTGAAGACGCAAGAGAGCTACTATACCAAGATAGTAGAGCGGTACATGACGTTTTGCTCTGATGCCGGCCAGCGGGATGAACTGCTTCGAAGGTTCTCGTCGTTGGTAATCTCACCTACCAATCCAGCCCCTGCTCAGGCCAGCCCTCGCATGGTTCTGCCCACAGTCACTGATGAATCACTCCAGAGCCCTGCCAATACCAAGGCTCTGTCTGATGTCATGGCTGCTCTCAGAAAGCTCAGAGAGGGCATCGTCGCTACTAAGCGGGCCGACGACTTTGCTGTCCAGGCCTATCTTTTCTGCATCCGACTGTCCATGCTGGTCAAGCATCCCGAATCATACCACCCGGCCATACTCCATCTGCTACGCTCGATTCACCCGCAGCAGCCACTCACATCCGTCGAGCTCCAAGAGGTGGTGGCCTATCTCGTGCTGGACACCGCTTGCCGACGAGGGCAGCTGGCGGAAGCCTACGCATTGCGAAAGCACTACGCTCTCAAAGATACGAAAGTAAATGCCGCACTGACAGCACTGGCACACGATAACTACGTCTTGTTCCAGAAAGTGAAGAGGAGTGTGGACGGGCACCGAGCAAAGCTCATGGAGTGGGCCGAGGGCGACGTGAGGATGCACGCGCTCAAGTGCTTTGGGAGGACATATCTGTCGGTCGAACTGGACTTTTTGGAAAAGACTACGGGTTCCAAATGGTCGGACCTGACTCAGAGAGATGGTGTTGGCTGGGACCTGGAGGGAAGCAAAGTGGTGATTCGCAAGGTCAGGGCGCGATGAAGGCAGTGCACAGCTTGAAGAGAAATGGGAGACAGGGCGCTTATGATGCTCTACAATCTTTCATCTGCTGCTGCGGTCCCATGGTGCTCTGCTGGAGATGCGTGTAAGTTGGCATGTTTCTCTGGCAACTGGCATCTGCCTGCCAGCTGGCCCTGGCTGCGCTCGCTTGAAAGCTCCGGCCAAGCGATATTCACCCACGACTCACGCTCGAGGACCCATTATCGATCATTCACTTGGCCCTCGTAACGGAGTAGGTAACGACAGCTGCCTCGAGGCCGAGGCACTCTGACCCCGGATTAACCATCTCCAGGCGGATAAGAATTTTGATCAGGCACGCACGCACCTCAGCCCTCGATTTCGTCGAGGCTCAACCTCACCCGCAGAGGCAGCGCACCTCTCTCGCCGCAGAAGGTTTCATCCTTTCCAGCTCCATAGCAAAGATCAACATCGTGCCCATAGTTTTGCACCACCTGTATCTGCCCTGTCTTCCGTTGCTTCTTGCCATGGCGCCGGCGAGAAAGAGGGCCAAAACTGCGCAGTCGGACGATAGAGGCTCTTCGGTGCTTCTGGCCGACTATCGCACGGCTTGGCTTCTTGCGTATGTATTTTCACGTCCTTCTCGCATAAACCTGACGTGAAATTTTCCCCTGCCCGTCTTCTGAGTTTGGCAACGGGCTGCTAAGCCTCTTGATGCCTTGCCAACTGCTTTAGTAGCTGGAAACTGACGGACAAGGCAGATCCGACGAGCCATCAGCCCAAATCATCTGCAAGAATGAAACCTTCAAGGTCCACATGAGCGTCATCAAGCAGCATTCCGACTACTTTGAAACCTGCATGAACAAGCCCTTCGCCGAGGCGGATGGCGTGGTGCGCTTCGACGACATCGAGCCACGGTACATGGCCTTTTACCTGGGCGTGGCGTACAGCTACTCATCCATCATGCCGCACACGCCGCCGTCTCCATCTGAGAATCCGGAGGCCAAGGCGCTGCGCACGCCTCTGCGCGACTACATTGAGGTGTACAAGCTCTGCGACCGGTTCCTTAGCGCGCAGATGGGCGACTTCATCCTCAAGTGCATCCGGACGAGCATCGGGGACGGCCACCGCGCGCTGTTCCGCTCGGCTGCGGATAAGGACCAGCAGAAGGCGCTGATGAGGGACTTTGCGGACGGATACGAGGCGCTGGAGCAGGGGCACGCGGTGCAGGAGGAGCTGGCGGAGCGCATCATCGAGTACTTTGTCGAGGGCGTCTGCTACGACGCGTGGGACGGGTACATGGAGGAGGTGATGAACCGGCCCAAGTTTGTGGCGCAGGTGTCCAAGGGATTTGCGAGGAAGCTGGCGGAGGCGCTGGCGGCGAGGCACAAGGTGAAGCGCAAGGAGCTGGGTGGTCCATGAGTGATGGAGTGATGGACGAATATCGGGAGATCCAAGGTTTTTTTGCTGAGATGGCGAGAACACCACAGATATCAGTGAGCTTGGACTGGTGGAGAGAATCTGGGGCGAGGTTCAAGGGAGGAGTTGCTATCTCATATGCACACAGAGCAGGATAGGAGTTGGCCGGAGAGGAACAGCCAGATGAACAATCGACAGAGTATCGATGCGAATTGCGCTATTGGCACCAATCTCCCGAATTTTAGCTGCCTTTTGCTTCAAGATGTTCACAGAGAGTCAGAATTGTGAGATCTACATGTGAAAAGGGCAATGGATTCGGAGGTGAATCGTGCAGCCATCGACCACTGCTGCTTCCAATATATACAAGTAGGAATAGAAGCAAGAACAACGCCAAAACGACTCCATCTCATGATCCCTCCCATCGCAGCCCAACAAAAGAAACCACCTAGGTTAGATACCTAGCAATGCCCAGTCGCCGAAAATGAAAACGCACATGCCCAATATGCTTCGCTCAAAAGGCCCACCTTTGTCCGAAAGCCCCGATGCAACCCCAATATCTTCCCATCTCATTCATCCCCATTCCCCTTTTGTTGTTCGTGTTGCTGTTTGGTGTTTGTTTGTGTATGCATGAGGGGATTTATCACCGCCTCGCATACTCGGCAACGCCCTTCTCGAGATCCTCCAGGCTCTCCCTGCCGCCGTAGAGGTCCTCCATCATGCGCTGCCGCCGCAGGGACTCGTTGATGTCCTGTTCTTCGATGGCAGCGCGGAGTTTATCGTTTGCGCTGTGGCCGTGGCTGTGGCTGTGGTGGGAAGGGGAGGAGGAATGATGGGAAGACGGGGAGTAGCGGGTGAGGTCGAGGTAGGATTTGGATGCGTAGCCGACGGCGGAGATGATGATGGCTGTTTTTACCCTTTTTGGAAAATTCAGTCAATATCAATTTCCCACTTTGCAAATTCTTTTCTCTATTCTTTTTTCTTCCCTGTGCGCAGAGAGAGAGAACATGTAATTTCTTGGTTGAACTTACCAGCGTCGGATGGGGGCGCGGCGCGGCGAGGCGTGGAGATGTGGCAAGATGGAGGGATGCACTCTTGCGGCGGTTGAGAAGCCTCTGACTGTCGAATTCATCTTGTCGTGTGGGATGTTATTTGATTGCTTGCGAATAGTGGGTGTTTGTGTATTGATGTAGGAAAGTCGGAGCGATCAAGCGTGTGTGAGCTTGAGCTTTGCTGTAGCTGTTTGTTTGGTGGTGGTGGCGGCGGTTGCTGTTCGGTAGGTAGGTAGCTTCTCACGATATGAGACAAAACGTAATGAATATAGTAGTGAGTTGGTTAAATGGAAAGCTTCGTGTCTAAAAGGGTCTGGCTAGTATGTATATGTATTCGAAGATTCGAGGCAGGGCTGGGGGTACGCCACCGGCTATATAAACGTTCTCTCAAAAGGAGAAAAGGAAGAAGGGTGTCAGGTAATGGTGGCTCAGCTCAAGTCATTCATTATGAATCCACACACAGAAAGGACAGAAGAAGAGAAAGAGAGACAAAAGGGGAATCATGTGAGAGCCCCGGATGTGTCCATCCGCCCTCCCTCCAGCTAACACCAGTTCTCCGCTGCTACAATACGTACATACATACAGGTTGAGCCACCAGTCGAACCATATGAGTCGAGGTTAGTCCAGCGTTGCTCCTTGACATACCGTCACACAACCCACATAAAGAGGGCCTGGGGGGGACACATGAACAGGGATCGTGCGAATTAGCCGCGGCGTCCGATTCGACGGGACAACGCGGGGAGGGTGGCCTTGCGTGGGGAGGTCTGGGTCTTGTGTGGTCTTTAGCTTGGGGCTGCGTCTTTCTCTCACCCGAGGTTATTCTTGTGTACTACTACTACTACTAGTATTTGCCTTGTGTCTGGGGGTTTCATGCGGAGAGGTATTAGTACTGGTCTACGGAGAGAAGGGAGAGAGGCAGTTGTGTTGGTGTCTTATTAGTCGATGGGAGGCACACTGACACGGGGCAAGATGGAAAGTCTGAGTAGATGCCGCATGTGCATCATGCAGCCAGCCAGCATGCACGCGTTGTCACAAATTTTCAGACTCATACATACATGCATACATGCATACAGATCCATCGGCAGTTGTCCCTTGTTTGCTGATGCGTCGGGAGAGGGCCCGTGTTTGTTCACTCTGATGTGATGTGGTTTCATGCCTGGCCTGATTCCGGCCGGCGATGCGACAACAATCGTGTGATACAGTATGTATTACCTGCACCACCACCTTCTTCCACCTTACACCAACACTCGGATTCACAGCCTCCTGATTCTTTTTTTTTTCCCCTTTCCTCTCTGTAGGTATGACGAATTCAGCAGAAGTGTAAGCTGTGTAAACCAGATTTGCAAACATTTCTTTTTCTTTCC